AGCTTGTGTAGTCACCTCGTAAGTGTCTTTCCCAAAATAATCGGCAAGCATCTAATTCCAAGTAGTGCGACCAACAGTCTTGGGGCTTCCCCTACACTCGATACGTATTGCCAATGTGGCGAGACCATGGTGGGTATACAAACAACCACCAATTCGGGAGGGACAGGTATTGTTGCATGTGGCTCTAAAACCATATCGACAATTGCTCCCAAGACCACAAGTACAAGTGTCGCGGCGACTCCAACACCGACAGCAGCTCAAAACAGCTTGACATGTTACGGAACGGGGGGCACCGATTGGTGGGGTGAGGCACGCCAATCATTCCCGCGCGATACAGGGTATATGAACTTCCTTTATTTTCATCCTACTCCATCTTGCTCTATCCACAGCACCATCGAATATATACTAATACATGTCCTCTTCCCCTCTAGTGTATTCTCAATCGAACACCTATGCGGCACCGACGGGCCCGTATACACCTCCGACCCCACCTCCAAAAGCAACGGCATTTCCGGCTATGCGGGCGACAGATTCTGGTTCGACAGTGCTGACAAATTCTGCATGTCCACGGCCTACGTCCATGGGGACGGATACTGGGAGGATGAGACCACAGGCTGTAGAACAGGGGTTCGGGACCTCATGTTGAACGTAGCGTTTTCCGTCGACCAGACTGGTTGCGAGCCCACGAAAAACTGGACTATCCCCAAGAACCAGGATTGTAAAGATATATTCTACAAGCTTCTGGATAGCTGTAAGTGGTGTCTTTGTCCGAATCCTCGAAGCTCTTTATATGAAAAGGTTATGCTAATTCTACTACATAGGTGATACAGATACGCAATCCGATAAGAACGGCGGGATTTTTACCCAGAATACTGAAAATGGGTGTGTGGATTGGAGGCTTTGGAGTATCGCTTCTTAACATGTAGCAAAGACGAAATTTCCCTTTCCCGGTTAAAAGATGCTCAGATAAGAGCGGAGTAAACCCGTTCAGATGCATTAAGAGTGAATTTATGTATATATTATCAATATTTCAAAGAATGCGTCGAGTCATGTGCCACCTGATTAATCCCCCTCAATCTCAGAGGCTCTCTCGTTTAACATCCCATCCATCCATCATGACTTCAGGCTCCCCTCCTCACACCCACATCACAGGACACATCCGCAGACCGACGTTATCTCGAAGCTCAATGAGCATATCGTGCTCCCACAATAGCTATCCTTTACTCCATCCATGCCCGCGTGTTATTTTCACCCCAAAATATAACGCGTGACCCGCTCGCTACCTTGCTAGCTGGAGTTTAGCTTCCAACTTATAGAAACATAACCAAAGCAAAGCACCCCATAATTAATGCATAAATGACCGAACGCCGAGGAAATTCTTCCTCCTTGAGCGCCAAAGGAACTGCCTGCTCTGAGACGCACAGTATTGGACACGTGCAGGCAGGAAACACGGCACATTTATTTCGTCAGTCGAAAGCGCAGCCAGCAGCCAGCAACTATTGAAGGTACATTATATCTCGCAACGTCCCTTCAAAGATATAGTATAGCACAAATCCGTACCTGCGTACAAATATAGAAGATAAATCGTTGTACTGTGCTATAGTACAGTACATCAGTTACACCCCATTCACAAATTAGGTACAGTACCTAGCTTCCCTTCCTCGGCTAGACCAAGAACAAGAACAGGAGCCAAGCTTAAAATAGGAATGTACAGTCGGGGGGTAACTAGCGCAGGGGGGGGAAGTCACGTGGATATATTCGTAGGACGGACACAAAACTTCCCGTCGCATGTTGGTTGTGGACTACCTAGTAGTTCTAGATGTTGGTGTTGGTTGGTTGGTTGGCGATTATGGAAAGCCAGGAAAGGAAATTGAAAATACTAGAAATTTCAAGCCCGGAAGAGAAGAAAAAGGGGGTTTCAAGGCATTGTTATAGCTGAATGACATATAGTATATAGCAATGAGACATCAAATACAATTCATCAAAGATACAAGTGAATACATAAAGTAAAATAGAATTAAATGAGCGTGAAATATCATATGTGTGTACATGTTTCCCGATCAATCCAAAACGCCTAGTCCCCTGTAGATAGTCATAGACTCGTAATGTACATTAGACAGTCGAGCAATCTACCCGCCATCCCTCCCACCAAACTCCAAATCCCATACCGTACCGTCCTGTAAATGCATCATGATGACAAAAGAAAATCGGCTCAAATAGAGCCATGACCCCATTCCGCTCCGTTCATAACATAACAACCAGATAAATCGCATGCTGTATTATAACGAGACTCACGCAGAAGTCTTCCTCCCCTTTTTGAACAACGCACTAAAAGCCCTCTTCCGCTTACTCATACTCTTCTGTAAATCAGTTTCTTCGATGCCCAACCCAATCTGCACGTTGCCATGCAGCGCACTGGGCGAAATCGGTGGTAGGGGCTTCATCTTTATCTGCGCTTCTGATAACGAGATAATGGGTGCTTGAGGTGAGAAGGAGATGGGTGCTCCTTGGTAGGTGACGCGGTTCTTGGTGACGGAGCCGGGGATGGGCGAAGATATGGTTTGGATGGGTGGAGAGATGTCTTGGATTGTGATCGGGGAGGAGATGTTGCGAATATTGGTAGTGGGGGAGGATAGGTTTTGCATTGAGGCGGTGCAATTTGAGGCTGGAACCCGGGTGATGTCGATGGGACTGGGATAGGTGTGTGGTGGACGAGGTGGGGCTTTTGTTGGTGTTGGGCGGCGTGCGAATTTGGGTGGTGAAGGAGAAGGGGTGGGTAGTGGGCGAGACGGAGGCGTCGACGGCGGTGATCTATAGGATTGAGGTGCCGTACGGGTAGGAGAAGGTTGAGACAGCGGCAAAAGTGCGGCCTGGGGTGGTTTACTCCCAGGGACCGAGACCTCGTCGATTGTGTTGTTGAAAGTTGACAGGGGTATGGCAGGGCTTTGTTGGATACGACGACGCTGGGTAGACTGGGAGGATGTGACCCCACGGCGGTGATGCTGATGGCAGTGATCCGCGTTGAGTTGAAGGGTCGAGTTGTGCTGACGTAGAACTTTGACTGTGTTTTCAGCGGTCACAGCACGTGTGAGAAGCTTTCGATTGTCTGCCTCGATGCGAGCTATGGCCTCGTCAACAGCCTTGATGATTGCACGTGACTAACACATCAGTTGAAGTCTTCAAAATGGTGAAGGGATAACATACAGTGATTGCAGAGGATTGAAAGGTCAACTGCTGACCAGGAAATGCCGATCTCTGGGAATGAACTACTATTGGCGATGTATCTTCCAATTCGGCAATATATTCATGGGTAGAGGATGCTGGTGAGTCGTCCGGCCCGCCAGAAGGCAGCTCGAAGATCGAGTCGACCACAGACAGTTCTGATGGAGACTTCCGGAGGCTGAGAAAGGTATCAAACGCCCACTTGTTACTATCTGGTGTGGTCAACACACTACGGCCGGCTGGCGTCATTGGCGAGACCACATCGGCCCTCATATATTGCTTCCCAGTAGATGGGTTCGCCCTCAGGAACTCGTTGAATTTTTTGCCAGTAGGAATCCTCTGGAATCCAGAAGGAACATCTCGTGCAAACTGTCCCGGTTCCCATTGGGTAAATATGGGTGGTATTGTGGCACGAGCCTGAGCCATTGGGGGCAGGCCGTCAGAGTATGTACTCATCTAGCAACAAGTGTATATCTACCACCTACACTGCTGTTCGAGGTAGGAAGATTTGCTAAAAACATGCGTGTATTGAGTCCAGGAGAGAATCTACGAGTTCAAGCAAGTTGAAGAAATGGCCTTGGATGAGAGTTGGCAGAAAGACGCTTCTCTCAAACGAAAAGGAAGAGTTGGTACATGGGGCCGGTGAGGTTGGTCGAGCATTACCAGGTCAAATCCCTCTGGAGGTCTACGGACAGATATATGAAGGATATAGAATCAAGTAGTGTGTGCCTTGCACCCACATCTTGGACCTGCAGCCAACCCGAAGACCCGGGCTACAGGCTTGTATTGGCTGACGACCCAGTGATCAGATCTGATAATACTGGGATTCTGCACATGGAGAAGATGAAACGCAACGGAACTGAATCCTGATGTTGCCTCGAAGTGATCTTCATGAATAGTGCATCTAGTCAGCCTTAGCCACGTGGGAGAGGCAGACTGTGATTCGCCCGAGCCACAGCGGTGCAGAGTTGGTGCAGCGGGCCGCAGCTGGAGACACCCATTTATAGATGAAGGATGCATGCTACAGCTGCATCTCCACGAGCTGTAGAAGAGAAGAAAGCCAGCCACGTGGAAGCGCTGGGCCTAAATGCAGCCTCTTCGCCACTGAACCATACAGATACCATACATTTATCATACAAATAGGCGCGGGCTGTGCAGTGAGAACTTGAAAGTAAAAGGTAAATCGAGAGAAATGCAGGGGAAATACAGGTAGAGAGGGATACATCTCACCACATCATACCCTTTGACGCGCAAGCAGGGCCGTGAGATCCGCGCAGAATAACTTTTCGTAAGGGTTTTACCGCGGTAGGAGGGTTGGATGTACGCATGTATATCCCGAGAAGCGCGATTTGGTACAGTAAGGTATTTTATTTGTAGATGCGCCTATTTGTAGACCAATGAAGCCAGAGTGGAAGTTTGTGGGAAGCCCGCCCCCCGCCTTTCAGACTTCAATTTGTGATAGTAAGATAGAGCAATTTGGATGAGACTTCATGCGTTGCAAAATGCATCAATGCAACACGCTCTTGCCAATCTAGATGGCGATATAATGTGTGGGTGAGCAGGAGGAGGTCGTGGTCGCAGTTTTGGTGTTCTTACCGTCGCCGGCGCTTAAATGTACCGCCGTGGCTGTGGCTGGGCTGGCTGGCTGGCTGGCTGGCTTTAGCGAGTTGATAAGCCTGGAGCTGGAGATACAGTATCCCAAGATCCTGCAATTTCAATCATTTAAGCCTCTTAATTTGCACACATCTTCAACCCGACCAAATCCAATCTAACCCGACATGGACCCCACGAGGACGTCAAGACGAGAGAGAGACGAGCATCGACCTCGCAAATCAAGATCTCCCTCATTCGATTCGGAGGAGAGGCGGGGGCGCAGACGCAGAGAACGACCTGAAGAGAAGGACGAAAGGCCTGGAGACAGGAGAAGCAAACATGACGATGGCGAGAGGAAGCGTCGAAGATCTCGAAGCCCAAAAGAGGAATTTTCACGGAGAAGACGGGACGACGATCGAGGTTCGAAGCACAGAAGCACCAGAGAGCGATCTCCAAGGCATCGAGATGGCAGAGATGGCAAAGATTCACGAGAAGACTCTGCAACCCAACTTAGTCGGAAGAACAAGGGCCCTCTGCCATCGCAGGAGGCATCATTTCAGTCCAACAATGACCCTTCGGGGGCGCTTGTCCCGGCAGGCGAACTACCAGAGAAGCAAAAGCCAAACTTTGCCCCCTCTGGGCTTCTAGCAGCAGCGTCAAACTCTTTCGCCCAAGCGGATGGCACAACGATTGCCCTGAAGTATCACGAGCCCCCCGAGGCGCGCAAACCACCTACAAAGGATGTGTGGAAGCTGTTCGTGTTCAAGGGTTCAGAAATTGTCGAGACGATCGAACTTAGCCTCAGAAGTTGCTGGCTTGTAGGGCGCGAATTAGCAGTCGTGGATATGCCAGCGGAACATCCAAGTATTTCGAAGCAGCACGCGGTCATACAATTTCGATATATAGAGAAGAAGAACGAGTTTGGAGACAAGCTAGGCAGAGTCAGACCCTACCTGATCGACCTCGAGTCTGCCAATGGAACATCACTCAACAAGGAGGAGGTCCCCCCTAGCCGTTACTTAGAATTGAGGGATAAGGATATGATTCAGTTTGGGCACAGTACTAGGGAATACGTCTTGATGATGTCACCTAAAGGTTGAAAAGACCTTAGCAGGAAGTTTGTGTTTCTCGTAAGACATCTTCAGAAAGCTACTACCTATATGGATCTACATGTCTAAGGCGAAATGGTTGGAATGATGTTGTTAGGGGTATTCAGTGATCTTCGGGTGGTCAGAATCAGGTGATACTGAGCGTGTATTACAGCTCACTGATGGTTTCGTTCAAGAGTCATACTTTGGTACTCTATCTACTCAAGAGCGCCGGCCTGGTCTGGCAGTCAGTCCTAAATAAGCGTCGACCATCTGCCGATCCTTGTTGTGTAACCTTCTCGTGGAGAAACTCGTGGAGAAACTCGTGGAGAAAATACACAAGAAATCGTTAGGGACCTATTTATCGGGAACACGAGTCTTTGCCCCGAGTCGACCAACTAGCTGGAAACTCGTGAGCCACCGATCCCCGCATGCATCGAACATTCTCGTGTGCCCTCGTCGAGAGCTGCAGCTTCCCGCATTCGCTGATGACTGTATCGTGCTGGAGGAACAGGCGCCCTCAGACGTGGCGATGAGCCTCAATATTACTCGGAGCCTCAAATGAGTCAGCTGAAATAAGGTGGCAAACTTGTTAAGGAGGGTGCCTGATAGGATTCGAGACATGAATGAACCAATACTGGCCCAGATACTCAGCTGCCTTGCTGTCGATATGTCTTCTTACCTAACGTAGAGTCGTAGAAAGCTTCTTCTCACCGAAATGTTTGCTCTGTCTGTGTCGGTAGGTATAAACAACCATTATAAGGCCATATTTTCACTTTGGGGTCTGTTTCAGATTCAGCCTTCCATAACCATCCTCCCCCCTTTTTCAAAGCAGTTAGTGCCCTAGGTGCCGCCGGCGCCACGCCGTACGGAGTAAGATTCCGTAATAAACCCTGTAAATCTAGCTGCACACCCTCCACATTTGAGACAAAAGCGTCCGCAGCTGACCCTGCGCATCAAATAAAGTCGTCGCTGCTGCCATGATGGGCGTGCTCTCTACTGTATACTTTTTGACATCCCCGGTGTACCTCTCACGTTGTGCCTGTTCTCGTAGCACCAAGGACTGAATTTCCCCTCTCCACACCGTGTGACTAACTGTTTTGCGCGTGCCACAACAGCACGGGTTCACCGAATAACGCTCAGAGGTCCAACGTCAGGCAGACAAACACTATACTATACGGTACGGCGGTACTGTACTAGAATACCTGTACGGGCGAGTGACTTCGTCCAACAACTCTAAACTTCGTCCTCTTCCGACCCAATAGCTACAGTACCATGATCATCACTGCGGGGAAAGACGCGTATATATAAACAGGGCCTCCCCAGTCGCAACGGATAGAGAAAGCTCCCAAGACACAACGGAAGCATGGTAAGCCTTCCCCGCAGAACTCTATTCCACTCATGCAACCGCGAAAGACTTGGACCGACGCTGACGTGGTGCGAATAGGGCTCAGCTATCGACCTCGACGACATCAAGCGCTTCGAATTGACAGAGGTCTACGCTCACCCCGATGCGAAAGTCGACATTGTACTCGTCCACGGGCTGAATGGAGACCCACGCAAGACCTGGACCTCCGAGAAGGGTACCTTCTGGCCCACCGAGTTGCTGCCTGTCACATTGAAGTCTGCAAAGGCGAGGATACTGGTATACGGGTACAATGCAGATGTATATGCCTTTGGCAAAGGCGGTGCAAGGTTCGTGGAATCCACCTCCCCTTCCACCAAATTGCTAATTTTTTGATAGCTCTGACATGCTTCACCAACATGCACAAACCCTTCTAGCCAACTTGTCTGCAGAGCGGCAGAGTGAGGAAGCGACAGATCATCCAATAATATGGGTAGTGCACAGCCTGGGCGGTCTTCTCCTCAAAAGAGCCCTGAATTTGTCCGACGACCTCGAGTCCAAGTACGCGGACGACCTAAGAAACATCGCCGTCTCAACATATGGAATTATATTCCTGGGCACACCACACACTGGCGCGGATCCAGCAAAATGGGGAATCATGGTGGAGAAAATGGTCAGCGCGCTGATCCCCAAGAAAGTTGTCCACACGGAGGATCAGCTCGTCAAAACGCTGCAGACAAATAACGAGACTTTACAAAATATCAATCTCAAATTCCTAGAAATATATGAAAACTACAGGATAGATATGGTTCATGAGGGTCTTCAGACGGACCTGAGAGGCACTAAAACATTCATTGTCGACCAACTGCAAGCTAGTCCACAGCTTCGCGGAGTAGTTTACTACGGCATCGAGGCTACCCATTCGGGCATGGCCAAATTTAACACCAAAAACTCGCCCGGCTATTCAAATGTCGCTGGTCATATCAAGGGTTGGGTAGAAATGTCACCTCCAGTTATTCATGCGCGACAAGAAGCAGAGAGACAGAAAAGACTTCATGATTTGGAAAAGGCGAGATCAGATCTCCAGTGGGGTTTTGTAGGTTTATTGAAGTCACATGGGCAGATGCAGCGCTGACTTTTTTAGCATCCACCACAAGCACCTACAAGTGCACCTACACCTGGTATGTCACAACCAAGCCAGCAAGAATATCACCAGCCAGGTCTGGTTGAAGCCCCTCCTCCAAGAACAAGATTCGAATTTGAAGTAGCTGAGGTTGAGGAGATGGATACTGAGATGGCTGGCAATCGCTGAGTTTGCCAACCATCCTGTATACCTATGGCATTCATTCGGGGGTCTGTTTAGCGAGAAGTTCTGCTTTTGCTTTTGCTCTTTTTTTTGCCTTCCCATTTCACTTGGTGGATACAGGGCTGATTTGGTGTTGTTTATGTAGATCCTCCAAAGTCAGTAAATAACTCAACCATAATGGTCAGGTCGACCATTAGCATTGAGCCTACCGCTAGCATTCAATCTGAAGAGCAAAATGAAAACACTCCTTTCTTTATCAAACCGTCCGGCTTCCGTCCCAACTCGCTCTTCGTCGGCCGAGAAGCACAACTCGCAGAAATGCACAGAATGCTCATGGACAAAAGGAGAAGAGCGCAAGGAACTTCGGCTATCTTGATCCAGTCTTTGCCCGGTGGTGGCAAATCCCATCTTGCGCGGGAGTATGTTTACGAACATCGAGAGGATTTCCCTGGAGGAATCTTCTGGCTTCGTGCCAAAAGCCCAGCGGAGCTCGCCAACGGATTTTGGGACATCGCGAGAAAGGCAGTGCTGAAACATTCGGTCGACAAAGAAGATCTAGTTGCCCTTCGAGATCCTCAGCAGTTTATCAAGATAGTTCGGAAGTGGCTCAATCATAGAGAAAACTGGCTGTTGGTGCTTGATGGGATACATTTCACTGACGACGCTGATGCGTTGCGAAAGTTCATCCCAGATAGCAAAAATACCAGCTTGATCTACACATCGACCGAAAAGTCAGCTAGCGGCGACCACCACTTCATGAATCCTCAGGTTATTAAGCTTCCTAATCTGTCGGCTCGAGAAGCTCAACGACTTTTGCTACTTGAAATCGATAAAAAGGAACCATTTTCGAAAGAAGATTCAAAATATGCGATGGAGTTGGTTCAAGCAATGGGCTTCCTACCTGTTGTTATCCATGCAGTTGCGCAACGGCTGAAGGCCACGGAAGAGCCGTTGTCGAAGTTTGCAAAGTCTTATTCGAATGAGCCGAGACTGAGAGGTCTGGGAACATATATGGCGGTGGTTGATCAATTGAAAGCGCATGATTCTCTTGAAGCATTGAATCTCATTCAAATACTTTGTTTCTTCAGTCAACATATTCCTGTTGAGATGGTTGCTCTCGGTATGTTTCCTCTTCTGATACTACTTATCCTGCTTTTGCTAACGGACATCTAGGTCTAAGGGCGCTTGATGTTGACGTGAAAGCTACTGAGCCAGTCACGGGACATTCCCTCAATACCACCTTCAAGCACCTGAACATGTTCGCCTTGATCGATAGAGATCACAATCATGATCACGAAGAGACGCTTCAATCATCTCAAAGCTCGAAGAGCACCGGGGAAATACTTGCAGATAACGTCGATGTCATCCGGATACACAGTGTCGTACAAGGATTCTTCATCGACACCCTCAGTGCTGCTGGAACACTTCCAATATGGCTGGACAGGGCTGCGCGTCTTTTCTGCTGTTCATACGACCACGCCAACATCAGAATCACAAAAAAGACCCACGCAGGCCTTGTGGAAGATTACCGGCTTTACGAGATCCATGGAATTCGACTGCGAGATCATTTGGTGCGTCACAGCAAGAAGTGGCCCGAGCTTAAAGAAGCGCACCAGACACTAGATCAATATCTCGAGGTGATCCAATCTGAGATCGAGCGAAGAACACCGGAATCTTCACAGACAATTGCTGGAGGTCGATCTGACGCATTTCAGACCTCGATCTTTGATCGGACAAGTAGTTCTTCGGACGCTGGTCCAGAGACTCCAAGCGATAGGCTAACATCCCGTGTATCAACGTTCGGGTTTGAGCCTGAGAAGAATCTGCTTGAATCTCCTTTAAGCGTCACGCATGATAACGAGTATACTCGACTAGTAGAAATGAGAGAAGGCCATGGAGCTCCGCGAAACCACCTCCAATTACTGGCGACGGAAGATGACGGCTACGATAGCGATAGAGAAGGATCTACGGCGATGACATTACAGCCTTCTCAGCAGACTTTACATCCTCCAGAGACGCCAATTAGCCCAGATGGTGTATGGGAGACTGTTCAACCTCGTCGATCGAAACGGCCACGAGAGCTAGATCTTCACCGGACAATCACTCGATTGGAGAAGAGCAAATACAGGGACCGGGCTGGCTCATTCCGTGCGATGAGCGCCATTGATCCTAGACTGAGCACCGAGAACGCTCATGGCTACGTGCAAAGATCATCTTCCAGAGCTCAATCTCGAGGCAGGATGTCTGGTCACTCCCATGCTGAGGTTGCTCTGACAAACATCACCGCAAGCAGCCCTCCGCCTGCTAGAGGAGGAGGTAAAATTGTCGGTCGTCAGTCGTCATCAACAAGAGAAAAGTCACATCTTGTCGCTGGTTCCGCTTCATATGCTTCTGCTGTGGCGAGTACAACAAAGGATACAATTCCAGGTTTTCAAGAGATGCTTCGGCAAAGAAGTGAACCTTCGAGGAGACCTGGTACTAGCACCTCTACTGCGGAATCCGCATCTCGGAATTCGGCTTTAGAGTCGCTACAAAGGTACCCTATTGAAGTCCTTCGGCATTCTGCAGAACCAAGAGTTCTGACTCTGATGCCACCGTACCCCCAAACCCCTGGTACAGATCCCGATGTGACATACGAACAGCCTTTCCCTGACAAAGCATTGTATGATAACCGCAGCTATAGCCAAGAAAATCTCCACTTAGGCCCAGCTCCCTACTCAACAAATATATATCCTCGCATGCCCGGCACAATCCCAGTCGAGACCCGGGATTCCTCCTCGTCACCACTGAAGCGAAGTCTCCCACACGACTACCCAGCATGGCACTCGCAGGCCTACTCAGACAGCATGTCAAAATCCATGCTCCTGCCTCCTCGCCCACAAACCCAAACCTCCAATCCAACCCCACCCTATCTTTCCCTCTCCTCCCCCAACATCCGACGCCCACACTCCAATTCCTCACCCCGCCCCTCAACCTACTACCCTGGGCACCCCGAACTCTCCTTCACCAGCCCGCCCAACCAACATAACGGCGGCTACACCTCGCAACCCATGTCGCGCGATCCCTCGGGCCAATCTGCCAGCTCTGCCGAACAAGGAAGAAGACGGCGGCGTTTAAGTCTAGCGGAAACAGAACCTTTACCCCAACTCCCAGCATTCAGTCCCGTCATTCTGCCTACAAGCTACCAGGTTTATGAGTGTATACAAGAACGGAAGTTGTTGGACGAGATGATGGCGGCGGATAGGGGGCGCAAACCGGGTGGTCCAGTGCGCAAGAGTCCGCGGTTGGGGAATGCGAGGGCGGCGTTGATTGAGAGGTTGGATGACGGTGTTGAAAAGTAAGTCCTTTTGTTTGCCTCTCTTTTCCTTTTCCTTTCCACTTTGATTTTAAAATTGTTATCGGGGAATCGTAATATTCACGTGAATGGCAATAGTTTACCGGCTCCCCCGCCGACAATTCCACCCCAACCCTGCCGCACCCCCATTCTCACCCTCCTCCTCCCGCGCATCCTACTCAGCATCAGCTCGCACATCTCCCGCACACCTACAAGGTCCTTTCTCACCACCACCCTTAGCCACACCTACACAGCATTCTTTCTCTTCAACATCGATTCCGCCAATCTCGCATTCAATTAAAATGCATCCCTATTCAACACCCCGATCCTTCATGAACCAAAAGGAAGGACAGAGGGAAGAGCAAGCCCAAGCTCCTGAAATGGGAAGAAGTGGAAGTGGTGGTGTCAGAGTTGGGAATGGGCAGGTTATTGAGTTTGGGGATTTTCCGGATAAGGTGGATATGAGGGAGGCGAGGGAGAGAGTTGAGAGGACTTGGGTTGCTAGGGAGGGTAGTTTACCGATACAGATGCCAGAACCGTTGGGCGTTGGGCTTGGGATTCGTAGATCTTAGATGGAGTTTGGGTTGTGAGTTGTGGGCTGAAGTAAGGAAGAGGGAAGGGGGGCAAGGGAAGGTGGGAATTTACTTATTGATTCATTGAAGGTTCTGAGTTGTTGGAGGAAAAGATGAAGGATTGGAATTGTGGTATATGTTTTTCAATTTCTGCATTTGATATACCCAGGGGTACTTTTATGGCGTTTGTTTTATTTGGTCGGGTTGGGCTGGGTTTGTTATGCATAGGTATGAACGGATGGTATAAAATGCATAGGGACGGACGCATGGATGGGTTGCATTGCATTGCATGGAATGGCGTGGAATAAGGATGGGTATCGATACTTGTAATATAAGCTTTGGCTACCTGAAGGGAGGATCTTGTGTGCGCGATTAGTGTGCCAATTTGAGCTTTCTGGTTGAGTGTGCGAGTGCGATGTTATTATATTTTGCAAATGCTCCTTCTCTGAACCGATGTTCGGTGCTGGCCGTCCTTGAATTGGCTCTTTCCTCTTATGTGTGCCTGGCAGTTTGGACAGGCAAGTGTCAAGCGACGCTCTTTCTCTGACCTGAGTTTGATGCCGTCCGCGAGTTCGCACCTTCCTTCCAGACCAGAGTGTTTTTATTTAAGACCCTGCGTGGCCTGGCCAGAACGAACCTTTCACATCACATCCATCACGTTCATCCATTCCATCAACAGTCCTACTATTTGCATGTTTGCTTGCGAGTCCTTTATCGCTCTTATTCGAAATCGTTGACTGAGCCTGCCCATTACTACTGTCAACATCAATCTTACTTGCTCCCTTTCGTGCATGTTGCCTCAGCAAGCAATAATGAGGACCTCCACCAGCATTTCTTGTGCTCTTGCAGCTCTGGGATCCGCCAATGCTCTTCGACTCGAGAAGCGTGATAGCCCAGCTGTAGTCTCCTTCCCTTTGGAAAAGGTGGACAAGATCACTTCCATATCCCCAATCTCCGATTCCAAACGTGACACTGGTCCTATCGAAGATCCGATCTTCCAAGATCTGAGACAACTGGTCTACATGGTTCAGCTCGAGATCGGAACTCCTTCCCAGTCCATTTCAGCTGTCTTCGACACTGGAAGTCCGAACTTGGTAATTCATACCACAAAGGACAAGTCCTGCGTGGAACCGGCCCCAAATCCTTGCTCACTGTATGGAGGGTGTGAGTGCAACTTTAATTCCTTCCCTTTTCGATATATGTATCACTAACGCTCGCAGATGACGCAAATGCATCTTCCACCTACCATTACGAAGACAGTAACTTCGCAATCGAGTACCAAGATGGAGAGAGCACCCTCGGAGACGACGCAACGGATAATGTTATTCTCGGGTCGAAAATCCTCAGGGATTTCTACATCGGTCTCCAATACCAAACAGAAATCCTCGATAATGTTCTTGGTGCTTCGTTCACAGAGGATGAAATGGCAAACTCACACAGCGGACACACCAATCTCCCTCAATTACTCCGCGACCAAGGTCATATCGCCTCCCGAGCATATAGTTTGTATACTGACGATTCAAACAACGGAAGTGTCCTATTCGGCGGGGTGGATATCGACAGATTCCACGGCGATCTTGTTAAGATTGATCTTCTTTCCAATCCTGATACGCGCCCCACCCGCGTTACCTCCTTTTCCATACCTTTGCTTTCTGTTTCGCAATTCGATGGCAACTCAACCACCGATTTTGCAAGATCCTTTCCGACTCGGGTCACCTTTGATTCGGGAACCTCGCTCACCTATCTCGATCCCGTTCAAGTGCAATCGATCTGGACCTCTGTCGGCGCAGTCGCTCATTTTGGCAACCTCAATTATGCTACGATCCCATGCATTGCAGCTGAGACAGACAGAACCCTTGATTTTGAGTTTGCGGAGGTCACTATCAAAGTTCCGTTGAGCCAGTACGTTTTATGGCACGACTCTCACAATGATATTTGCGTTTTTGGGATTGCCAAAGGGGAGCCAGAAGGCCCTTTTACCATCGGAGTTACCACTCTGTCCTCCATTTATGTCGTCTACGACCTTGACAACAAACAGCTTCATTTGGCACAGGCTGTTAGAAATGCCGCAACGTCCAACATCCTGGAAATTAAGGGGGGACCTGATGGGGTTTCTGCTGTTGCTGGCTGAGGCACGGTCGCAATTTTGGCAGCGAGCGAAGCAAGCACTCTGAGCACCTCAACGCTGACCCATTCACCAGCTCTGTCGGTGCCAACGGATAGTCCGCGATTCTCCTTCGAGCGTAGCGCTTGAACCTAGCTGCGCGTCTGAACAATCGTTTGTACCCTTGCCACAATAATGCGAAACAAATGCATGGTGACTGTAAGTTTACTCCCTCCATAATGGGGGAAATGAGCTAATGAATGTGCCTGCTGTAGTGAGGACAATCAGTGGTTATATAGAGGCGTGAAAATGAGATGGGATAAGACGAGATGAGTTTGGGGACAGGAATAGGTCAATAGGAGAATCAAAGAGAGACATTGTAACAAGTAGATTGGGTATCAGAGAGATATGGTACCTTACTACTTACTGCTTCTGCGGTTGTACAAAGCAGACTAATAAGAATGAAAAATATATTTCCGCTTTCTACTACTGATTTTGTGTATAACCCCTCGAGATCGACCGGTCCGTAGAGTTAACAGATGTTCCAATAACTTCTGACTTTTTGTTTTGTGGTGGTCGGGATGCAAGAAGCAAGGAAGAAGGAAGGAATGTAGAGCTTCGTGGTAATACGGAGTAACTCTCTCAATGCCCCCAAAGACGCTGGAGAGTGGACGGTCACGTGGGGCGATAGACTACAAGTCTCTTTTCCATTCGGGAACTGATTGGAGAGATTTCTAGGGCTGTATTTCTAGTTCGTTATCACTGTATTTATTTTCTACGCTGCGCGAGTTGCGTACTCGTTGTTAAGACCAAGCCAAACTAGCTGCATGAAGCACGACTTTTATACGAGCAAGCTTTCTTGCTTGAATTTCTCTATTGTTCAATTGTAGGCAGGAAATCTAGAGACTTCTTCAGATTAGTTCTAGTGTTATCTCTGTCTACTTACCTTGAATATCTATTCTCACCTACTCCCCCAACCCCACAAATTGAACTTTTCCCTCTTCCCTACCAACCCACGCCTCTATATTCTCCCCTACGACGCGTCTCAGTTTCTCAATACTACTCCGAGCATACCAAGCCACATGCGGACTAACGACGACCCTGCCCTCCAACTCCGCATCTCCACCCGGACTCTTCTTCAACTCCCGCAATAACACACTGTTCGCCTCCCCTGCCGGCTCCTCGACAAACACATCAGTCGCCGTGCCCTTCAACCGTGCCTGCTTCAACGCGTCTACTAGAGCTTCTTCGTTCACAATCCCGCCTCTGGCGACGTTGATGAGGAGCGCGTCGGGGCGCATGAGCGAGAACTCGGGGTGGGAGATTAGGTTAATGGTTTCGGGGATGAGGGGGCAGGTTATTACGATTACGGTTGAGGTTTGGAGGACTTCGGTGAAGGGCGTTCGGCCTGGGATGGTGGTGCTGGTGGTGCTGGAAGGGAGGTTTTTGCGGGAGGAGAGGAGGACATTCATTCCTAGGGCGCGGGCAATTTTCGCTACTCTGTTTCCTGGGGGATGTTAGTCCTGTGTTTGAGGGATGTGAAAGAGAAGGGGGTTAAGGCGAGTTTGATTCGGCTTCGGGTTTGGATTTGAATTAATTCGAACCGAATGTATGGTTGGGGGCTCAGATCTGAAGCCGAGACTTTGAGAGTGATGAATCTTGCCTGGTCTCGGAAGAGATGAGGAGATGGTGCATGTGATATTCAGAGAAGTGAAAAGAAGAACAAACCAAGCTCGCCCGCACCAATAATCCCCATTACTTCATCCCTGCACGTCCCCGGAAGCCCACCAAAGGTCGGAGTTAGGTTCCCAGTCTTAACCCAATCCTCAGTATTAACCAGCTTATTATGCGCTCCTATTCTTCTCCATCAGTTCGTCTCTCCACCTTAGCACACCCCCCTTTTCCGTTCGTATACACAGAACGAATCAGGCACTTTAAGCGAAAGTGGGGTTCCTTAGGGGATGGGAACTTTACCAATTATATTCCTCCTCAATGCAAAGAACAGCGCAATAGCATGCTCGGCCACGGCTTCATTACTCGCTGCTGGCACATTACACACCTGCACACCGTGCTCCTTACACGCTGCAAGATCGATCATATCAGTGCCGATAGCAAAGACGGCGATGAGCTTTAGTCTCGGGCATTTTGAGAGCGTGTCGGCTGTGATGGGTACCCGGGTCGTGATTGCTATATCGGCGGTAGCGAGATGGGAAGAGATGGTGCTGGAGTCCGGGGGTGTGCGGTCGTGCGAGGTATAGGTGTGTTTGAAGGAGGGAGAGAAGATGGGCGCGGGGGAGACCCAACTGTCGAGGCGGACGATGTGGGGGGCTGTGGTGTTGGCCATTTTCGAATGGAATAAGAAAAGAACGAGTTTTCGAAAATTATAGAATGAATGGATGCCTAAGCACATATATGATAGTTGAACCTTCCTCGCGATTTGAATAAGCCGTCTATTCCATGTCAAGGCCAAGGCGTGTGTCACGTGTGTATGACCTCCCCCCTTTCAGGCGTAAGCTACGAGTGCAGAAAAGGTTTTATGAATTACGAGTATATTTTCCTAAAAACCTATTATAGGTTACAAGGTAGTTATTAATAAATAGTAAGAAATATAGGCAGAACTACCAAGTAAGCTAATATAAGCCATAAGGTAATATAGCATCTACCCAATAGGGATCTATTGCATAAGCAATCCCGTGCCACGTGGCAACCTAGCGCGGGGTAGCTCGAGTAGCGCATAATTCGGGATCGGGGCTGATTCACTTTAACCTCACCTCACTTCAATTGACCTTTAGCAATCAAACAATATACGCCCACCAGTGAAGCTCCCACCTTCATCCCCGAACACTCGTCAAGATCTAAGTAGCAGTACTTGCAGATTCAGCTCCCTTCTCCCCAGCCACTAAGATCATATCGATTTCCCCCCTCGCACGAACATCCACACGTCCCCATAATACTCGAGCCAGCACTGCAAGCTCATGATATAATAACCACCACCAATATGTCCTCCCACCTACCAGCAGCTCACTCGCCAAAACGGAAACGAAATGCCATACCTCCCACCCCTCCGGCCTCCTCCCCAAACACGAACATGCGCCTCAATACCAACACCTCCAATCTAGACGTTCAAGAAGATGATGATGAAGAAGGAGGCAGAGCTGGCAGCCCCCGTACAAAGGTATCCTACCACTTCCAAGGTCTACAGCTTGAGGACCGCTTTCCGATAGGTGGAGAGGTATCACAGCTGCATCTCCAAAACCATCTCTCGAGACCTAATTCCGAAGAGGAGGATGATGAACACATAATCCGCAAACGGGTCAAAATGCTCAAAGAAAATACACACTTCACCCCCGCATCCCCCTCTCATTCTCACCAAAAGCGACCTCTCGAAATCCCCGAAACGCCCCAACAAACAGCACACTCTCAACCAAGAAGCGCATTCGCAATCTCCATACCCGCCTCACGGTCTGTTGATCCCATCATCGCCGAAAAAGCCGCGAAAGTTGTCTTACACAACGATATCGATCCAGTGGTTTTCACGTCTGGCGGTTCGCCGTTGAGCAAGATAAAAAGTGCGGGGTCAGGGTTGGCTCGGGCTTATCCGAGTATTAATCGCCTTGCGGATTCGAAATCGAGGAAGCTGAGGGCAGGGGATGAGGAAGGAAGTTTAGTGGTGGATCCGGAGAGGGCGGCATTGACGTGGCATGACGATGAGATTACTGGACGTAAGTACATATTGCCCCTCCAAATTTCCGAGTCATAGTGGTGTTCTATAGTACTAATGCGGAAAATTTAGATGACCCGACCGACTCCGACGACGACGGCGAAGGAATAAACGGCATTGGTTTCCGCCCTACAGCTGCTGAAGCATATGCGCGCACTCAGAAACGGAAACAGCAGATGGAACAGTACCGTACTAGGGAAGCGAGGGAAGCAAGAGCAAGGAGGAGTGAACGTCGGAGGGGAGTAGAGGGTGTTAGTGAAAGCGCGGGGGAGAAAGATAGGAAGGTCAGGTTTGAAAGCGAGGGACAGGGGGTTGGCAGTGTAGTCGCTCCATACTTTGAAGGTGTGGAAGGAAGAGCAGAATTATCTTGATGAACATGGAATTCGGTTCCTTGCAAGCGAGCAAAGGTTGCTTAGCGATGGCGTTTGGGTTTGCTAAGCCGGATTAGAGGGACTCACAATATGGTTAAGGGCTTGGCGTTTCAATATGGCTGCGCGTTATAGATACAAGGGTTGATACCGTGCTCTCGATGATCTGGAGATGGAGATGAGACCTTTCTCAAGGTATCCTTCACTTCACTTCTCCTTGACTTTAGGTTGCGTATGGAGTAAGCATACACAGTACCTCTTATAGCGCTTTAAATTTCAACTAACCCCGTCTGGGAATGGTTTTGTACTTGTTTTCATTCTTATATATGCATATATACTAAAGTATAATCTATATGAAATATGATAGATGATTTCAATGCTATCTACAGTCAAGTCGAGAGAGAGAGAGATCATTTTAGCGGGGGTTGCGAGTTATACCTAAATAGGTAGGAGGATGTGAAGTTTTGTTGCACGTCAACCTAATCTCCAATATCTCTATTCCACAAACCCATCCTAACTCAGCTATGGTTTTCCAGAAAAGCATAAACAACCACGCCGCCCTAGCAGCGAAGCTCTCAGAGTATATGATCCAACATCCCGTGATCAACAACAGAATATCTCCAATGAATGCCTACAGCTTGTTATTGTTATTCAATAATAAACAATCCGCAGGATGTCATTTCATTACAGAAGCCAACCTATTCACATCCAAAACATATGCCATATATGTATATGAACATGCAACTTCTTCCATTCCCTTCCCCCTTCTCCTCCTCTACACACTTTCCTCCACATAACCACTTGACCAGATCCCCACAAAGTCATATCAAACCTAAGAGCCCAATACCTCTGATAAAACACAAAACACATTCATTACCCAGCCCTTTGCTATTAGCCTCACAACCTCATACTCCATATCATCCACCAACTCAAAATGCCGCAAATCACTCACTTCGCGCAGGATTACCTGGACTCGTCTGCTAGCTGGTGGTATTGCTGCAAGGAAGATGTAAGTCCGACACGTCTTGTTACTGCGAAAATGAGAGACTAATCTATCGGTGTTAGTGCAAGACCGCGAAACGTCCTACGGCTTATAAGCTGGATGTGAAGAAATGCGCATGTGAGCACAGTAAATGCAAGAAGTGTAATGTGGTTAGCGTTGAGATTGGTACCAAGAAGCGCGATGCGGATGTTGGGGGTGGCTATTATGCATGAGTTGACAGTTCGCACTGGTTACGGATTGGGGTTGGGCGGTCAGTTTACAGGATAGATATATATTTGGTTATCGGAGAATGGCAGATTGGGAATATGAATGAGATTGGGATTGGTTTATGGGTTAGGTCTTCACAATCAATGATTTTATAAATCTAGATCCGATGCATCATAATGCAACCCCATTAACATTCCTCCTTCACACACCCATCAGCTCTAGCTCGGCTCATAGCCAATCTCTCCCGCACGCCATAATGTCGCTCCTTGAACTCCCGTATCCTCTCCCACCATTGAACATTGATAAACTTATGAACATCATAGCTCCATCTCCTCTGAGGCGCAAACCAGGTCTTTAGCGATAGGAACAACATTCCCTCGCATCTCTCGCCTGCTGGACGGACCATTAAGCAAGGGGGTATGCAGTGGCATTTAGCGTCGATATTCACCTTGCCGTGACAGGACCAGTGCAGGGGGTAGAAGGTTTTGCAGGTGAGACCCAGACAGGTTGAAGTGATTTTGTCGCGTGCGAGATGGTCGAGGATCAGGAGGTGGATTTCGGGGGGGAGGGAGTGAGGCGTAGAGGGGTGGAGGGAGCTGGGTGTTGTTAATGGCTTTTTGGCACGGATATGGAGAAGGAAGGAGGGTACGCACTTGGTTGGGAGGGTTCCATGGCTTCTGTGTTTGCGAAGACAGTGCTCGATTGCTTCGCGGCTTCAGGAAAGTTGTTGATTGCAAAGTTGGTATCGGAGTTCTCGAGCTGATGTGGGGGCTTCGAGTGTTGTTGTTTTGTGGGACATAATATCTAGGTAAGTTCTTGATTTATATACATGATATTAAGAAGATGCTCCCAGATGGCGGTCAACGTGAATGACTTTTATCAAGTGAATTGTGGTGAGCTCAATACAGCATTGAGCAAGCTCTGTCTACAGCAAGGTGAACAGACTAGATGCGCCTTCCTCTTTCAACGTCTCAAACTCTTGCCCTAAGGTCATTTCCCACTTGCGATGAGTCTCTCCGTCTGCAATCATCACATCAAGGTGCTCAAATATTCTCACATCACATTGTTACCGTTTAATCCAATTCAATTTCAATTCAGCTCCAACAATTATCTTTCCCGCCGACCAAAAATATCACAACCTTCCCAACCGACGGAACATACAAGCCGGATACGGATTCCAGCGACAACGCATCCATTCACGCAACCAACCATCCGCAAAGTCGATTGGTGGTGTAGATCCATATATAAGGAGACTCGGACGATCCATATTGTTTATCCATTCCTCAACAACAATCCGCATCAATAAGGCCAACCAACCTTGGGTCAGACTGCAACTCAACAACAGATAAACAGAACACTATCCGCAATGTCCATCCATAACAGAATTTGGTATCGGGAGCCCAAGATGGAGGTAGTCCACAACTGGCGCTGCTGCATGGAATCAGTGAGCGCCTCGACCCCAACGTGAGGACATAAAAGAAGCCGAATTAATGCGTTGTATTTAGTGCCAGAGGAGGCAATCGATAGACGAAAAGAAATGTGTCTGTGGACATGAACCTTGCAGACTATGTCCACACTTTTTCAGCCCACGTCTGAGCACTGTGGTAGAGGAGCCCTATCAAAGTCCATGGGAGGCGTTTCGCCAGAGCTGGATATGCGATCTCCTAGTCCGTACTTTCTATCCTGCACAACAAGATGCCGAGAAGCGCGACGTCACGCAGAGTGAGAAGGAACATGATTTGATGGAGAAGAAATGTTCTTGTGGGAATGAGAATTGCAGTGGCTGCGAGAAGATTGCTACGATGTTGGAGAACGAGAATGAGAAGGTGGCTTCAAAGAGAAAGACCGAATAGGGTCTTGTAAAGGACGGTCCTGTCGCCTGCAGCTCTGCGTTGGGGTTTCTGTGCTTATGATAAGGGTTATGAGTATTAGTTATGGACCTCTAGCGATTATTGTTTTATTCCAGTCTAGAACTAGCGTAGCATAATTATCTTCCCAAGAAAATAAACAGTCCCAAGGCCTCGAACATTCATAGAATGAATTAAGCAACCCAGGGAGGCTCTGCAAAGAGTGAGTGATTATTCCTGTAAATACAGCTACAAGTATGAATGATAAATGTATGAAGCATATTTTGCATTATTATATGAGGAAAAGAATTCTCTGGCAAATGCTTCTACCTGGATCATCACATGGATGTCTCCAGTTCAGGGGCTCGCTTAGGCGTTTGGACTGAAAGGCATCTGTTTTTAGGCTTATAGGTCTTAAATAGATATCGTGAAGCTAGAACTCGTGGCTGATCCCTTATATGTCTTCTCCAGAACCTACGCTTTAAATTCAAAAATCACAAAAAGGGACGTCTTGCCAAAAGTGTATCACATGATGTACCTCGTCCCAGCCAGTGGGACTGTAGGATCTACATTGCATGAATTGGTTCTTGGCAAAAAAATATTTTTTGCAATGTTTGCTTCTTTGATCTCACACCGAGGGGAAACAATAGTTGTTTCCCACAATCCATCTTATATACTTTCTACGGTTTGAGGCAACAGAGAAGTTCCGGGCATAAATTGTGGCTCTTATTGCCCAGCCTTCTGCTTTCAGCAAGCATCAATATCAAGCCTTGTCGGGGCTTATGCCTCTTCGGCTGGCCCCCACCTTCGCATTGGCCATCTGCTGCCTCACCAGAGCCGCAAGGCTCTGGTGAATTATGTCAAATACGGATAAGGCCCGAACAGCCGTTGTCAACCCCATTTTCCACGTTGCGAGTTGTCTTTCATTGCGGCGTTGTTACAGTGTGACCTGTAGTACAAGAATCATGGCAGCTCGACTTAGCACTGAGGAGCTCCTCAAGAGGCTCGATGAGCAACACCAGGCTTACTTACAAACATTCAAATTAGCGCACGAGGCTTTGTCACAGACCGCTGCCGCTACAACGGCGTCCCCCGCTGCCCTACCGCCTCTTCAATCGCCAGTAACTTCAGTTTCTGCCGCGAAACGAAGGAGACGGTCGACCGCCGAGCCTGAAATCGATCGACCTGGAGGTCTTCAGAAGCCATCCACGTATCACAGCTCTGTTCTGACGGGCGAGAGCGACGAGAGCGACGAGGATGATGAATTATATGTTCAGACTCCACTGGCGCGGTCTAAATACGAAGATGAGGATCTTCGGAAGCACTTGCAAACTCACAAATTCAATGAAGAAGGGCAATTGCTGCTAGATTCGATAGTTGATAGCGGCGTGCTTCTGCGTCCTACTCTTTTCCCAAAATACGACCCAGATGAAAAGTTCCACAATTCCCATTACACGATTTTTGACGTTGGCAAAGACGGTGCCCCGCTATCGAGATCTTTCGTGGTAAAACCGGGATCGTCAATTGATTCTTCTATTTGGCAAGCTATTAAAGTACGGAATTGCAGCCTCGTTTTCGATTTTGAGAATTGACGTTTAATGTAGGAGTTAAATGCCGACCCCGCAGCGCTCCGACCCGCAGTGGGTAGAATCAGCATCGTCCGGGAACCGTCCCCGATTATTTTTGGCGCGCTTCACCTGACTATGAACAGAGATTTCGATATGGATGAGATATTTGAACATCTTGTAGAACAAGACAATTCGGCTGTAAGAATCTTTCAACCGAGCCTGAGCGGTAAACTAACAAGAGTTCCAGGCTCACATGATCAACCGTGGCTTCAACGATGATCAACGGCAGCAACGGTCATTGATCTTCAAGTTTGATTACTTTACGGTCGTTGGAGAAGAAGTTGAGCCCATGCCATGGCAGACATCCGATGGTGCTGGAAAAGTACTGGACCCTCCTGAAGGCCATATCCCGATCTCGAGATGCAGCTCCGTAGTCGCTTTGTCCCACTCAGGGAATCACATAAAGAAATTGAAAAATGCTTCTCGAAGGGCTCAAACGCGGTATGAATATGTTTATGATCTATGGGCTCCGGTGAGACTGGCATGAGACACGTTCAATATCGACTGCTAATATATCCTAAATAGTGGCATGTGCTCAATATTCAGTGCTATCCGGATCATAAGCATAGTATGGATAGTCATGACTCGACGAAGCATTATGTCAATGGTCCTGAAGCATTCTTGCATACACTTTTGGCTGAGTTCAAAGATGCAGAGAAACGTTTCGAAGAGATATACAACAGAATCACCAAGCTCATCACTCCTCCGGTAGGTCAACACCTCTTCGCGACTGAATATTCTCTACATAAGCATGTATTGGATGTTGATAGAAACTGACAAGCCTAGGCCGACTTCATGTTCAACGGCCAACTGCGAGATAGACTTTTGTTTGAAGACGAAGAGTTCACTTATTCCCGACGCTACTTTTGGGCGTTTCAAACCCTCGGAATAATGAACAATGGTATAAAAGCCATAATAGACGCCTACGAAGACACCTTTACGGACGAAGTTTGGGAAGGAAAGCACAAGACACTCTGGCCCATGCTTGAACACGATTCCGGCCGCAACGTGTATTGGAAAAAGAAGATGGCTGGCTTACGAAAGGAGTTCCAGAGAGAGATTAGACATTTGGAAAAGCTGTACGAGGAGAATGATGATCGGAGGAAGGAGATCCGGACATTGCGCGACCAGCTTTTCTCGGGGACGAGTGTTTTGGAGAGCAGAAAGAGTGTGGAGCTGTCTACCGTGACGATTCTGCAGGGGCATAATATTAAACTTTTGACATTGGTAAGACATCTACATTATTTACCGACTACCTGCATTACTCACAAGAATTCTAGGTCTCGATTTTCTTCCTTCCTCTGACATTCGTCACCTCTGTCTTTGGCATGACCAACATGCCCACCGAGCACCAATTCAAATGGTTCGGGATTGTCATGGCCACAGTGTGCATTCCATTCTTTCTATTAATCGGCTCCCTGAACACGACGTCCGGGATGGAATTCTGGCGCTCAAAATGGCAGTATCTGCTCTCATACATCTCGCACGCCCTCTCGTCTTCCCCTACCAAGGAAACTGTTAGCCAAAGAGTGCAGCAGTACCAAAAAACCCAACAGCGTAAGCTTATTATCAAGAGGAAGAGGGAAGGGAAGGGGAGGGACAAATAACTAATAATGGTTGACGTTGAGCAGGAATCGATAAGATAAAAAAGCGCTCATTGTCCGCTGCTCAGGCAATGCAGATCCGCAACGCTCAAATCATACCCCTCGCAACCCAACCCACGTTATCCACATCCGTGAGCGTGAGTAAAGACACGCCTTCGAATTCAAACGGCGAAGAGGAACAGAAGGAGGAGAGGGATAGGGAAAGAGAAAGACCGCCTGCCATGTCTGCCAGCGAGTCGATGGGCAGCAAGAGCATAACGATTGCGGCGGCGAGTCTGCCTCGGCATGGCAGGAAGAGGGAAGCGTCGTCGTGGTGGGAGAAAGTGTGGGGGAGGAAGAGGCGGGCTAGGGGGTATGAAGTCTGAATGGAAGCTAAGAGGGTGATGTCTTAAGCCATTCACTCCACATACAGTATCAAGCTCTATATAAGCAGATTCGTGCATGTGCGTCTTCGGACCGCAGCTCTTGCTACCTTAGGTATGTTAGCCAGGCTGGACAAGTGAGCCTAACCGGGCTACGGATAACCTGAAGTGCTCAGAAAGCACTAATTGTTTGACGGTGCTCTCTGAAAGCCGACGAAGACCCACGTGACTATGCGACGAATAAATTACTTACATGGTGGAGGACAAATTTATACTTCAAAATAATCAACACCAATGGTAAAACGTTTTGATTATTTGGATCTCAAGATGATCAACCTTCCGCCAACTCTTTTGCCTATATTTTTGAACTTGAACTAATCTAGTGATGTTGTCAATTGAACTGCTGAACCGAAGCCTCGCTTAAACGAGAGCGCCTGCCCCTTTTGAGTAGACGCGGAACTCATTCCAGAGACTAGACAGGTACCAGTCCTAAGGAAACTTGCAGCGAGCCGTTTACTTGAGTACTGATCACGCGGGTAGACTTACGCGTAGCGTCGTACATAGACTCGTAGGATATGTATGCATCAAGCGGGTGGACTAAACACTACAGTACGCCAAGTGAACCCCATCCCATCCCATCCCATTTCCTTCCGCTAGCAGAGTAAAGAAAGACGACATTAAAAAACAAGAGAAAGCTAGTGTCTATTTCAGTAAAGATAATAGGAAAGATGTATGTATGTGATGCAACTTCTCCCCCAAAACAATGCTTGCTGCTTCCTTCCTCACCAACGTATTCACAGCCTTCAATCCTCCGTACCCCTCCTCTGATCCACCTCCCAACTTCCAAACACCCCTTATAAGTAAAGACCCCCTCCTTACTTACGCACAAATAAACAAATGGACATTTACTGGAACAGCCACAGCGCTTTCACCCACTCCAAAACACCCCAAAAGACATTCCCCTGCACAACCCCACTATCCGCGACAAAAATATGCTGGGGAATGGTTGCGGGTACAAAATTGCATGAGCCGCAGCGGAGGTGGATTGTGCCCGTGGTTAGGAGGGTGAGTTTTCCGTTGGGTTGTTTGGAGGCGGATGTGGATGTGGGGGGATTGATGCCGAAGCACTAGGTGGGTGTTAGTGAGGTTGGAACTTGGAGGGTAGATAGGGGAGGAGGGAGAGAACAGACTTTTGTGCAGAGTGAGGGAGGTGGTAAGGGGGGTATGGAGGTGGTTGAGGTCGGTGAGATAGGATGGGTTAGGGGGCGAGGGTTGGCATTTTGGTTGTTGTGGGGTATGATGGGGGATCTGGTGGATGGGGTGGAGTGGTAGCAGTCGAAGAGAAGACGAGGGCAAGGGAATTTATGTGATAATGAATATGGGTAAATAGATAATGCGATGAGTCGAAACGGTGAATGAATGAATGTTCTAGGGTTGGGAATCCCTCTAGAAAAGGAGGTTATTCATGACTGCTCTGCTGTTGGGAAGGTGCATATATATCTCTCCGTGATCCCACTCCCTTTGTCTTCCCAGGTCCATGGTAAATCTAAAATATACTAAAAAAATATAATGGAAACTCATCACCGCAAGAGCAATACACGAACCCGAACCATTCAACTACAGCGGCGACTGGACTTGTTGTCGCTGTCGCAAAGTAAATGGACCGCGGCAAGATCTGTGCGGGCATTGCAAGGAACACTTCCGCTGCGATACCTGTTACCTCAGGGAATTAGGCTATGGCAGGTTAGGCCATCGAGAGGCAAGCCTATGGATAGGAGGGAATGCAGAGAAGGAAGGATCTTGGAACCGTATCTTGACCGTGTTGGGTTTGCGGAAGAGCTGAGCTGAAGTAGGGATTGGATATTTGTATATCAACGTTGATGTCCTATGCTGTAAGGCTTGACTCCATCTAAGAGAAATCCATCGAAGAAGTTATATCGAAATTTGTATGGGTGTCGCCAGTGCTTCGTGCACACTCTCCGTGTTGACCTCGTAATCAGTTCGGCCTATGACAGATCAATGTTTTGCATTACAGTTCCCCATCCCCATCCCGTTTCCGGTTGCAGCTCTTTGTTCGCCTACTTGCTTTCTTAAGCTTCTTTTCTGTCCGAACCAGAATCCTGCAATGGTTGGTGCCCACGATAGCAATGACACCTCGACCAACACCAACTCTGACGCCGATTTTCGTTACTTTGGAGGAGTCCAGGCGTTGGGTGATAAAATGTAAGAAGTTGTAGAGCCAGTTGGGCCTCCTGAGGAGCTAGATTGGTAGTAGCATCAGCATGATCGAGCATAGTGACCAGTTTCTACTTGAGTGAAGCTATGCCCCCTTGGGCGCATATATGGTTATGGGCACCGCAGCACCGCTTGTTTTCTCCGCAGGACATCAATTAGGGCTGGGGCAGGGTTTTTCGTTTCCTCCTCATCCTGCAGCTTTCTGTACCAGTCGTCAGTCGAGGTTACGGAGAGATGCAAGACACGTACTCGTATCGTATGTATTCGGCAGGCAACTGGGGGTGAACCATGCTGACCGATACAGAAACCTCGATAATAACTCTCATCGTTGCTTCCACATAGTCCGTTGGGTAGACATTGATCTTGGATCTCTGCTGTGCGGTCTAGAGCACATGATTTATTGTCGATGCCGTCGTTCGCGATGCGTGGTGCACATTCTGTAGCTAGTGCAGCCTGGTATGAACTATCTGGATTCTAGCAAGTTTTGTCCACTACTTTAACGAACGTGAGTACGACCGCGAGCGCAAGATCCAGATACCTTTCATTGGACATTAAGGAAAAGATGAGCTCTCAAATAAGTATATAAGCAAGTAGAAGCCGAGAAACTTCTCAATTCAATCTGCCAAATTCAGATCTCTTCCATTGAAGCCATAACAGTCCTAGGTTTCACTACCTTGAGCAAAGCAGGGAGCATAAGCAATGATCATCTATTCTTATATTCATGTTCTCTCCTGCGTATAGTGTTATCGAAAAAACTCCATGCCAATAATAAATCTAGACAAAGTGTGTAATCACGGGGTATTCGTAAATCAATGAGCCATGACTGCATCAGCCACTGGGTGCTGGTGCTCAGCGGCGCCATTTGAACCATTAGGCTTCTCAACGCCATCCATATCCATATCCTCATTAGCGTCACCCTCAGCCTCTTCTTCCTCCTCAAGTTCTTCGTCCTCGCTGCCACTGCTCTCGGCCTCAAGATCTTCACTGCCAGCATCCTCATCCTCTTCTTCTGCAGCAGCGGGGTCGACTTCTGCTCCGGCCATCTCGGAGTCTTGGACCATGGCGTCGGGATCGGCTGCAGCTTCGGCACCTTCTGCGATCTCTTCCTCTTCATCCTCGACTTCCTCGGCACCATATTCTTCTCCATCGGCATTCAAGTCTGCCTCAGGCTGATCAGGTGGGAATTCAGCGGGACCGGAATCATCAGAGTCCCTAGGCAGCATTAGCAATTAGTCATATGTGACTTGCTCCGCATATGAACTCACCATTTGATAGCAAATCTGGTCACTCGTGGCTTCTCAGCAAGTATGTTCCTACGGACCTTGTCCAGGACCGGTTTTGCTGGGGGATCAGCATTGAGCTCGTCTGAATCGTATTCATTATTGACATAATATCCAACTCGCACAAACTCCCTGCTGTCGTAGGCACATGTAAGGAGAATGACGGTGACTCCGAGGATTTCAGCGTCAGGAATTTTCTTGGTATTGGGTGGATCCGCTTCGAAGATAAATTTGTTTACACCAACTGGAATTGGGCCAACAAGGAGGGAATCGAGCTCTTGGTCATGTTGGTCGCTGGAGACAATAAGCTTAGTTTTGCGATCTGGGCAAGGGGCACTTACGAAGTAGCAGATCCGACGTAGGTCAACTTCCATTCGAGATCTAGGAAGGAGTCAGCATATGCAATGCAATGTGTACGTGCAGCATAATCCACCTTTTTGTAGAGACTCCAAACACTCAAAGGTGATTTCGAATTGATAGGAATCACCGAACTTGGCTGGGTTGTTGAGGACGTTGACGCCCAAGAGAGATACAACAGACATCGTGAGGGTTATTGAGCGGATTCGAAGTTTTGATTTGGTGGACGAAAATGTACGTGTAAAGGCGTATATGTAAATTCCGTTTGAGCGGGAGCTGTTGTTTAATACGCGTAGAGGGGTTGAAGGTGAAGAGGAGGTCTTTAAGAGGACGCGCGAGGGTTCACCTCACCGCCAAGGAAGCGCGACTTTGCTGCAAGACAAACGCGCCCCGCGGTGAATTCTTGGCAAGATCTTGCTTACCTAATCAATCATTTTACCTTTCTTTGAAGGGACAAGAACTCATTCACAACACCACGGCATTATTGCGCATATCAACAACTCCACCCTATTTTGCACTGCGCTTTCCACCAGCGCATGTTGTGAGCTGCGCATGTACCCATCCTTTTAACAGACAGGTTTACACTCCTCTGACAACTTCCCTTCAGAGCTCCGCTGACAAACATAGATTCACTTCCATTTTTCGAACCATCCCCCTTATTCACGAAGACCTTCTTTGATACAACCTTTACAATGGCGGAGGAAGATGCTGAGATAGCTCTCTTGCATCAGATGCAGGCGGGGCAAGATAGTGTGGCGTGGGAGAATGATGGTACAAATGGGGACGCAGAGGGCGAACTACCTTCAAATACTGAGCATAACAACCATCAAGTCAAAAAAGAAGCTGTTGCAGATGATCAAGTTCTTCGTGCTTTATCTCCTTCAGACGTTGGTGTTGTTCTCGATGATGGCGAATATGACCCATCTTCTGTTACTTCACTTCCAGCAGTTGCGATTCCAGGAGAAGACGGTTCAAGATCCAGTTCGCGCGCATCAAACCGCAAGCGGAAAACAGTTGGGGGCTTCATTGCGGATGATTCTGATGAGGAGACCGACAGCTCTACAGGTTCAAACAGTCTCCTACAGCCACCGCCATCTAATACTAAACGCGCCCCTTCCCCATTGCAAACCTCTGTCAGCCAACAAGATTTGCAAGGTACTCCGGAGAATCGAGGTGATTCAACGGCCATCTCCCAATCTTCGCATGCTCTCTCTGTGAATCCAAGCCCTGCAGGTTTGCCTTCTGTGCAAGCTTCAGCAACTCAGGTACTCACTTCCGCAGGTACATCAGCGCAAGGGGTCTCTGTCCCGAAAGCCCGCCTCCCAAATGACCGAACAGGTATTCTCGAAGACAAGATCAAGGAGGACCCTCGAGGGGCTCTGGATTCATGGCTGGCACTCATCAGCGAATTCAAGAATCGGAACAAACTTGACGAGGCTCGGGCAGTATATGAGAGATTTTTCAAAGTCTTTCCTCAAGCAGTAAGTAACCCAGTCCTCTGAAGATAACATAGCTCTAATGCACTCTAGGCCGAAATATGGGTCGATTACGCTGATATGGAACTTGAGAACGACAACCGAAGTGCAGCTGAGCAGATATTCGGCAAGTCTTTGCTGACCGTACCCAATGTCCAGCTCTGGTCCGTTTACTTGAACTACATTCGACGAGTGAACGACCTCACAAATGATGTTACTGGAAGTGCTCGACAAACGATTTCCCAGTCATATGACTTCGTTCTCGCTAACATCGGCTCTGACCGGGATTCTGGCAAGATTTGGGCTGAGTACATACAATTCATCCGTAGTGCACCTGGTCAAATTGGAGGCAGCAGCTGGCAAGATCAACAGAAAATGGATCAACTTCGAAAGGCATATCAACGTGCCATTTGTGTCCCCATGTCAACCGTGAACAATTTATGGAAGGAGTATGATCAGTTCGAGATGAGTTTGAACAAGATGACTGTAAGTATTGTTCCCGGGTCTTTTTGCAGCAAGGCTAATGGATGGGTAGGGTCGGAAATTCCTTCAAGAAAAGTCGCCTGGATACATGTCGGCCAGAAGTGCCAATACAGCAATGGACAACATTACTCGAGGTTTGGTTAGAACTACTCTACCGGTGTTGCCACCTACACATGGTTTTGATGGCGACGTAGAATATACCCAGCAGGTTGAGTTGTGGAAAAAATGGTTGTCGTGGGAGCAGGATGATCCATTAGTCTTGAAGACAGATGAGCCCGAAGCCTATAAACAGCGAGTACTATACTTATACAAGCAGGCAGTGATGGCTTTGAGATTTTGGCCCGAAATATGGGTCGATGCTGCAGAGTGGTGCTTCAGCAATGGTCTCGACAAAGATGGGGACACCTTTCTGAATGACGGTATCACCGCTAATCCTGAAAGCTGTTTGCTTGCTTTCAAGAGAGCCGATCGCCTTGAAACTACCTTGACAACGGATGCGGCTAGTAAAGGCCCAGCTGAACAAGGTGCAGTTGTTCGAGCGCCTTTCGACAAGCTTCTCGATACCTTGTATGACTTTATCAAGCAGCTGAAGGTCCGAGAGGCTGCAGACCTCGTCAAGCTGGATGAGTCTATAGCTTTGGATGCGTCAATCAGTGCTATCGTTAGCAAAGCCGAGGATGACGATGAAGAGGATGAGACGGAGAAGAAGGCCCGGGAAGCCGATAAAGCAAAGAAGACAAAGGTCATTCAACTAGGCTATTCGAGCCAAGCTCAACTCATCTCTCGAACCATCTCATTTGCTTGGATTGCATTGATGCGAGCTATGCGTCGTGTCCAAGGCAAGGGTGCGGTTAAGGACACAATTGGCGGGTCCAGACAAATCTTTGCTGATGCACGTGCTCGCGGCAAGATCACTAGTGATGTCTATGTCGCCAGCGCTTTGATAGAACATCATGTCTACAAGGACCCTGCAGGTACCAAAATCTTCGAACGTGGTGCAAAGCTGTTTCCAGAGGATGAGGTATTCATTTTGGAGTATTTGAAGCACTTGCTATCAATTGGTGATACAACAAGTAAGTCAACTCACTATGCTAGTGCAGTTACACAGCTGACCTTTCGCAGATGCCCGTGTTGCTTTTGAGACAGCTGTTACTAAACTTACGAAGAAGCCGGAATCGGTGGTAAAGGCAAAGCCACTTTACTCTTACTTTCATAAATACGAATCGCAGTATGGAGAATTATCGCAGATTCGGAAACTAGAACAGCGGATGGCGGAGCTGTATCCCGAAGATCGAAAGCTGTTCCACTTCGCATCAAGATTTAGTGGGGAAGGCTTTGATCCCACTGCAGTTCGGCCGATTGTCTCGCCAACGACTCAGATGCGCCAAAAATCTACTACCGTCATGCCGTCAATTGAGCCATACGAAGCCCAGAACAGTCCACGCCCAAATTTCGTTCAAGAAGCTAGCCCAAGACCACAATACGTACAAACAACCAACACGACAAACTCTCCAAAGCGTCCCTTCCCCGTCGAGGACATGGATGACTTCAATCGCCCCCGAAAGCTTGCAAGAGGCGAGTCCCCGCTAAAGGGAGCTGCAGGTAGACGTTTAGATCAGCAGAAGCGATTACATGGTACTCCGAACTGGCAGTCTAGTGCACCTCCATTCGTAGTACCACGAGACATCACATTCCTTCTCAGCATCATTCCCCGAGCCGATCTATACCAATCAACAAAATTCAACGCTGATGCCTTGGTTCGCCTGTTGGGTGAGACACATGTGCCAGATCACAGCTCATGGAAAGCTTCGCAGAATCAGCCGCAGCGTTATGATGGTAGGACTGCCAGTCATACTCAACGTCCCCAGTCGCGGGATCAGAGTACCTCTTATACCTCGTATACCGGTCAAGATGACAGGCATACATACAATCCGCCTCCTGCGAACCCTCCTAGCAATGTTCCAGCTCCAGTTGCAACTTACTCTGGTTATGGTGGTGCTCCAGGCTATGCTGCGCCTCCTGCTGCAAGCTATGCTCCAGGTTACAATCCTCCTCAATCTCCCTGGCCAAACCAGGTTCCTCCGAATATGTATCAGCAACAGCCAGACTCCAGTAGATCATCTGGCTATTATGGTACAAGTGGTGGTGGTGGTGCTCCTGGTACGGAAAATCGAGACTGGCAGCCTTCCCAAGCCCCTTCTTTGTCGGGTGCGGCGAGCTGGTATTGGAATCCGAACGCTAATCAAACTGCGCCAGGCTACCCTCCTTACGGACGATAAATTATCTGCGAAGATAATTTTCCGCTTCATATTATGCCGAATCAGATCTAGATGTTCTTCAAGCCCTGGGTGGATTTGTTTTTGGGCGGCGATTGGACTTGCGATTTCTTGACGAGTGCGAATGGATTTTCCCGAATGTGATGTGGTAAAGGTTTGGATGCATGCATACGTGGATTACTGGATTACTGGACAGGGACTGGGCAGTGGAATGGTACGATATGGCTACGTTTTAAGAGATGCGCCCCTCATCACGTGTGGAATTCGCGGCTCGAGTCTTCATAGCATGGCGTTTCTGGCTGGTCGGTTTCGACCAAATTGGGATGGATGTATCATAAGCAAAAATGGAGGATGGATAATGCATGCAACTTTTGATGACTTCCTTGACAGTAATTGTTTGTTTTTGATTAAGTAAAGTTTGATTTGCTATTCCCTGCTTCGGTCTATATACGTGTCTTGCTGTTATTTTGCTCCATTGCCAACGAGCCCTTAGTTTTTGCTGCAATCGTACTTCCCTGTTTCGGGGAGGGATGATGTGGTGTGATGGGGTGTAATGGGCGTTAGGGATAGTTCCTAAAGATATGGCTTGCTCATGGATGTTAAGAGCGTTCGTTTCTTTCTAACTGATAAATGTCCTGCCTTGTATCTTCCTCGTTCAGCTCCCACGTATTGTATTCGCCCAATTGGCAGACCGAGTCTGGCTTTCTTCCTACTCTTGCAGATGCCGAGAACGTTTGTGGTTCGATTTAGATCTTCGATTTGAAAGGGTGTGCTGCCGTAGTGTTCTCTCTATTGGGTTGGTAGGCTGCTTTGCATGTGTAGTTTAGGATGTCGAGTCGAGCGTGGTTTGCTTGAGCCTAGGTATCTATCATTGCGAGTTCTTGTAGCTTTTTTCGATGAAGAAAGCTGCGTATATGTCTGTTGCTCTGATAGATGTTACTTATTTGCTTTGCTACCAAAACGGGGGATGGCTAGGGTACTGTACGTGCATCGCTGTTTCTTCTGCCCGCTGTCGCTATCGTAGGTTGAAACAGAGCACGGAAACATGTAAATCACGGCTCAAACAGACTCTCTAAAGGTACCTACCTAGACACAGTCACTGACATTCTCTGTGACTCGGCTTGGGTAATTCTACACATTTTCACCGCCTACCCCTTTCGGCACAATCACCTCTCTCTGCCTCGCCTGGCCTCCGCAAACGGCAAACTTCCAAAGCAAAAGTCCAACACTGTGAGAGACCGGCATCGGAGTCCCCTTCAGCCTTGCGACCGACCTGCCAACAGATTTGGACTTGTTTTAGCGCAAACTCTATTTGGAGGAGACATCAAACCTCCTGTCGCAAGGGAATTCAATTGAACTTCTCTTTTTACATCGATCCTGCTTCGATAACCTCTCTGTACCACAACCTCTCTGTACCATAACCTCTCGAAAATCCCTGTACAACATCGAGAACGCTTTCGTGAGTACTGTATTCCCATAATTGAGCTCCCAAGCGACTTTGTGCGCTTTTGCCGGGTGCGGGAGATGTTTGTTTACCTGTTCCTGTGGGAGGGAGAACCACAGATCAAGGGCCACCTCGAGCTTCAAGATACTACTGGGGCAAGATCGCTGACTGCTTGGATAGGCTTGTGCTCGTCGTCTGCTCCTGAAACAGTTCTCAAGTGTAAGCTTCTCCCTTCTCCCTTCTCCTTTCCCTGACTCCTATTGCGCCTTCCACTGCCAGCGTCGAGCGTCCCGTTTGCTGCCCCAGCTCTTTCCCACTTAATTCACCCCTTTCGGAGACCTCCCCAGTACAAACAGCTGCTAACAACACTATCCCATACAGCCATCATGCCGTCCAGATTTGGCCTCGAAAATGCCCGTGACCAGGTGCGCGGTGGCTACGACGGAAATGGTCCTGCTCCATACAGCCCGCAGCTACAGCATGACCAATCTGGTTACAATCGAACAGGCTTCAATGGATACCCCCAACAGCCTTCCCAGTACAATCAGGGTGGCCAGTCTCGACCACCGGCTGGAAAGTTCGATGGCCCTGCCGACAACCAGAATCGTGGTCCCGGTGGCCCTTCTGGTGCTAGACCTGGCGGCTTTGGCCCGAGTTTAGGGTATGATCCGGCACGTGGAGAAGATAGACCGAGAGTCATTACCAATACTCGGATGGAGCTCCCTGCTGATGCATATCGCTTGGAGGGTCAGACTGTGAGTACCTTGTTTTTTGTTTTGTTTTCTTCGTGAGCTGTTCGTTGGAAATGATGGTGTTATTGCTATGTTGTTTACGACTCCCCTTGCTCAAGCAAGCAGTCCTTGCTGTTCTTTCAGTCTCTCGGTCACTTCATCTTCGAGTCTCAATCACTCTTCAAGTGAATTGGAGTTACAATAGCCTTTCAGTCGTTCGTTCACTGCCCCACGTATAAGGTATCAAGGCAGCTTCTCCCCCTCGTTCCTTCTCTTTTTGGCACAAAACACCACGGAATGTCGGCGAATACACTCCGCGCCAAATCCTCATTTTCCTATAAGAGATGCCTCTTCTTCCCTCTCTCTCCAACCTTTCTTCCTCACACAACATCTCCAGACCTCAAGTCAACAACAATATCTTACCCATACACGCAATCAAACATCATCATCATCATCATCATCACTTGCACAAACCAAACAACTCAGGCCGATCAAGAGTGTCGATTCGTCAGCTCTCAGATTTGCTTGAGGTTCAAAACCATCTCACCTCCCACATCTTCTCTCAGTTTCTCTTTCAACTTCCAATATCTCATATTCTATCTCTCACTTCATCACTTCATCCTCAACATCTCGTCACTTATTCACCTCCTGAGCATTCATCATGGACGCCGGCGACTTCAGACTCGTCATTGAAAAGGCTGACACGTCGCACAAGTTTGAGAGTCCCCTTCCCGACCGTCCTGGTTTCAATACCGTCGGAAAGGCCATCCAAATCCGCGTCAATCAATTCAAAGTCACTGAATACCCGACTCGAAGTATCTACCAATATGACGTAAGTTCTCCCCCTCCCCCAAGTGAATTTAGGAATATGCCTTGACGCATGGAACAGATCCAGTTTGGCAATGGTTTGGAAGCCAAAGGCAAGGTCATGGCCGCTTGGAGATCCAAAGCTGTTCAGGGCGAATTGAAGAAAGTTCACGTTGGACCCTGGCTCTGGGATGGAAATAAGATTGCTTGGTAATATTTCAACTTCACATTTTCAGTTTGCACGATTTTGACTGCTGCAGGTCTTGTGCCAATGTTCAGGAGCTTCGCATCACGGTTGATTTCGACAAGGAGAAAGAACCCCCTCGCGCTCCACGTCCAATTCCTGACACATGTCGGGTTGTCATCAAACAAACTAAGCTTCTTAATCTGGCCGTCATTTCTGCGTATCTCGCGAAGAGGATGCCTTTTGACACTTCCGTCTTGGAGGGAATTAGTAAGTTGTCTTCGTCATGCCACCCGTAGTACATGACTGACGCTTCCCAGACTTCTTTGATCATCTTATTCGTGCTATGCCGTCTGAGCACTATCATACCCAGAAGCGCAGCTTTTTCAGCAAGGGTACCGCTCAAGTCCTCCTTGACAATGTCATCGTTGCCCAGAAGGGTGTGTACTCGTCCATTCGTCTTTGCAGTGTAAGTTGTCTCCTGCTTTAGTTTTGTGATTCCATGCTAATCATCTCTAGCCTGTCCCATCAAATGGAGGCGCTGGTACCGGTCTTGCTGTTAACGTTGATGTTGCCAATGGAACATTCTGGACCGTCCAGGATCTTCATCAAGCCGCCCGAAACTACTGCAAGTCCAAGAATCGCAGCCTTGACTGGCAAGTTTTCAGCAATCTTGTGAAGCCCGTCAATTCAGGAAATGGTCTCACCATGTCAGAGGAGTTCAAGGAGCTTCGCAAGATGTGCAAGCTGAAGTTCACCGTTAAGCACCGTACCAAGAATACTGGTAAGTGATTACAGTCGTTGTCTCTGGCAGCTTGACTAATATGACATAATAGCTCTTCAGAAGAAGGCTTACAGCATTAAGAGATTTGTCTTCAATGCAAGTTATGGTGCTGCTGGTGGCAATGCCAAGGCAGTCTCGTTTCCCTTGAAGCAAAAGAATGCGGCCGGTGTCGTTACAAATACCGTTGACATCTCAGTCTATGACTTCTTTAAGCAGCATTACGGGATCCACCTCCAGTACTGGTATCTCCCTCTCATTGAGACCGAGAGAGACGGCTACTTCCCTATGGAGGTCTGCACTCTTGTTGCCAATCAAAAATACGTGTATAAGCTTAGCCCTGACCAGGTACGTTCCTTCTCCATCCCACCTGACTTTCTTGACGCTGACTCTTGCATTAGACTGCTGCGATGATCAAGTTTGCAGTCACTCGACCAAAGCAGCGGATTGAGTCTATTCAGCATGGTGTTGGGATGCTCAAGTGGCACCAAGATCCATATCTCCAATACTTTGGCATGAAGGTCGATCCAAACATGACAGTTGTAAGTATTTGCCTTTGAACTAACTCTTCTGAGCAACCACTGATATACCTAAAGACCAATGCTCGCCTCCTCCAGAATCCCGAGATTGCATACCAAGGCGCCAAAGTCAACCCTGGCACTTCAGGCCGTTGGGATCTTCGTGGAAAGAAGTTCTTATTTGCCAACCCTCAACCTCTTGTATCTTGGGGCGTTATGATCGTAGGACATGATACTGTTGATGAGCCAACTGTCCGCAATTTCCTCAGCGTCTTTATGCAGACTTACACAGGCCATGGCGGTAAGATCCAGAACCGAAACCCTGCCATCTTCACCCAACCGCGCAATTCAGATATTGGTGAGGCAGTTGCGCAGGGCCGACAATTCATTGGAAATGCAGCTGGTGGTATGCCCCAAATCATGCTTTTCATCCTCCCTGGCCGCGACTCTTTTATGTACGAGCGCCTAAAGAGGAGTATGGAGTGTCGCTTTGCTATGGTCTCACAGATGATGAATATCGCTCATGTCAGAAAGGCTCAGCCTCAATACTGCTCCAACGTCTGCATGAAGCTCAACTCTAAGCTTGGAGGAACTACTTGCAAGATTATCAGTGGCCCTAGCCCAACTACACCAGCTTTCACTCGTCCAACCATGATTATTGGTAAGTTTCTCAGTCTGGAGTTCTTAAATTCAACTAACATATTTCAGGTGCCGATGTCTCTCACCCCTCCCCAGGCAGTCTGCAAGCTTCCATGGCTGCTATGACGATGTCTTTTGACAGTATTGCTTGTCGCTATGCTGCTGCTGTTGAGACTAATGGACATCGTGTGGAGATGATCAGTGAGACTAATATTAACAATTTCTTTGGCTTCTTATTCCCTGAATGGGTCAAGCAAGTTGGCAATGGTCGACTCCCCCAACACATCTACTACTTCCGTGATGGTGTTTCAGAGGGTCAGTATGCTCATGTCCTTGACCAGGAAGTCGCTATGATGAAGGCATTCATTGAGAAGAAATATCCTGGCTCAATGCAAAACGTAAGTATTTCCCCTAACATCCCTCAACAGTGATTAACATGCTATGTTGCAGATCCGCTTCACCATCACTGTTTGTTCGAAGCGCCACCATATCCGTTTCTTCCCTCGGGATGGCGATCGAAATGCTGCTGATAATAATGCCAACTCTCTTCCGGGTACATTAGTTGAGCGCGATGTCACCCATCCATTTGAGTACGACTTCTGTAAGTTTTCCCTCTTATGGAGCTCTGTTCAACACTAATTACCTTCAGATCTGTCCTCTCACTCTGCTATCCAGGGCACTGCCCGTCCAACCCATTACCACGTGCTCAAGGATGAGGCCAAGATGCCACCAAATGAGTTCCGGGCCATGATCTACAAGCACTGTTACCAGTACCAGAGATCTACTACCCCTGTCTCGCTTTGTAAGTCTCGAATTTGATTCTTATGAGCCGAGCTAACCATGAATAGTCCCTGCCGTCTACTATGCTCATTTGGCTAGCAACCGCGCTCGTGCTCATGAGGGTAAACCAGCCTCCGAGGGCCCTCGTGGTGGTCAAAAGTTCGAGGAGCTGCAACAAGATGATGCCGTACGTCGTGCTAAAGGCCAATCAACTATTGGTGGAAGCTCTCGTAGCGGCGACAAAGGATCTGAGGCTCGTCCTCTTCTTCCTATGGGAGAGCTTGAGGGTGCAGACCGTGATCGTGTCACTCGTCTCCGCACTGGCATGTGGTATATTTAAGTAGTCTCCACCGTTCCGATCTCTGGTACTTGCCTCTTTTCGATGATATATCTTCACTTCTCGGCTGTTTTACTATTACCACTTCCCCTGGATTGCCCCCAATCTTCCCCTTGCTCTGCGAATTCACATTCGATTATGGCGGGATGGACTTGGCGTGCTGGGCTCTTCTTGTACTTGCTTTCACTTCTTCAAAAAAAGGGGTTCAGGAAGTTGTATGGACTTGACGGAGGAAGATACTTATGACCTATGAATTATGACTTGCGTGGATTTCCAATAATGGATGGAGCGGGGTTAAGCGTTTACTTTCTTCTGGTTCTGGTTCTGATGCTGATGCGATGATGGCAATGGCAATGCTGGAGCTCAGGTAGATAGGAATGAGCGAAAATCACGAAATGCAATACATTACATACAGATAACCAACTTCTTTTGTGATGCTTAATATGCTGTGAGTAGTCTTGGGTTCTAGTGTTTGCGAGGTATTTTTCAATTTTGCAGAATTTCGGAATCAGCGAGAAGTTTCGGGTGTGAACAAAACTTGATTCTTACTTCTTGGTCTTGAATAGAATATGGAAGGAGTAATAAGCTACTGCTACTGCGTACTCTGGAACAATCAATTGATTAGTTTTTGAGTGAGGGAGGTGGCTGGCTGGATTCTTCTCTTGCGCTGTTCTTTATTTCTGCATTTTTGTGTTTTTGTGTTTTGGCACAGAGTTGTAAGGGAGAAAGTTAGAGGAGGGAATGTGGGGTGGTTGAGAAGGGTATGGAAGAGAAAAAGTATTGTTTTGAGACGGAGGGGTACTATAGGTAATAAGTGAGTTTAGGTGGAGAGAATTGGGCGATGAGGATGAGGATAGGAGGGGAGGGGAGGTTTGGGCGATAGATCGGAGGATGTAGGATGGGAGAAGAGAAGGCGTGATGAGATTTGTTGGGATGCTAGGGGTGAGGAAGAGGAATGAATACAAAGCGCAATTAAGGTCAAGAGCTTAGGTATTGTAGGTGTCGAGCTACGTCTTTCTTGAATCTACACGAGTAGGTAAGTTACTATAACTTTGGAAAAGAAATCTCGGACAGCGAGCGGAATGAGAATGGGTGGTACGGAAATATGGAGTATCATAATAATCTAACTCAAGCACCGATCTTCTCTACCTGGTTCGCACCTGTCCCGTATCCTTTCCCCTTGCCTGCTTTCGCCGCACCCGCACTACTACCACCAAGCTTAGTCGCAGCGAATTTCTCCCTCGCAAGCTGGATCGCACTCTTGCCCTGTGTCTTCTCGTCGCCCTTGCTGAACCTCCCTCCTTTCTTCCCCTTCCCCCTCTGTTTTCCACCCCCCTCTTCTTCAGCTTGTTCCTGGGGCACAGGTGATTCTTTAGGCAGGGATTCTAAGCCCAGAGCTTTAACCTTGTTGACCCATTCGCCACGCTTCCGCTTGAACAAGTCGAGCATCCAGTTCCGCCACACGATGCGGCCGGTCCAGGATTCGCGGAGCAAGTGCTCGTGGGTTGTGAGGGCGAGCGCGATGCGTTCGGTTTGGTTGAAGAGCGGGTTGCTGGAGGCTGTGCTTTTGAGGATGCTGTCGAGGGTGTGGGAGCCTGTTGGGGAGAGGGCGAGGGTTTGTATTGGATCTGTGGAGGGGCCTTGGTCTTGGGTTTCGGGTGGAGGGGGGAAGAGTAGGTTGAGGAATTTTCGACGGAATGTTACGTTGGCGGCTGAGGGGAGGAGGGCGGATTGGATTATGTGCGAGGTGGGGGGGGTAGAGGGATAGTGCTAGTAGGGCGGCTGGAGATTGCGCTAGGAGTGAGTTTTGGAGGATGGTTGTAGGCCGACCGGGGGGTGGAGAGGAGGGTTTGGGCGAGGAGAGAGCCGTGGGTTTGTTGGGGTGTTGGTTTGGGGGGCTGGCTTGTAGGTGTTGGTTTCTTTGGCTCGGCCTCTTCCTCGTTATGTTCATCTGAATGAAGCGGGACGGTGGTGAATTTGATAAGGGCTTCGACGTCGTCGATACAAGCCATCTTCAGTACCAATGTAGCAGGATCACAATCATAAGCCGCAGAAATGGCTTCCGTAAGCGCCTCTAACGACTTCATAGCCCCCCGTGCGTGACATCTTTCAATAAGTGTCTTGATGATCACGGTTCTCGATCTCTGCACAAGGCCTAGAATTTGGGGACTGATCTGTGCAACTGCTTCCTCGAGATCCTCTTTGCTGAGTCGTTGAAGGACGCGGATTACGACGTAGCTGGAAATCTCGTTTCTAGCGAGTCCTGCAATTCGGTCTTTGAATGTGCTGCGGTAGATTTGCTTGAATAGCTTGCCGGGAGCATATGTGCAGATTGTTTCAAGTAAACGAGAACCGATGGGGTCGTACAGGATGCCATTCATGAAGACGGAGGAGTCGCTGCCTTCTGTCGTGATGTCGTCTGGAAGGAGGGCAGAGATAATAGTTTTCTCGGTGCCTTTCTTAGATGTGGGGTTGGTGAGTTCGAGTTCGAGGAGAAGTTGTAGGGTAGGGTTTCCTGTGGGATGTGTAGCTAGGATGCGGATGAAGGATGTGTCCATTGTTGCTACAGTGTCTGAGATTATCTTCTCGACAGCGAATTGGAAGGATTCAGGAACAGAGCGCTTGTTGAGAGAGAGTTCGGTAGGTGTCAAGTCCATGTTTCCAACTGAAGTCTTTTCCTTTCTCTTGCTTTGGAGCAGAGATCTAGTCGATTCTTTCTCTAAGGGCCGACCCGAAAGGATAACCATCAGAACTCGTAGGGTATGGGAAGCAAATCTGTCTGTCAGAAGGAATGTCATATTCCCCTCCAACTCGTCGAGGGTTTGAAGAAACAAACTTTCCATGGAAACATCCTTCTTCTCATCCCCGTCCTCAACCTCTGGGTGCGAATCCGCAGTGAGCTCCTGTGTCACAACGGGCGCAGACTGAATAAACAACATCTCACAGCAGTGGCTTGCAAACCGATGCTGCACCAAATGCGAGAAGTTGTCCGCAAAGTTACCGAATAGTTTCTTCTTTTGCGCCGGCGAACTCAGCAATATTAACCGTTCCATCAGCCGTGAACACGATTGACTGCAAGCAATTTTGAGCTCTTTCCCTTCAGCTTCTCGATATACATTCGCTAGAAACATTGATTGTTCTTCCTCCGAGGGGAAATCGTTCAGTTCGAGAAGTTCGTCTGCACGGCGGAAATACTCCTGCTCTTCGTCCTCGAGCATGCCGTAGAATGGGCGCTCAGTAGCTGTTGTTTCTTCGGCATTCTGGATGGGCTCGCTGTTGTCTAGGCCTGTGAGTTTGAGGGGTTAGCATTCTGAGTCTCGAAATCATGAGAGATATAAAAGGCACCCAATCTCCTTGCATACCTGTGAACTCGACGTCCTCTGGCGCGGGGTCGGCATCTTGAGATTTCCTTCTTTTCGAGGGCTCGTCCTCCCCATTATCTCTCTTGCGTTTCTTCTCTTTCTTCTCGTCTCGGCGACCACGGCTATGTTTATTTTCTTTAGGCATCTTGCTGGATTGGGTGATTGTTGTGATTAATCTACTTGTTCTGGCAGATTCTTGTGGTGGTTGGAACTTTTTTCCATGCGGGTGGCAGAAAACATTTTGATGCCGGGCGGTGAGATGACTTGGCGCCAAGACTGAATAGGGGAGGGGAATAGGGGAGGGGTTTTGCAACGCTGCAATGCTTCTAATGTATTACAGTAATCATTCACGAATGCATTCTCAGCGCAAATCATTTAGGTTGATCTACAGATTTAGTTGTCCTCAAGGCCGATCATTTCTTCACTCGGCGTAAAATAAAATGCCGAATTTATCTCACCTCCAGCGATTCTTTGACACAGTCTCGCTAAAGGCTTTCTCAATAGCCTGAAACTATATCCTATATTTTATTTTTATATTAGTTTCTAATATTATGTAAAGAATCTGAGAAACTTCCATTTACAGCTATTGTAAACTTATGGTTCAGGGATTGCAAGTGCTGATCATTTAGGCAGGAAACCCATCCCGTCTAGGTAACCAAATGCGATGCTCTAGCATATGTCGGTTGCGGGGAGTGACAGGGTATGAAGTTCTCATTTAACTCTAGTCTAGCTATATGAACTAATCAGAATGCTCCCTCAGCGACTCTATAAGCAAAAATCTATTAAAAAATCATTCTGTTTGTAAATTCTTACATGAATTCCAAGAGTATCATTGCATATTATATCCTTGAGTTTCGCTAACTCACTCACCTCTTCTACCAATTTCGTTGTGCGGACTCCAAGATGCCAAATCCACTGGTCGTGACAGCCTTAGGAGGCATCGCTGTCACCTATGTCTTCCTTTGGGCGCTCTTATATCTCACCCAAGACGGCAAGGAGCCTCCAGTGGTTTCCAGCTCCATTCCCTTTATCAGTCCCATACTAGGCATGGTACGATGGAGCATGGATTTCTACCCACACATGAGGTAAGCATTCCCCCCCTGGGCCTTTCCATACAAGATTTTGATAACACCACAACTCAGAGAGCGACATCGAGACTTGCCTATATACACTCTCAGGATCCCCGGTGCCCGCCTGTACGTTATCAATTCATTGGATCTCATTCCCGTGGTTCAGCGTCAATGGCGGACGTTGTTGTTCCCACCCATCCAAGCCAAGGCAGCACAGGCAGCCATGGGCGCAAGCAAAGAAGCCCTTGCTATTTTGAAACACGACATGATCACGGAACATGGTTTTGTCCACGGCATGGTTAAGACTACTCTGCCTACCATGAGCGGTCCATCACTGAACGTCTTGAACGCGAAGACGTCTGAAGTCTTCGAGGAAGCCTTGAGACAGTTCGCTGCCCCAACAACAGTCAACCTTTTTGAGTGGATTGGCAAACAGATCATGTATGCTACTACGGATGCCATATATGGACCGTTTAATCCTATGCGAGATAATCAAAATATCGAGGCTTGGAAGTGAGTCCTCAACTATATCTCGATTCTACAAGACGCTATGCGCTGATATTTCCGTTAGCAAATATCACCCAGCGCTCATGTTCATCATGTTGGACATTCTACCCCAAAATATCTTCTTCGGAGCAGCTGTACAGGGCCGCGAACAACTCATCAAGAGCTTTGCAAAGTACTACGCCGATGGCAGCTACAAGCAAGGATCTGCTTACATCCAACAACTCATAGCGCACTGCATTGATCATAAAATCCCTGGAGATGACATCCCAAAATTCCTTGTCGGCACTGTTTTTAACAACGTTGCTAATACTGTCCCCACTGCCTTCTGGCTGGTATACCACATCTTCAGCGATGCGGTCGTCCGGGAGGAGTGCCGGAAAGAAGTAAGCCAAGCGGTCCAGAACCAAGACGGGACCTCGACCATCGATCTCAACTTCCTTCTCACCTCATGTCCCACCCTGCTCTCCACCTACCAAGAGGTATTCCGCTACCACGGCATGGCCAACTCAGTCCGCGTCGTCTCGGAAAACCACATGCTGGACAACAGATACCTACTCAAGAAAGGCGGCCTGGTCATGATATCCGCGCGCGCCCAGCACAGTAACCCGGCCATCTGGGGCGAGGACGTGCACCAATTCCAGCACAAGCGTTTCGTCAAGCAAGAAAGCAGTGAAGAACAGCGCCTAAACCCTGTGGCGTTCCGCGGCTTTGGAGGAGGCACAACGTTGTGTCCCGGTCGCCACTTCGCCACTGCTGAAATCTTGATGCTGGCCACTATGATACTATTGCGTTTCCATGTGCGGCCAGCGAAAGACGCCTCTTGGGCGCGACCGTCAACGGCCAAGTCTTCGCAGGCCGAGGCTATGGAGCAGCCTGATGTTGATATCGAGGTTGAATTCGTGCCCCGGTCTGAGGCAAGCGGCAAGACGTGGCAGAAGCAGAAGCTAGGTAGTATATAGCTTAGTAACTATCCTCTTATTCATATCTATATGAAGACTTTGCGGCGACAGATGTGGATATATAACTCAATAATGGGATGGCCATTCTTCACTAGCAGCTTCGTGAACCGCCCTCTCGCGTGTCTGACAGTAAGAGTAAGATGAGGAGGATAAGGACAAACACAAGCATCCATTATACCTACCAAGGTCGCTAATACCAAAGGACGAGGAGGCGAGGCTACCTTATGGCCCCGTACGGAGGTATAGAACGACCCTATTTCTAGTCGGCGTGCCCAAGGTGCCTTACCATATTGATATCTAGTAACGTGGCGTTTCAGCTAGCGTGCGTTGTTAAAATGCAGGGCTCCACCACATCTCCTATATATATAGCTTGGGGGAAAAAACGAGTAAAAGTACCCAAGGTAAGATGGAGATTCTTTTAAAGTACTACTGTATAAGAGAAAAATTTTCAGGAATGCATGCAAAACTTTTACCCGCATCACGTGAATGGGCTCCTAAGCACGTCATGGATGGACTACATCGCATTGTTTATTTTGGATTTCTAGAGTGAGATACAACCTTTTGATTTGGCTCTTTTTTTTTCTAGTAGAATAATTCTCATTCGGTTTATATATCTCTTTGGTGTTACGTTATTGTTAGAATATAATATGGCATCAAAAGCAACCGAGTTGCCACTTCGGAATGGCTCGGAGCCGGAGGAGAATGTAACGAAACCGTTAAACCGCGCTGATGAGGTTGATGATGTGAGTCCCTATCTAGTATTTCCGAATCAAGATTTTGGAAAATGTTTAGACATATATATATATACATTTCAGTAGATATCTCGATTACGATTACGTTACTGACAAAAATAAACATAGCTACTCAAAGCCGTGCAATCACTCATCATCCCATTCATCAGATCCGCTGATGAAGATGCGGCATCTAAACCCAGCGGTCACAGTGGTGGTCCCCGAACTGCTTTGGTGGAACAGCACAAGCCGGAACAACTCGTCAGGCTCATGGACCTCGATCTACCGGGCGATGGGAAGGGGAAGGAGGGGCTCTTGGAGACGGTGCAGCAGGTGCTGAAGTATAGTGTTAATACGTGGGATCAGGGCTTTTTGGATAAGCTGTATGCGTCGACGAATGCTGTAAGGGAATTCTGGATTTGAGAGCAAGAGAGGGAGAGAGAGAGAACAACTTACTGAGTGCATCACTTACAGGTTGGAGTGATATCCGAACTCCTCCTCTCAGTCCTAAACACCAACGTTCGTCCCCCTCCTCTCCTCTCCTTCCCCTTCCCCCCAACTAACACCACGCACCCTCAAGCTCCACGTCTACCAAGTATCCCCCGCCCTAACCGTAATCGAGAAAACCACCACCCGCGCCCTCGCCACCCTCTACGGCTTCACCGGCCCCCACGCCGGCGGCATCAGCACCCAAGGCGGCAGCGCCTCCAACACCACCTCGATAATCCTCGCGCGCAACACGCTCTACCCCAGCACCAAACGCAGCGGAAACGGCTCCCACAGATTCGTGCTCTTCACGTCAGCGCACGGTCACTACTCGCTGGAGAAAGCAGCGCAGATGTGCGGGCTCGGCAGCGATAACGTCTGCGCAGTCCCGGTGGACGCCCGCGGACGTATGGTGCCGAGTAAGTTGGAGGAGCTGGTGATGCAGGCGAAAGAGGAGGGCCAGACGCCCTTCTATGTCAATGCGACGGCGGGGACCACGGTGCTAGGCTCGTTTGATCCGTTTGTGGCTATTAGCGAAGTGTGCAAGAAACACGGGCTCTGGATGCACGTCGATGGCTCCTGGGGCGGGCCAGTGGTCTTCTCAGCGCGGCAGCGCGCCAAGTTGCTCGGTGTCGAGAGGGCGGATTCCGTGGCGGTCAATCCGCATAAGATGATGGGCGTCCCGCTTACATGTTCGTTCTTGCTGGGTCCTGACATGCGGATTTTCCACGCGGCGAATACGTTACCTGCAGGCTATCTTTTCCACGAGAGCGAGGGTGAGGGCAAGAGCGAAGAGGTGTGGGATCTGGCGGATCTGACGCTGCAGTGTGGGCGGCGAGGCGACTCCCTAAAACTCGCGCTCGCATGGATATATTACGGACACTCAGGCTTCTCTGCACTCATCGACCACGCCTTCTCCATCGCAGCTTATTTCGCGCACCAAGTAACCTCGAAGCCGAACTTCGTCCTGGTATCGGAGAACCCGCCGCCGTGTCTGCAAGTCTGCTTCTACTATGCTCGAGACGGGGTTCTGGCGCACGAGGAGCAGGAGAATACGAGGATCACGAGCACGATTGTACAGGCGCTCATCCCGAGGGGGTTCATGGTTGATTATGCGCCTGGGGAGCGGGGGGCTCTGTTTAGAGTGGTGGTTAATCAGCAGACGCTGGAGGGGACGGTTGATGGGCTGATTAGGGCGATTGAGGAGGTGGGGAGGGATGTTTGATCTTGCATAGAATAGACAGACAGATGAATGAAATAGACCGAGTCTCCTTTCCTCTCCTTTCCTCTCCTCTTCAAGTCTTTCAATCCACCAAGAAGTACTAGAAAATTGCAACAAGGCTTCCCGCAGTGTTTCTATATACGCACCATTCATTCAAACTCATCAATCGATTTCCATGCCCCAGCACTTCCAAGTCAGAGACTAGAAAATACACAAGCAACTGCAACTCGCCATCAGAAATCGCAATTGAAGCAAAGGAAATGAACGAATGAAAGTATACTTTTTACCGTTGAAGTGAAGTGAAGTGAAATGAGATGAGATGAGGTCACAGCATGTATGCGACGTGCATCAGAAAAGCAGGCGAGACAGGTAGTGAAACCCACCCCTGACGCTGATTAATCAGATCTCCCTCCCTCTCTTCTCGTTCCCCCGCCATCTCTGCACTCCTTTTTCACTCACAGGCAAGGGAATGGAGAATTAGAATTAAATGGGAAGATAGATGTATTTATATCCATTCCCATTTCTTAATCATCTTTCTCAATATATAGGACGATGCATTCATTTTATGGCCTCGTTCCAAGCTCCCCGTCCCAAACTACTGCGCAATCTGTAAACTCCATGTCCCGGTCATCAATTCTGTAATTACATATTTCCTTCGCTTCCCATGCTATTCCATTCTATGTTCTCGCTTGATGTGTGTGTGGGAAGCATTTATTGACCATTGGCGGTGGCGGCTATTGTTATGTTAGGAGGTGTTTCTTCCAAGGGACAGATGGTATGAGAGTTGAATAGGAAGAGGAAGGGGAGAATGATGGAAAGGAAGGAAAGTACCTTGGTAAACAGCAGTAGAATCAAAAGAAATCACGTCGCCGTTGGCGTCGGACATGGCAGCTGCTTCGGTTTCGACTTGTGGGGAGCGGGCAGTGATGTCTGTGGATGAATCAGCTTTGTTATTTTAGGTGTATTGTTTTGGGGTCTAAGGTGGGTCTGTTTGTCAAGTGGACAAGAAAACATCGTGGAGTCTTGTGGATATGGGGAAGACCCATATCCATTGCAATCCACAGTCTAGACCTTACAACAGACCGAGATGCAGGTGCATATAGGGTACAAGGACAGAGAATCGGGGGAATGAAGAACGTACCATCCAACCGATCAGGAAGAGCAATTGGGCTTGCAAAGGTAACAGCCACAAGGGACAGAAGAGCGACGAGTGTGAATTGCATGATTGCGGGTATGGATTTTCCTGACAACGTTCGTAAAGAGGGTATTGTATATGTAAATGGTCGTCCGGCGACAAACTGAGAAGCAAGAGAACTAAGAATGGAAATGGAAATATGGAGAAGAGAAACGAAAGTAACGTCTACTGGTATAAGTCGAATGATGAATGAAGAGATGAGAATATGGAAGGGGAGGAATATATGGGACAGCTGGTGTATTTGTATCTGCCAAGCTAAGGGAGGCTGATGCACAACCACGCCCTCCCCTGCCTCTTGTACATGTTTTCGCCGCACGGAACGAGGACGGAAAGGCTAAAAAGTGGTCAGTCTAGATCTAGATCAGGGAACAAGACTGTCATCTCAAAGAGGGGGATGGAGATGGAGCTGTGGGTGTAGCAGAGTGGAACGCTGCTTCTTGGGTGGTGACAGCACTGCGCTGGGGTACTGTGCTGCACTGCACCGTACAGTACAAACGCTGTGGCGGATGATCACGGGGTAGTGCGACTGGGCGTGTTCCATAGCCAGCCAGTTAAGCTCATGCAGCACGACCGCAAATAATGGCAATGGTAACCTGGGGCGATGCTCATTGGTACGGTACAGGAGTAGAGTCTATTGCTGGGCCTGGGGCGTCAAATGCTTATTTGCCTGCACATTCGGGATGATGGGTCTGAGACGAGGCTGAGACAGGGTGAGAGCTGTTGGGAGCGGGATATGGGTCTTTTGCGACGGAGACGGAAACCATGGAAAGGCAGGCTTCCGGTAAATCATTCATGCGTTCTCGCCTTGAAGCTGTGTTGATACTTCTTTTTAGATGAAAAAATGGAAAGTTCTGTATTGGATCCGATTCCGATGTCCGCATGATGGATGCTTGGCTTGGCTGGAGATGACAAGCTTTCCAGGGTCATGCATGGCAAAGCTTGATGGATGGAGTAATAGTGGGGCTACATATCCCATTTTGCGCGTAGTTTTAAGTCTGCGCTATAAAGTACGCATGTATTTTTAGTCCCGGGGTGTTCCAAACCTCATTATTGTTCCTCCGTAGATGATGCTTTGAAGCAATGCAATGCCTCGTATAAGGGACTTTGATCTGTTTAACATACAGTACACGTACAGTATATTATCTCGTCAAACTGACACACCCTTTTTTACATATACAAAAGGCAGTCCCTGTTTTACAACCGCAATCTCATCTCTTAGCAAATACAAAATCAATCTTCGAAAAGGCTTGGGGTAAAAGGGGAAATTGATTGCATTATGCTTCCAACTAACTCTTCAAAACGTTCTTCAAAGCCTTCCGTTCTAGGGAATTTGAACGTTGGATGCGGACTGCAGGCTATTTGCTTTGGTAAATGCACTCGATTCCTTGCAAGTTGAAGACATCAGAGCAGGCAGGTACTGTGCATCTTTCCCGAGCATTCATATGCACATATCAGCGTCGAGCTTAAGGCTTACCTTGAAAGTACCTAGGTAGGATGGGCTCTTTGCTGTTATATACCTTATACTCAGTACTGCACTGGAAATCAACAAATTCACAGAGAGCCTGGCAAGACTACATGGAGATTCCGTCTGGCCGACTGGCAAATTCGGATTGCATGTGACAACATACAATGGGAACATTCCTCAAGACGCCCGATAGACATACATCTGGGAAGAATGCTTTGCACATGGAACGAGACAGGATGTTGACACCGAGGCACAGGCTCGCGGCAAGTGTGACGAGTTGGAGACCCTCAGGATCCCTTTATCGTCCCCGATTATGTGGTCCTACCGAAGGAGATTGCTGGTTGCTGAGACTTTGGAGGGGTACTTTGTATCCTGAGAGCAACACTCGAAGCATCTATCCGGACAACCACAGCTACAGCTACATAGGAAACCTTCAACATTTCTGCTTCCAATTCTTCAATCCATCCTCCAAGCTGGCAACAAGACTCCTGCTTACGGCCAATTCTTCAAAACTCACTCTGCCAGTCCACCACTCCAACCAACTCTCCACCCTAGCTCCCTCTTCAGGATCAAGCAAGCCAACACTGATATCCATCAACCCCGGCCTCTCTGTACTATGCCAGAAGACCGTAGCTCCACAAACTGCGCAGAATTCCCGAAAGATGTTCTTGGAGCTGTCATACCTTTTCAAAGTCCCCATGTGGAAATCGAAAGGCTTGCCGTCCTCTTGGAAGATATTGCAGTCTGGCACAAACGCCCAAGGCTGAATCTCAAATCCAGAGGCAAGACGACAAGACGTGCAAGTGCAAGTCCCAGCAAGGTATTTCGTATCATTACTCCGTAGCCACCACGTCTTATTCTCCGGATTTGCAGGCGAATGGCTATGACGCGCAGCCATCAAATCCGGAAACGGAGCGCGAACGGCCTTGGAACCTTCATTTGGACGAGTGATGTAGAACTTGACACCACCGCAATGACACTGTGCCTTCAACTTATCCGAATTCCTCTTTTTGTTCGGTGGGAGAGTTTCCAATGTGCCATCAGGGACAAGTTCCCCATGCCCGCTTTCATCTTCATCAACCAATATCCACTTCTTCAAAGCCCTCTTCGTTCCATCCACCCCTCCAATTGCCCTGAGCCAAACACTCACCCCACCATCCAACGTACCTTGCACCCATTTACAGCCAGTCCACTCCACAACACCCTCCGTACGATCCCATGTACCTGTCGTAAGGAGCCAAGTCTTACTCTCAACGCGATAAACGAGCACATGCGCACCGCATGTTGAGCAGAAATAGTACGTAAGACGGTCGGATGTGTTGTAGGATGTGAGGTTGTAGTTTGCGGGGTCGATGGAGTGGGTTGCGGGGATGGTGATGTAGGAGGTGCCGCAGGAGCCAGTGAGACGGCGACAGCTGTTGCAGAGGCAGAGAGCGTGGGGGTATGGTAATGAGGAAGGAGGGAAGGTGGTGTCGTAGGTAAAGGCCTTGCAGGCGCAGGTTGCGGTGATTGTTGCTGCAGTCATTTTGGGATGAAGCAGTTGGGGAGGGGAGGGGAGGGGAGGGGAAGATGAGATGCGATGTTTGTTTCCTACCGTTCGTTATTCAGCTATGCGCATGCGCATGCGTCCATGCTCGTGATAAGAGTCATTGGTGTTCATGGAGAAGCGCATGTAGACCTGACATGCACAGGTATGCATGAGTACTGTACAAGGATACGAACGTCTGATTATCAGCTGAGGATTGCGAGTCTGACAAGGCTGCTGATTCCCTGGCGACATGTATTAGTATCACGTGCCACACATGACTTTCGGAAGATTCTCGCCTTCTTCTATCCTTTGATTTTTCTTCTCTGGAGCGAGAGCTTCCTCTCTTCTACTTTGAATCAAGATGCATCGATAATGTGCAGTAACCCATAGTATCCTAGCTGCAGCACAATGCCGTCATCCGGTACCATCTACCTTTGACCCGATCGTTGCCGAAGAGGCTCTCCGAACCGGCGGCATCGCTCTTCACCCAGACTCAGAAAGTTCCAAGGTTGCTACTACCTCGGAAGCGTCTTGGTGCATGAACCACTGCGGTACCGGATTCTTTTGTCTGCAATCGGCAATCGGCAATCGGCACCCTGTCCTGCAACCTGCACTGCAACCCTGCATTGCATCCCGATTGAAGCAGTCGAGTTGTTCTTCACCCTTTCCTACTCCGTAGGTACCTAGATAGGCATCTTTCTGTCTCTCACATGCCTTCATATCCATATTCTCTTCCACACAATTCTTCTGTAGTCTCTACTCTACTCTACTCTACTCTCCTCATTCACTCATTGGCGACTCATGACGAGTCGTAAAGAGCGTGCATGTCATGTCACGTCATACCGAATTATCTCCATATCCATGTATATCTTCTTTCATTGGCCTATCCTCCTTGAGCCTCAAGCCGTCTAACCGTGTGACCGTGGGGTGCTGTCAGAGGCGCGAGTCTAGACGCGCTTTTGCGTGCCTCTTATCTTAATTTTCGAGTTTTCTACTATATCTGCCCAACAGCGAGAAATCTCCGCCACGTGCCAAGACCTCAAAATACCTTCTGTATGGGCTGATCGCTCCGGTCCTCATTCGTTTGACGCTTTTGGCTCCCGTTTGGAAAGGAAGGATCTGTGCATGGGTCGGGAATGAGTACCGGGGTCTCTCTTCTTTTTCATATATATACATACCTTCGCCCCGTCTAATATGTATTCTGCTGTATCACATACCTTCATCTGTCTGTCTATTTACTTACTTGGCTATTTGCCTCCCAGATTAACTATCAATCAGATTTAGACATTTGAGATCATCAATCAATATGTCCGACTTACCTCAACAACCACCAGAAAGTCGAGGCAGAGACTTCGCACCCATCAGCAGTCCTGCAGTCACTAGAACACACACCAATGGCTCTAGAAGGATTCATCATACAGACACCCACCTCTCACATAAAGAGACCCGGGATCCAAACCTCGATGTCAACCTCCCCTATCGGACCCTGAGTAATGGTGCAAATTTGGACGAATACACATCCGAGAGACCTACAGGAGAGATTGATGGGAAGCTCGAACCAGATGGACAGCACCACTACAAGCTTGTCACCTTCACACCCAACGATCCCGAGAACCCCAAGAACTGGTCAAAAGCGTTTAAATGGTACTGCACAATGGTTGTCGCCACAACCTGCTTCGTAGTAGCCTTCTCGTCCTCAGTCGTTACAGCCGATATGGCTGGAGTAGAAAAGGAATTCGACGTGGTGGAAGAAATCGCCCTCATCAGCATATCCATCTTCGTTGTCGGATTTGGTCTTGGTATGTCTTCAATGAGAATATATAAGAGAACATGGCTAACAAGTACCCATTAGGCCCCATGGTCTTCGCCCCCCTTTCTGAAGTCCTCGGTCGCCGCATAATATACGCCACCACCCTCCTCCTTGCGGTAATCTTCATCATACCCTGCGCCGTAGCCCCCAACATCCAAACCCTCCTCGTCTGCCGTGCCATCGACGGCATTGCCTTCAGCGCCCCCATGACCCTCGTCGGCGGCACACTCGCCGATCTCTGGAAGACCGAAGAACGCGGCGTTCCCATGGCCGCCTTCTCAGCTGCGCCTTTTATCGGCCCTGCAATCGGTCCCTTGATCGGTGGGTTTTTGTCTGATGCTGCCGGCTGGCGCTGGTTGTACTGGATCCAGCTTATCTTCGCCGGCGTCGTGTATATCCTCATCACATTCACAGTTCCCGAGACCTACGCCCCGACCATCCTGGCGAAGCGTGCAAAGAAGCTCCGCGAAACAACCGGCGAGAGCGACCACGTTACAGAGCAGGATCTCGATATGCGGCCTTTCAGCGAGCGCCTGCGCATTTTCTTAATTAGACCGTTCCAGCTTCTGTTTGGGGAACCTATCGTGTTCTTGGTTTCGGTGTACATGAGTGTTCTATACGGACTGCTTTATATGTTCTTCGTTGCATTCCCCATTGTCTATCAAGGCGGTAAAGGCTATTCCGCCGGAATCACGGGCTTGATGTTCATTCCTCTCGCTCTGGGAGTTCTCGCATCGGCAGCCTGTGCTCCGATGGTCAACAAACATTACATGTCGCTAGTTAAGAAACACAACGGATCCCCGCCTGCCGAGGTTAGGTTGATTCCCATGATGATCAGCTGCTGGTGCATCCCCATTGGCCTCTTTATCTTCGCCTGGTCCTCGTACCCAGATCTCAACTGGGCCGGCCCTGCAATCGGCGGCTTCCCCGTCGGCTTCGGATTCATCTTCCTCTACAACAGCGCCAACAACTACCTCGTCGACTCGTACCAGCACCTGGCAGCTTCAGCGCTCGCGGCCAAGACATTCCTGCGGAGTTTCTGGGGTGCTGCTGTCGTGCTTTTTACGGCGCAGATGTACAAGAGACTGGGCTACCAATGGGCAAGTTCGTTGCTGGGCTTTATCAGTCTGGCGTGTTGTGGTATCCCGTACATCTTTTACTTCTACGGAGCGCGCATCAGACAACGCTCGAAATTTGCCTTCAGCGAACCTACCAAAGATATCGAGACGGGCGGGAGTAGTGGGGAGGGGAGGGCTAGCGAGTCGGAACTTGAGAGGGCGAGAAGTTACGTCAGTGTGCCCTGAGCGAGAGAGAAATCGACAAACGTCGACATACTCACCCATTTGGCGACGGAGGAGATGTTCCTTACATTTCAGTCAGTCAGTCTATATTTAGATTGTACGATATAGCAAGAGAGCTGGCGGTTGGATAGACGGGGTCGGGAGTTTGGCGTATGGGATTTTAGGATTGAAGTTGTTAAGACTGTATACCATATTAGATGCGTAGATAATTAGACCTTAATACCCAATAAAGCCATCAGATAGAAATTTATACTCATACCATACCGTGTCTACACATACCCGGAGTACTCTAAACCACTGTCCGGTAGAAAAGCATCATTGTAGTAATGTAGTGTAAATAATTACTTCTACGCCTCCTATAGATACATATAACTGGAACATTGTGTCGATTAATAGAGAAGGGTTTTATGAACTGAGATATAGTAAGATAACTATAAATAGACAATCTACTCCGTACCGTATGGAGGTACAAGGAAGAATGACCTTGGAGGCACGGACCAAGACTAAGTCCCTAAGCGAATGCTTGATCCATACCATAACTCCGTACCTTAGCAAGTCATGACACTCTACTCCTTTTCCTTGCATTCTCACTTACTAAGCCGCAGGTGAAAGGTATAGATAGGTTTGTGATGGGATAAGAGTCGTAAGTACTCTATATCGCAGCTGCTAGCCCAGTCTCCCTATTGCCGTCGTTCTGAAATTAGATATCTTTACCTCTCTGTACGGAGGGAGTACTTGTAATTCCCTTTCGTTGATCCCTGTTGGGATAATGGGGCTGTATCCCGACCTTTCTAGTCATGTGATCTAGCGTAGCTTAGTCAGCAAAGAAACATAACCTCTTTTCACGTCAACAACATGAATGCTAAGCAACATCAACCAGAATCAAGTCTATATATACTACGTAGTAGAGAAGTGATCACGATAACAACACCTGTGATACCAACAATCCCTCTAATAATACCTACTTTGTTAAATAAAAGCTTAGGTAAGGATTACTGTACGCAGGCAGTGTCCACACACCCATATTTCGGTAATTTAATCTACTTCTACTTCGTACAGTATGGAGCAAAGCACAAAGCGATGTCACGATTGTACGAAATATCAAAAAACAAAACAAAACAAAAACACAGCCCCCTATCTGCAAGTGCAGGCAAGTGTACTCGCTTACCCGGCCCGCGCTGCACGGCGCCACTACGGATCTAGTGATCCACACTAGGATCAAAGTGGGTTTGGGTCTCCACTCAATCTCTTGGAAGGAATCAAGCATTTGTACCGTACGCCGAGGAAGGATAGGATGCATCTGCCAAGAGAAGGGAAGGGTTATTTATATATTTTGATGTTTTATACCGGTATATATCTACCGCTCATAAGGTAAGGTAAGGTAAGGTAAGGTATACCTTGAGGATGAATACTGCACGGTATACGAGGTCAAGATAGCTACGCTCCTGTCTGTGATTACTGTGATCAGTTTGGAATCAAAATCCCAAGGTGGATACCAGTACACGACACGATGACGAACCAAGAGGCTCAGAATTTCAGAAACACGTAAGCTCCACCTTTCCTCGTAAACCTCACCGTAACGCTAAGCAGGTACCCTACGCGTCTCCCTCATCTCTGAAATTTGGTCCTCTTTTTGGAGGGTTTTGCTGGCCCGTTTTTTCATATGGGTCAGCCCGACAATGCGCCCGCCCATTAATTATTCCCACTCAACAGTCAAGACCCATTATTCTTTCCTAATGCCATCGACTGGAACGCATTTAGGATGGGCATGTGTTGCCGTATCCGTTACGGAATCGTTGCACTAGTTAGTGTATTACGGTACGGTACTGTACTGCACGCCTTATGTGAGATGGAATGGCTGTCATGTCTTTCTTTCTCTTGGAAAAAGCTTCTTTCATTATCATAATCACTCGTTACCTTACCTTATCGTTGGATGTGCTGCTGGGTTGTTTCTTGGCTGTTTCTTTTGTCAAAACCACCCTTCCACTCGTTTCTTCTTCTTCTTCTTAACACATTACACCACCGATCGTTTGTTTGCACATAGGGAAGAAAGATGAGGGTTGGTTCAATATTGGGATATGGGGCGGCGATATGGCAGGTCGCAGAGGCCATTGATATAGATATCACTTCGGACGGTAAGTTTCCATCTACATGGCTTCGAGATGGTTGCAAGTACGTATGTATGGTTGCTAATCTGATACAACAGCATCCATCAAAAAAGCAGCCAGCACCGCCGCCTACGGCATGATGAAATACTACACCGGCAACAACACAGGCGACAACCCTGGAAACCTCCCCGCCCCCTACTACTGGTGGGAAGCTGGCGCCATGTTTGGCATTATGGTTGACTACTGGTACCTGACAGGCGACACCACCTACAACACGGTGGTGCAACAAGGCCTGCTCTCGCAAATCGGCGACGATGACAATTACATGCCGCAGAACCAGACCAAGACCGAAGGAAATGACGACCAGGCCTTTTGGGGCATGGCCGCCATGACAGCCGCAGAGGAGAAGTTTATGGACCCCCCGAGCCCGCAGCCGGGGTGGGTGGCGCTGGCGCAGGCAGTCTTCAACACCATGGTTGCGCGCTGGGACACGACAACATGTGGCGGGGGCTTGAGGTGGCAGATCTTCACGTTCAATAACGGCTATGACTACAAGAACAGTATTGCGAATGGGGGCCTATTCAATATCGGCGCGCGGCTAGCGCGGTATACGGGAAATTCGACATATGCGGATTGGGCAGAGAAGGTGTTTGAGTGGGAGATGAGCGTAGGACTTATCACTGATGATTTCCGGGTTCTGGATGGGTCGAGTGATACGACGAATTGCTCGACAGTCGATCAGGTGCGGTATTCGTATAATCAGGGGATTTATCTTTTCGGTGCTGCTATTATGTATAACCATGTATGTTCTCCCCTCCCAGAACCCTTAATTCCCATTCAACACCCCATGCTTCGGCTATGCATCCCTCATAATTTGGATCATACACATTCTGACGTTCCCAGACAAACGGCTCTGCAGTCTGGGCAAACCGCGTGAGCGGTCTCTTAAACGGAACCGCCATCTTCTTCAAAGACGACGTCATGACCGAATCCGCCTGCGAAGACAACGTATCAACAGCCAACCCGCACGGAACCTGCGACAACGACCAGCTGTCCTTCAAAGCCCATCTCTCGCGCTGGATGGCCGCTACCGCACAATTAGTACCTAGTACACATTCAACTATCATGTCGTTGCTGAAAACCAGTGCTGTAGCAGCTGGTAAGTCTCCGATTCTCACTCACATCAGCCTGCCTTCCCTTCCCTTCCCTCCCCTCAAATACCCACCCCTTCTTCCTAAAACAAACCCAGCTAACCCCCACCCCCAGCCGCCCAATGCGACGGCGGCACCGACGGCGTAACGTGCGGGCAACACTGGACCGCCAACAGCACCTGGGACTCAACGTACGGCGTGGGCCAGCAAATGTCCGCCGTGTCCGTCATCCAGAACCTGCTCATCGACAGCGCGCCCGGGCTCGTCACGAACACCACGGGCGGCACCAGTGCAGGGAACGCGGCGGCCGGGACGGAGAGCAGCAGTGCGGATGGCTCGGATCTGGTGATCACGCCGGCGACGGGCGCGGACAAGGCGGGGGCGGGCATCTTGACGGCTGTTGTGCTTTGTGGGGTTGTGGCGGGGATTGGGTTTATGGTCACGGGGTGATTGATGACTGAGTGGAGGGGGGCTGTATAGTTCGCAGGGTGTGTATGAGAGGGGATTCTTCGACTTCTGGCTTTTCTATGTTGCGGTTTGGGTGTATATTGACAACTTGAGTTTAGCGGGCGTTTCATTGGGACATTTACCTACATAGGGGTTCATCAACAGCATAGCATACCTAGGGAAACTCTAGATGACAAAAATCTAGACGGAAAGAAAGAAACTTGACAACAAATAAATAAATAAATTACATATTCTAATTCTGCAGTATGTGTGTTTCTTTCTTTCTTTCTTTCTTTTGTTTGTAAGATTACGCACCTCAGCTTTGTCTCTCGTTATATCTCTCTACCCAGTATCACACACACACATATCCCGGAAGCACTTCATTCATACCGTTGCTGTCAATATAGTCTATGCATTTTCAATGCGTATAGGTAGGTAATGCAAGAGACGTGTGGGCCTGAGGTGCAGGCAGTCTATGTAGAGAATTGGAACACTCTCTGTCTGCTCGCTCTTCACTTTGTCCCTACCTCTGTCTCTACCTCTACCTCTACCTCTACCTCTACCTCTACCGCACCATGTAAGATTATGCCCTTGCAACAATCCGCGGCGTGGTTTACTTGCGCCTGTGCCTGCGTTGTATAGTAGGGGTAGCTACTAGGTAGGTAGGTGGGTAGGTATCGGTCTTCTGTCGAGGATTGTACATGTACGGGATAGGTTAAGACCGGCGCTCTGACTTTACGCTGCCATGCCATGCCATGGTGTGGTAATTATGGTATGATTACGAGAGCATTGCTGGAAGGGAGAGGAAGGTGACAGAGGCTTGCCCATGGTAGGTGAGATTACATACTTAGCCATGTATGTATGTATGTATGTGAGATACTGTAGTTGGCAAAGCCAGGGGATGGACTACTGGTAAGATACGCATGACTAGTTAAGCGCTTATATCAAGACCAGCCATTTTAACAACCGGAATTGAATTAATGGGAAAACATAAGATATAGCGTAAGTCACGCGATATCAACACAAGATACGCTGGTAAGTAGCACGTATGAAAGAAGCTATGTAATTTCATTCAGAGCAGAAAGAAAGAAAGAAAGAAAGCTTCGTCCAGGAATACCTATCTATCAAACCTTAACAAACTCCCACACCACACCATCAGACCTCCCCTCCCAACCTTAGCCAGAACCTCCACTCCACGCACCATCTTCATTCCTACATGCCAGAGCCTATCCCAGTGCGTCACCAACAAAACATAGCCGCCGTCCGGCCTCAACCTGACGCAGAAATTCTCCCAATCGCCCTGTCGACCCGCAGCGCATCTGAGGTCCCCACCGATCCCGTAGCCCAGGAACTTGCCAGAGCTGTAGTTGTGGAAGCCCAGCCATCCTTTGGTTTCGACGCACGTCCAGTGGATGGACGCATGGCCGCTGCCAGGAGGCGCAAGCAGGACCTTGCCGTCGAGTAGTGTGAGGACGTGGCTAGATGAGAGGCTGCGGATTATGAAGGTGCGGTTGGGCCAGGGGACGGAGGAGTTGGACGGTGCGAAGTCGTCGCGGGCATCGAGAGGGTCGTAGGCGACGCTCGAGGGAGGCGTGTTGGCTGTGGAGCTGTCGGTTTCGGAGAAGGGTGCAGCGTTATCGAGGCCCATGGCGGCCATGACTGATGAAGGGCATGTGCCTTTTTAGTCTCGGTCGAGATGGTTGCTGCAGGTACAGTACAGTAGCGCTAGGTAGATCTAGATTTACCTCAATGCGAAGCGGAGGATCCTAAGAGAAGATCTAGAAAGAGGTTGTAGAAGTTTGAGATCAAAGATGGGTGGTTAGTAGAAAGCCAAAAGAGCCTGTACTCAAATAGATTGGTGATTGCTATCTACAGCACTCTTCTTTTAGGACTGAGAGTTGCAATGGAAGTGGTTTAATTATTTGTTTGCCTTGGATGAGGTACATGGGACCTTTGGATTAGTTGGCTCGCGAGGTTACATATTGATGTTGGGTGAATATAGGCTTGATTAAGAGGGCGTCGGCGTCTTGTGGATTAAGGTGTGGCTGCATTATAAGGTGTGGCTGCATTGTAAGAGGCTGTGGAAAGAGCCAACTACCTAGGGACTTATATACCCATGCAAGCCTCTAGTTGCCAGTCAGCTGTGGTGGGCAGTGAGCACGGTTCTGAAAATAGTAAAAAGGCGCGCAAAGCATCATCAGGAACATCGTGTTATGGGTTCAATCAAGTTCTAGCTAATACATCATGTCATAAGCTCATAAAATTTGTAGCAAAAATGCCCTCCCTTACTCTTTCAAGTCCGTATATGATAGTTATACTCATAATGGGTGGCCCCTTTTCTCTTCCAACCCGAAGTAATCACAGTTATAGCCTCTCGGGCATTTCATAGCCCCTCATAATTGTAGGAGTTTCGGGCTGGCCAGGTATGAAGCATCTGGCTTATCAATACATGTTAATTGCACAACGCTCAAATCTACCTCAGCGGCGAATATCCATGCTGGAACTCCTAACAGAATCAATACTTGGTCGAACGGAACTACTAGAACTTCGTCGTCTTCGGTCTCGCTGATCACTGGGACTCAATGGGTTCAATCCGGATTGGCGTCCAAAGAGATTCAGGATGTCTGTTAGAGAAACAACGCCAGTTAGTCGGCCGGAGATCCTAGCCCCTGGCAAAGCGGCTGCGGAAACAGGGAAAGATCCTGAAAGCGATGGAGAGGTTGGGGTAGATGAGTTCGGTGAATGTAGACTGGCAAAGCCCATGGAAGGCGTTGCACCGGGAGATGGGGAAGGGGAGGATGATTCAACGACCCACATTCGGTGGGATCTTGTTGCTAGCATTTTGGCAATCGTGTGGCCGAGTGTGGAATAGGGGCTAACATGGAAAACTATCTTTTGTAAGCACATGTTCTACAATTTGCTTCCAGCTGCTTACCTGGAAACGAATCCTTTCCGTCGATCATCCCTCGCTCAGAGAGTATCACCGATACAAAATGAATGCAAGATCTCTTCAACAGAGGAAGATTGGTTGAGTTGGTAAGAAGCTTAACGTCTGCGCTGGAGATATTTCCAACTACATTGAAGCCGTTGTCGACGACGGGGATACTCGTGAGGCCTTGACTGTGCATCAATCGAAGAGCATCTTTCAAAGGCTCGTCACCACTGGAGACTGTCAGTTTCTTTCTGTGATCATAATGGTAATAATAGGGTGTTAGAATCGGAGGTAGATCCGAGAAGTCAGGGAATAGTAAACCTCCTCAGTCACCCAATTTTGGAATAATTTAGAGTATGTCACAAGATGTCAAATGGTGGGTATTCACTTACTTGATTCCGATCGTGGAAGGTGTCCCGATACCCAAATCCTTCAAAAGCATTGGATTGAGCGCATCGATGGCCGCAAAGCTAGTAGCATTTTCCGACATGAATCTGACCAGTCTCAACTGACTCAGAACACCCACGACCTCGGTTGTGCCATCTTTACAGACGAGTATTCGATGAACGCCACTCCCAAAGTGTTCCATAGCCTTTGCAAGATCATCGGAAGCGGATAAGGTTATGAGAGATTCTGGCTTTCCTAGTGTAGAAGTCTCTCGAACGGGGATAAATTTGCCTTCACTGGCTCTCTTCGCGATCGAGTCGTAGCTTTCCATTTGGATTTCCTCGGGGCTTTATAAACTTTTAGTACATATGAAGATTTTGAGGGACGTTCACTCACCTTCCCAGCCCAACCACGGCAAGAAGATAGGCATTGAGATCACTGTAATCAAACGTTCCAACAGCAGTTGTGTCATCTGGCTTCTCCCGCAAAAGGATTACATTCGGCGGTCCGGCTTCAATCAACATCTGCAAAGGTTAGCATACCCAATGTCCTAAAGTTTCTCTGCGGAACACCTACCGTGGTAGCATCCTGTATACTGGTATCGATTTCGGCCCACTTAACATCACTGCTGTTCACCAATTCCCCAACGTGTATAGTCCTCCAGTCCCTTCCAACGAATTTCGGATCTGCGGTCTTATTAACTGGATGGTTGAGTAGTTCCTGTACCGCCGCTTGTGTGAATGAAGGATGTCGTTGAGACCTTGGAGAGTGCCGTAAGTTCTCTGCGAAACTGGATCTGTGGCTGATGGTGCCTCCGATCTTAGGACTGCCGGTGCTATTTCGCGCGGGCGCGTCGATTGGCAAAGCCGGATGATCTGCCATGTTCTGGTATGGCGGGGGACTAGGCGGATGATTGCTCATATGTTTGTTCGAATGTCTCGGAGGGTTGAGCAGGTTGAGTAGTTCTCATAAAGCTATGCGGCATAAACAGTGGCGATGAGAAGTTGTCTGCGGACGGGATGGGATGGGAAGGGATGGAATGGAATGGGGTGGGAGGCAATAGAATACTTCAACACAAGACAAGAATCCGAATCGCGTTTGCTCTTGCTTGTTGCGGGGTTACATGACACGTGATCAATATATATATGTCATAATGGGTTATTGGCCGTAAAGTAGGTCGGATATGATTTTATTCGGGAAATGTTGTAGGTAAATATGAATTACCTTATGATGGCTAATAGATTATAGAGGAGCTTTCTTCTCTTGTGTCCTCCGCAATGACTCGGAATGATGTGCGGCAAGGAAGGGGTACCATCTACCGGTATACCTAGCTAGCTATGCCTATGTACAGTACAGAGTAAACAAAGTCGGTGTTTGCGTTTCCCCACTTAATACGCATTGTTTATACTATTTTTCAAGAGGTCAGGTACTAATGCCACCCTAAATAATACACAATATCAAGTTAAAAATGGTGTGAGTAGGTAGGTGATTACCTAGGTAGGTAGAGTAAGAGTAGTGGTACTTGACCTCGACCTTGTATAGATCGACTTCAACTTGAACTCGAGTATATTTACGGAGACCCACTTGACCACAACCACGGGATTTTATCCATTTAGCGAGAATAAAAATTATTAGAACAAGTGCTGGCAAAACAACATCGCACGCTCCGGACACACGCGTGTGGAAACAACTCTTTCAAACCATACAAGCAATCGCCTTCCCTTCCTTACCCTGCGTAAAAACAACACTCGTCTTTCTCTCTTCGTCTCCGTTCCGTCCACCTACACCGCGGCCTCACTCTGAACAAAGGGCAAAACATTTCCGCAAGGGGCGCTTCGCGCTACAACAACTACCCCTCCATCCCAGACAACTTCCAAGCAGAACACTTTTCCCAAGCAAACACCACTTAAACCACCGGAACGATGTCGGTCCTGCCACCAGATGTGCATGCAGCGCTCGCACAGCTGCTGGATGCGCTGCAGTCTTCCGACAATAGCGTGCGAACACAGGCGGAGGCACATCTCCAAGACAGCTGGACCGTGCAAAAGCCCGATGTGCTGTTGATGGGCTTGGTAGAGCAGATTCAAGGCTCCAACGATCCTACGGTAGGCGCTTCCCCTATTTTGGAACCCACCAAGAAGACTATGGTCTGACGTCCTATTGCAATAGACACGAGCGTATGCTGCGGTGATCTTCCGTCGAATTGCCTCCAAGGCGCGCAAATTACCAAATGGCGAGAGCCTGGAGCTCTTCCTGTCATTACCTCAGGAACAGGCCTATGTCATTAGACAAAAACTCATTGAAGCGCTTGGAGCCGAAGCGACGAACAGCGTGAGGAATAAGATTGGTGATGCGGTTGCTGAGATAGCAAGAGAATACTCTGATGGAAGTGTGTGCTCCAGAGTCGATCCCAACCTTACATCCATTTTCTCGTCAAGATCCCGAAACTGACAATATATAGAGCAACAATGGCCGGAGATCCTCGGTGTTTTGTTCACTCTTAGCACGTCGAAGGAGGTTGGACAACGAGAAATTGCCTATAGAATATTCTCAACCACCCCTGGGATTATCGAAAAGCAACACGAGGATACAGTTTTGTCAGCTTTTACCAAGGGTTTCAAGGATGAAGACGTTGGCGTAGGTGCTCGTCTGCAAGAAGCAAGGCTACGGTGCTAATGGTTGATAGGTTCGCCTCTCAGCAATGGAAGCATTTGCTTCATTCTTTCGCAGCATCCCTAAGAAATCCCAAACAAAATATTACGCCCTCATACCCGAAGTTCTGAACATCTTACCTCCAATCAAGCAATCACAAGATTCAGAAGAGCTCACAAGGGGATTAGTCTCCCTGATTGACCTTGCTGAAGTTGCACCAAAAATGTTCAAGCCTCTCTTTCACAACTTGGTCGAATTTAGCATCTCTGTCATTCAAGACAAGGAGCTTACAGACCAAGCTCGTCAAAATGCCTTGGAACTCATGGCGACATTTGCAGACTATGCGCCAGCTATGTGCAAGAAGGATTCCTCATATACAAACGATATGATTACTCAATGCTTGAGTCTCATGACTGATATTGGTGTTGATGACGATGATGCTGCTGAGTGGAACTCCTCTGATGATGTACGTTACTGCTCGAAGGATTTCCTGCTATCTTATCTACCGTTTAAAAACTTGTACTGACCATGCACAGATGGATCCTGATGAAAGCGATCTTAACCATGTTGCAGGCGAGCAGTGCATGGACAGATTGGCAAACAAGCTTGGAGGTCAGGCTATTCTAGCACCTACTTTCAACTGGCTTCCTAGAATGATGAATTCCGACGCCTGGAGAGACCGACACGCAGCACTCATGGCTATTTCCGCCATTTCCGAGGGCTGCAGAGACTTGATGGAAGGCGAACTTAACCAGGTCTTGGATTTGGTGGTTCCGGCACTTCGAGACCCACATTCCCGTGTTCGATGGGCTGGCTGTAACGCGCTTGGTCAAATGAGCACAGATTTCGCAGGCGTTATGCAACCGAAATACCACCAAATTGTGGTCCCCGCCATAATCCCGGTTCTCGACTCCCCTGAACCGCGGGTTCAGGCTCACGCAGCTGCGGCACTCGTCAATTTCTGTGAAGAGGCCGAGAAAGACGTTCTTGAGCCATATCTTGACGACCTTCTAACCCATCTCTTCCATCTTCTCCAGAGCCCGAAACGATATGTCCAAGAGCAAGCGCTCTCAACTATTGCTACTATCGCCGATTCCGCCGAAGCTGCGTTTTCCAAGTACTATGATACTCTCATGCCTATTCTCTTCCAAGTCTTGCAACAGGAGAGCACGAAAGAACTTCGACTTCTTAGAGCAAAGGCTATGGAGTGCGCTACACTTATTGCCTTGGCTGTTGGAAAAGACAGACTAGGCAATGATGCGTTGAACTTAGTCCAGGTCTTGGGTAGCATTCAGTCAGGTATCACAGATGCAGACGACCCTCAAGCGCAGTATCTCATGCACTGCTGGGGCCGGATGTGTAGAGTCCTCGGTCAAGACTTCTTGCCATATTTACCTAGCGTGATGCCTCCGCTTATAGAGCTTGCTAGCGCAAAAGCTGATATTCAACTTTTGGAAGACGAGGATCAGGTTGACCAGGTTCAGGCAGATGAAGGATGGGAGCTTGTGCCTCTGAAGGGAAAAGTTATCGGCATTAAGACAAGTACTCTTGATGACAAGCATATGGCAATTGAGCTTCTAGTCGTCTATGCGCAGGTTCTTGAGGCTGCTTTCGCACCTTTTGTCGCTGAAATTATGGAGAAGATCGCACTTCCTGGTTTGGCATTTTTCTTTCACGACCCAGTTCGAGTCGTATCGGCAAAGTGCGTTCCGCAGCTCCTAAACTCCTACAAGAAAGCGTTTGGCAGCCCTTCGAACGAACTGCAGGCTCTTTGGAATGGAACAATTGAAAAATTATTGGAGGTTTTAAGTGCCGAGCCAGCCGTCGATACCCTCGCGGAGATGTACCAATGCTTCTACGAGTCCGTTGAGGTCATGGGTAAGGGCTGCCTCACCCCTCAGAACATGGAGACTTTCATCGATTCGGCACACTCTGCATTAGAGGACTACAAGGATCGCGTTGCCGCAAGACAGGAAGAGAAGGATGAGGTCAGCCGCGAAGAAGGCGAGGAGGAGTCTGAGGACACCTTATTTGCCATCGAAGATGACCAGACTCTTCTTTCCGACATGAACAAAGCTTATCACTGCATTTTTAAGAACCATGGTACTGCTTTCCTTCCTGCGTGGGAACGCCTCCACGCCACCTACGAGGCATTCCTCAAGAGCCCAGATGCCACACAACGCCAATGGGGCCTTTGCATCATGGACGATGTTTTGGAATTCTGTGGTGAACAGAGCTGGAAGTACAACGAGTCTATAATCACTCCCCTTGTGGCAGGCTGCCAGGACCCAGCTCCTGCAAACCGACAAGCAGCTGCGTATGGTATTGGTGTTGCCGCACACAAGGGAGGGCCTCAGTGGTCCCAATTCTTCGTCCCCGCGATAGATTTGCTCTTCTCCGTAACCAGAATCCCACGTGCCCGAGGGGACGATGATGTATTTGCAACCGAGAACGCATGTGCAGCCATCGCTAAGATCTTGCAATTTAATGCTTCCTCTATTCCAAATGTCCAGGAAGTCATTGTTCAATGGATTGAGACTTTGCCAATTACCAACGATGAAGAGGCTGCGCCATATGCATATGCTTTCCTCGCCCAACTAATCGATCAGTAAGTTTCATGAATTAAAACAGTGTCGACTTTTCTAACACCTCTACAGACAAAATCCAGCAGTAATGTCGCAGCCCACAAAAGTGTTCGAGTTTATCGTACAGGCACTAGAGGCGGAGACACTGCAAAATCAAATCGCAAGCAGGATAGTTGATGCGTCAAAGCTATTGCTCGGCAACTCTGGCCTGGATCTCGCCCAACTCATACAACAACTCGCACCCGAGAGACAGCAAGCACTGCGTCCTTACTTTGCATAAGAAACAGAAAAACCATTGGGTCGGAATCATTGGACAACAAGGATGGGTTGGCAGGGCTGGGTTGGGATGGAATGCGGTTGATGACAGAATGATTGATACCACATTGAGCACCTTTGATTTTTCTTTTGTCGTTTTGGGGACGCCTTGGGGGGGTATGGGGCCTGATTTAGCATAGCGAGAGATTGACAAATGAGGTCGTCAGAGTCCTCGGAGGGCGTTCTGCAGTTTCAGACTATAGCAATGGAGCTCTACTTGACATAGACTAATAGTCTTTTCTTAACGCCTATTGCACTATTGTTGAATTCACCGGCTTATGGGTGTTACGAAGGAGAGATATATTATCAACCTGGAAAGTATAAATAGGGCTAAGAGATGAGAATGAGATGAAATGCAACGAAGCCAATTTTCTGCAATCTCGGGAATAATCAACGCAGAACGCCACTAAAGACCATGCGCCGTGGACCCTTAAAACCACCAGTCATCGTTGGTCTAGGATTTTCAGGGTCCAAAACAATGCAATGTCCACCTATAACCTCACCTCGACCTTTCCCTTCCGCGTTTACAGCCCTTTTCATCCTTTCTTTGATATTGTAAATCTAGACTTACGGTCATATGGTATGGTATGATTTTATGGGGCGAATGATGGGATTCTACAATTCGATACCTACTCCGTATGTACCTCTGGAATAAGAGTGGGTGGGCCTTGACTAGGTATATAGCGTTACGGAATACACCGTCCGTACCGAGCAACTAAACCCACCCGTCCATGCCTGCAGCTGCTCCGTGCTCCAACGTCCGTCCCGCCATTAATTCCGTGCGTGTCTGTACGATTAAAAAACAATCAATATTCAAGTTGATATCCTATCCTGTTCTTGAGGAACACATACACCTACACATACACATACACATACACATAGTCGTACACAGAGCTACCTATATACCTTACTTGACCAGCTGTGGCACGTACCGTACTGTAATACGCAGCGCATCTTCTCTCCCCCTCTCCTCCCCCTCCCTCCTCTTCCATTGTCGCGCCGTGTTCGGAGACCATCTGATGAACTGCAACTACAACGATACCCATTCCAGAAACCTCAATACCTCCCTCACCTTGCGACCAGAGAAACCTTAGGGCAAGCACAGTGGACGAAGCGTAGGAGATATTTACAATTGTGTGACACGGATAGAGCTATCCGCAAACTCCCCAGCGAGCTTTTTGCTTAAGCAGCACCTCGCTACTGAGGCGCAGATACTACCTAGGTACACATCTGCACGCAGCTTTTACTACTACGGTGGACAGATATCCTATCAGGCATATAAGTTCGACCGAGATTCTACGCGGTCCGTAGCAGCAAACCAGGCCCGCCACCCTCAAAATATCAATTCCAATACACACTACCGAGTCGATGGATATACGCCCATGATTGGTCGTTTGCGATCATCCTCTACCTCTACCTCTACCGACAATCGACGACGTAGGACAAGGCAGATGCGGTCACCATGAATGAGTTCTTTGGGACTAATATTTCCCAGCAGGACCTACAAGGTCGGCTTGCGGAGCGTCGACAGCGAAATGCATCTGATCGAGCTATGAGCTTGTCCATGGCTCCTCCCATGCCGCCGCAGGGCAATGAGGATAATATGAATATGACGGGCATGGTTGGCGATTCGCTGGACGATATAATATTGCAGAACAACAAGGAGATACAACGGCGGCATAGCCTATCGCGGGGTTATTCAAACCAGTCGCTTGATCGCAGATCTTCAATGCTTGAGTTTGGTTCGAGTGATAGCAATCTCAATGGCTTTCAATTCGGTTCACCAGCGCCAGGATCAGGAGATCCGCATCTTCGACGACAATCAGCCGGCGAGGTAGAGATGAATGGGGGGTTTGAAGATATGTCTTCAAACATGACTATGTCAGCCCAGCAGATGGGGTATACTGCCTCCATGCACCCGCCAGATCTAAACATTGATACGAGTGGAGGCTATCCAGGAATGCCTCACGATATGGTACAGGGAATGATGGGGTATGGACCTATGACTACGGAGGGAATGATGGACGAGGATTCTGGTCTGATATTTGCGTCCCCATCATTCTCACAGACGTTTGGTAATGGGGGTATCGAAGCTATGTCAAACAATGATTTCATGATGCCGACAGGATTACAGGAGACCCTGTCGTCACAGAGCCGCGATGAAAACGACAATATGCTACCATCGATACCCGGGCTCGGAATCGCCGATAGTCCTGGAATTGCTTCACCAAGAGGGATGAGCGCTTATCATTCCCCACTGACGCCTAAAATGCCGTCCCTCCCACACCATGATTCCTCTTACGATGAACCAACACCAAAGGCAACCACCCCAGTGCCTCCTGCAAAGTCGGAGTCTGTGGTGAAGTCCGAAAAGAAACCAAATTATGCAGGAATCTATTCATCCAGTGGATTCGACATGCTGGGCGCGTTAATGAAAGTGGCCACGAGAGCGAATCCTGAGGTCGATATTGGAAAGGTTGATCTGTCATGTGCATTTGTGGTTTGCGATATCACACTTGCCGATTGTCCCATCATCTACATATCTGAAGTTTTCGAGCGATTGACGGGATATAATAAGCACGAGGTTCTTGGCCAGAACTGCCGCTTTCTGCAATCACCAGAAGGAAAAGTCCAGGAGGGGGTTCATAGAGACTTTACGGATAACAATTCGGTGTACTATCTTAAGAATCAGATTTTGGCAAAGAAGGAGGCTCAGCGCAGTTTGATCAATTACCGAAAAGGGGGCCAGCCATTTATGAATCTGCTTACCATGGTACCCATTAGTGGTGACACGGGCGATGAGATCAGATATATTGTTGGATTCCAAGTTGACTTGGTGGAAAAACCATCATCTTTGGAGAACAAAAACGCCAGTGGGATGTACACAGTTGACTACTCGCAAGGCCAGTTACCAAAATATGTCTGGAACCCTCCCCAGAATGTACAGCCACAGCTGGATGGACAGACGATTAGTCGGGACGATGTGTCCACTGTTTTGGGTTCTATCAACAATCACACCGAGTCCGAATTGACGAAGCGAATGTGGGACAAGGTACTGCTTGAAAACACTGATGATGTGGTTCATGTTTTGTCTCTGAAAGGTCTCTTTCTCTACTTATCGCCATCTTGTCGGAAGGTCTTGGAATACGATTCTTCGGAGCTTGTCGGTACGGCTTTATCCTCCGTTTGCCATCCCAGTGATATTGTACCTGTCACCCGGGAGTTGAAGGACACATCTACCGGAGTAGCTGTCAATGTTGTATTCAGAATACGACGGAAGAAGAGCGGCTATACATGGTTTGAAAGCCACGGCTCGCTATGCGTGGAACAAGGCAAGGGCAGAAAGTGCATCATCTTGGTTGGTCGAGAAAGACCGGTATATGCACTATCTCGCCATGATATTGAAGAAGCAGGAGGAATTGGCGAGAACGAAATGTGGACCAAGATCTCGACTTCTGGCATGTTCTTGTTCGTTCCATCTAATGTGCGAACATTACTGGACCGGGCACCAGAGGACTTAGTTGGGACAAGTATTCAGGTTCTCATGCGGCCCGAATCCAAGGTTGAATTCGGTCGCTCTCTTGAGAAAGCGAGGAGGGGAAGGAGAGTCACGCACAAGCATGAGGTTTTGAACAAGCGAGGTGTGGTCTTGCAAGCCCAGACAACATTATATCCCGGAGATGCGTCTGAAGGCCAAAAACCAACGTTCCTTGTCGCCCAAACACGTCTGCTCAAAACATCTTCGAGGTCAGCCACTCCAGCTTCCCAAGGTGGCGGTACAAAATCTATGAACTCCATACAGCATGGTCTGAATGATTCGGCTCTTAGTCACCCCTCCGGCTTCGTTTCGCAAGCTAGTTCGGATAGGTCCAGTACATCCCCCAACACTGTTGTACCTGGTCCCATCACACAAGCAGGAGGCGGCGGTCTTGCTATTGGAAGTCAAGATCTTGCGCTGGCATCAGAAGCCAACATATTTGAAGAACTAAAGACGACACGCTGCACAAGTTGGCAGTTTGAGCTGCGACAAATGGAGAAGAGTAACCGATTACTAGCCGAGGAGTTGAGTATTCTACTAGCAAATAAGAAGAAGCGAAAGCGGCGCAAAGGGGCCGGTCATCTGCAACGAGATTGCGCAAATTGCCACACACGACAAACACCCGAATGGCGACGAGGACCTAGCGGACAGAGAGACTTATGCAACAGTTGTGGATTGCGGTGGGCTAAACAGGTGAGTCGCAGTAATTCTGGCTCCCAAAGCACCGTCCGACAAACTGCAAAGGGCTGGTCCCAGTCAGACTCGTCCACATCTCGAAGTTAATATATCGACGATACCCCTACGCCTTCGCGGTTGCTTTAAGATATATACTTCGCATGTTGTGTTTGTCTTGGACCATATCGTTCTTCGACGCGCAAGTTCTTCTTCACGAAAGATAATATGGGCAAGATGCCGTATTTCGCTCACTACATTTAAGGGCTACGCCCTGTCACTGCTATCCATAACATCTTATTCTGTCTATGTCGATATATATTACCGCAAAACTTACATCACCCAGTAACCTGTCTTCCCACCCAATGTTCTGTCCGTTGTATCGCCTCGTCCTGCTTTGATGTTAGCCTACCCTCTCAGCTGTCCCTATCAATCTGGCATTACCATCTTTCTTGCTTCCGATCTTCCTGTCGCCTAACGACCTTTCTCCCATCGCTTTACTGACGCCAATCCCTAGACCGGTCGCGTATCTCCCCGCACCTCGACCCGCGGTGACGGCTCGAGATCCCAACATAGCACGTCTCCTGTGAGCTCGTCCCCCTTACAACAAGAAGTACCGCAATCATCACTATCCAACACGCCAAACCTCAACCCGAACCCGAATTCCTCGGCTGCTCCCCAGAGCCTAGGAGGCAGAAGCACGGCGGATAGTCAGCCGGTACGCGATCAGAGTAAGGGCTTTCGGGAAGGTGGAGATAGGGGCATTACGAGGATTGAGGAGGAGAGTGGGAAAAGATGATATGATATGATATGGATTTCGTGGTGTGTGTGTGTGTGTGTATTGCACATTTGAAATCAATGTATAAATGGATGGATAGGATGACATGGCGTTTCATTATCTTTTCATTATTATTATCCCCCTGAAATTGGGTAGCTCGGCGTCGGGGACGCTGGGAATATTAGATGCATATTTGTCTGTTTGTATGTATGGCGTATCTGGATTGGAATGGGATGGGATGGGATGGATTTAAGCGCGTTAACAGGCAAATTTACCTATCTATCTATGAAGGAATGAAAGGGTTCACTTCAAACGGACCTTTCTTTCCCGTGCTTAGCTTTTAACTTGAGATATTGTGCACGTGCCTTCGTCATCATATCATATAGGCACTGTTCCTAGGTACTCGTATTTATTTATTTAGGAAGGGGAGGTGGAAGAGGGAAGGGGGAAGGTGGAAGAGGTGGTTGGAGGTGAGAGCAAGGAGTGCGCTATGAGATGCATACTGTAGTGAGTGAGTGAATAAGTGTATGCTATCATCTTAACTAATACCGGATGATAACGACTCAAGAAGATGCAAGAAAGAAGGCCCTTAGGTTAGAGCTATGTAAGTATGTACCATGCAGCTAGCTAGCGACACGGGCCAAGATAGGAGCTTGGAAGTTACCTAGGTAGGTACAAGATGATTGTCACCTACTAGTGGAATGAAGTGCGACGATTTATCTTGCTTCAAGCCGCCAAAGCGCCGTTTATAGAGCTCCAAATACATACCCAAGAATCCACTCTTAGAACTCGTCGCTAGAATAAATACAGAGTTTCAAGTTGACGTAAAGATAGCAAAGCAATGGCGGGTTCTAGGAACGGAAGGACGACTAAATAACTGCAAGTAAGGAATCGGTATAGCATCTGCAATAACGACCCAACGCCTTAGACGTGCATATTGTTCCTGTACCGAGTAAGCTGCGCATGAAGCTCTACGCTTTGTTGTCGTGATATCGCTCGCATTCCATCGCGTGCAGGATGCAAGATGGAGGGGGAGAGATACAGCACGGTACGGTACTGTAGCGAAGTGTTAGGAGGATGCGAGACGGGAATGAATGCGCAGCCAACCAAACCACCACTGTCTTCCTCGCCTCACTTCACGTCACCTCACCTCACCTTGGCTCTAATGCAAAACATTAACTAGAGATCACAAAAGCAACGAGGCTCGAGCGAGCCTCCTACAGTAAAGCCTTACCTGCACTTTGAAGTTCTGCTAAAACATCTCGCTATATATATAGAGGCCGACCGAGGAACGCTTGCTGTCAGCTGGCCGTTATTAATTAGCTTAAACGTTAGAATCTTCTCGATCGTGATCTTAATTTGAGAGAATGTGTCAGGTATAGGACATGTTAGTATTACAAGTGATCACTTTACTATAATTATAGGTCCGTAGGTTATAGTCTTAGTAGTTATATCTTTACTATCTATAGCTATATATGCAGATCTAGATGCTGGATCTGCAACGAAGAGGTTATCAGATAGCGCCAAGTCATATGACTAGAAAGACTCGGTCATAAATCCCCTATACAGAATATAATAGAAATGCTGTATCTAAAGGGAGCGAATAACCTCACATATGACCCCGATTCGGCACAAACGAAGCCCCTTTTCTAAGCGGGAGGGAGGAAAAATCTGACGAGGTTGAGGTGCATACAGTATCTGTAGCCAAGTACAAGTGCCGGTTCTCAAGACGAGCCGTGCCTTTGACACTAATGCAGGAGCTTCGTCGTGGTCGACACACCGTAACTCAGACTTGACAGGAAACCAGACTGGATGAGGGAATAGATGGGCGAGAGTATACCGCAAAACTGTACGAAGGTGTACTTGCCGAGTGTCTAGTTCTCTGTAAGGCTACCTAGGCTAGGTAGATGAGGCTGCAACGGTTCTAGATCTGCGGAGTTTGAGGCTTTTGGCGTTGTAGCTTCCTTACCTACTTTACTTCACCCTCACTTATATTTTGTAATAGTATTGTGCTACCGTACCGATATATCTATATCACCGCCAACACACCGCGGCATATAATAAAGCAGCACATCTCACCTAAATCAGACTTCACTGCATCCATCAACGCCAATTGGATGTTCCTCGCCTCGCTCCTTCCTTCCATATCCCTGCCCTGCCCCTCTGAACGCATTACTCTGTAGTATCGTACTGTACCGTGCCCGAAAAAGCGCGAACAGCTCACGGACCTCCAAATCCAAGGACGTGCATATCAACATTATCAGATCCACCACCTCACCCCAACCTCAATTCCCTCGCCCTTCCCCTCCTCTCGTATACACACACAAACGATCATTGTGGAATTGATAATATAAAATTACTACGAGCCTTTTTCCTCAAAGGCAGGAACGAATTGCATCCAGGTAGATCATACGAGCAAGAGGTGTACTGGCGAGGAGGGGTCAATCAAGGGTTACAGAAAACCACACGGACGCCAGCAGGACGCCAGAGGTTGCGCGCGACACAACGAAGAGCGTACACGGTCGTACGCACAAAAGACGACATCAACTTCACATCAATCAAGAAGACACCTATCCCCTCCATATCCTCCTTCTTTTTCCCCTCCACAACTACAGACGCGACGGCTTCACCTCTCACAACACTACCCACTCCTTCTCCCTTGCTTTACGGGGAGAGAATTCCTAGAGGAAGATAAACACAATGGATTCGCCCCAAAAAATAACCATCACCATCTGCGGCGACGGCGGCTGCGGGAAATCCAGCATAACCCTGCGCCTAGTGCGCTCGCAATGGACACACGAATACGACCCCACCATCGAAGACTCCTACACCCTAACACGGCGCATAGATGGGCAAACCTACCACCTATCTTTGACCGACACAGCCGGGCAGGAAGAGTACCGCGGCATGTGGGCATCGTCGAACCTGCGCTCTGACGCCTTCCTGCTGGTCTACGACATCACAAATGGGAACAGTCTAGGCGTGCTGGAGGAGTTTAACGGGCTGATTGATATCGAGGCCGAGACGCGCGCTGATGCGTGGGATGGGCGCGGCGGCGGGATTGGAGGGAACGGCAAGGGCAGGGAGAAGGAGAAGGGCCCTGTCAAGCCGGTTAAGATTGTCGCGGGCAATAAATGCGATTTGCAGGAGTCGAGGCAGGTGTCGGCGCAGGTGGGCTTGGAGTGGGCTAGGAGGCGGGGGTGTGGGTTTATGGAGACGAGTGCCAGGAATACGGTTAATATCGAAGAGACGTTTGCGTTGATTGTTAGGAGGGTGGTGGAGGCGAGACGGCTGGCTAATGGGGGTGCGAGTGCGAGTGCGGAGATGGCTGAGAGGGGTATGGGGAGGGGGGGATTGCCACGCTTGGGGTTGGCGGGGAAGAGTCCTGGGACTGAGCGCTTGGGGAGTAGTAGGGCTGTCACGGCGCCGTTGAGTCCCTTGCCTGGAGGGCCGGAGAAGAATCCAAGTACGGGGCGTGAGTACGAGACACAGCACTCGAGCAGCAGCAAGAACTTGGGAACGTGGTTCAGGTCGACATGGAAGAAACTGAGATGTTGGCAATGACGTTCATTTACTCTTGGTATAGGGGCTCGGTATTGATTGGCTTAGTTCGTTTATGAGGTGGATTGGGTTGGATGGATGGATGGGAGCGGAGGAGTTTCGGATTCGGAAATATAGGTTTTGTGGTCAAGTGGGTTGGTTGGTTCATGCCTGCGTGCCTTGTATAATCATCCCATCCTGGCAGGTATGATGGGTTTTGGGATTGATTTGGTTTGGTTCGGATCAAGGTTTTATGAGTATGAGTATGAGTATGAGATGAGGGCATCCGGTTCGGTTCAAGGGGAATACCATACCTATCCATCTATCTGTGTAGGGTATCGACTTGATATATCACTACCTACTCTAGAGTAACGCATGCATGCATTGCTAGCTAGCAGGTAGATAGACGCTTCACGAGATGAGATGAAATATACGGCCGTGGAAGGCAGGCGGGATGGCATATCTTGATAGAAAAGTTTTTTTATGCATTCATGCGTGCATGCCATGCATTTATTTGATATGCATGAGTGAATGAGTGATAGTTGTCTATCTAGTAGGTACGTTGTAGATGGTAAGAGTAGATGAGATGGAAAACTTGATGTGGAGATGTGGAATGTGGATGGAAGAGAGGTAGGTGGGTGAATAGGAATAGGTGGATAGGGGTATATTATAGTATAGTACGGAAATGTTACTGATTTCCTTTAAAATCTCAGACGACATATTTGGACAACCAAAGTCCACTTTTGTCTTTGGACTTGAGCAGTTGAGCCCTGAGTCCTGAGCCCGCTAATGAGTCAGCTGGATTTTGCTTAGGGGGGCCCTCAAGAATCGTTTACGTTCCATGTTGTGTATACATAGAATTCTCACTTCCTATTATCTGTAACACAAGCTACCTCTTTGATCCTATCAAGATATCGTAACAGTGGCCGTTCTTGCTCCCCTATCATGTCCATTATTAAGGAGCCGAGTCCGGAGCAGAGTTGGGTTGGGTTGGGTACCCTTTTAAGCCGTGGCTTGAAGACGCCTTGTTTGAATCAATCGCCCTTCAGACCTCCTCGACTCTCCCTCAATAACCCAATTTGTATACTTAAAAAATAAAACACGGTACTAAAATCCTGGCATCTGTCAACGTCTAGGCTCCCGGCTCCAACTACTACATGCAAGACAAGGCAGAGCGAAATTGTATTCGTAATATGGTTTATACTAAGTTTTGGCGCCCGAGATTCTAAGGTTGTCGAGGGAAGGCAAGGCAAACTTCTACTGTGCTTGTGCTTGTGCTTGCTAACTGTCGTGAGTCTAGTAGCTTCGAGAGATTCATGCAAATCTCAACAAGGCATAACTGTATTGGTGTTGATACTGAAAATATAACAGTGAAAGAGAAGGGAAAGATCAGCTGAGTATGGGAGATATGTAACGGCGATACTGCATTAATAAGGAGCCACGGCCCAGTGGCTTTGGGAGATTTAAGCAGCTCTTAGCAAGGCAGTTGTATCGGTATTGAATAGCACCTACTGCTAAACTCGTCCGATCCTAGAAAGCACGGGAAGGCGTAGCTTCTCTGCTGCAGGTGTGCAAGTGACACGTGATAAATAACCCCTGTTTTCAATTCGTATTTCGTTGTGGTCACTTACACTTAACAAAGCCTTGCAGGCATCCTTGCAGGAGGCGCATTCAGCTTCGGTCTGGTGAGGAACGTCCTTCTGTCAATGAGGCTGTCAATATTTGTCTACTTAGCTGTATTCAATGAAATAATTATCGGCGTTCTCCTTCAACAACTGCCTTCCGACCTCACAGCAATGATTGACCCCGTTACCGCGATCGGTCTCGTCTCCGGGATTCTCACATTTGTCGGCGCTGCGGAGAAGATTCTGAAACTATCGTGGACTCTCTACAACTCGGCTGAAGGGTATTCAGAAGAGACACAGATACGATTGGAGTTGGCTGATAGTCTGAACTCTATATCGAACCGCATAGTTCTCGCCCATCAGCCTCCGCAGAGTGAAGAGGACAGAGCTCTTCTCACCTTGGCTCAACAGTGCGATAAGCTAACAAACGATATCAAAAATGTGCTGCAGACCCTTAAGCCCAAACGGCGTAAATCCAAGGCCCAGAGCAGCCTTGCAGCATTGAAAACATTGGTGCTTGAACCGAAGATTAAAGACCTGGAGAAGCAACTTCAACGCTGCCGCGATCAGCTCCACTTCCACATTGCTGCCTTGTCCCGGTAAGCGTGAGACTGGCGGATCGGAAAACGTGGAAAGATTGAGATCTCAACAACAGAATGACTAACACATTGGTAGAGAAAATCTCAAAGCCCTACTAGCGCTTTCCAAAGAGGACGGGGGTAAGATGACTCAACTTGAGCTCTCTATCACTCAATTAAGGCAGACTATGAAGGATATGACGACTATGAAGGTTAACTACATCAGCGACCAAGCCCTAACTCAGTTAAGAAATCTGTTACGTGACGGACAGGACACTTTAAATGAGTTTGCACAAGACAGGATCCTGAGAGGAATCAAGGCAGGATTCGAAGATATGTCATACCGTTATCAGGACATCCATAGTCCCTTTCAGGATACATTCGAATGGGTTTTGGACCTTAATGGGGAATATGTAGAGGCCACCAAGTTCACTCAGTGGCTATCATCTGGAGACGGCACCTTCCACATATGTGGCAAACTTGGCTCGGGCAAGTCTACGCTAAGTGACAACGTTTCCTTTTCCCCGGCATGCTTTTTGTTTCTCAGAGCCTTTTTCGGTTTCTCTATTCCTGCCAAGGAGACACGGGAAATGACTGGGAAAGACTATCGATACTGGAGACTAACGTGTACTAGTGAAGAAGCTGTGTAGATATGAGAAGACCAGAGCTGAGCTGATCAAGTGGATGCGTAGGTCAAATTCACCTAAGAAGCTTCTCGTGGTCTTTTTCTTTTCTTTAGCTAACGGCCAATTAGAGGTCAAAGGAGGGCGAAAGCTCATTATAGCCGATTTTTTCTTCTATGCCCTTGGCTCAGATTCTCGACAGAAGTCTTTGATGGGCCTGTATAGAACCTTCCTGCATCAGATCCTGACAGCAAGCCCAGATCTTATGCAAAATCTCCTCCCAGACCAATGGACCAAGGCCCTTTCACAGCCAAATCTCCATGCAGCCCTGGAAATTCTTGACGATGACATCAAGCAGGCCTTCAAACGCCTGTCAACGCAGCACGAGGACAGTTCCTTTGATGGGTGCTGCTTTAGCTTCTTCATCGACGGCCTTGACGAGTACCAGGCCACCATTGCAGTTGATCGGCGCGAGATGGTTGAGGCCTTGATGGATTTAGCCAACAGCACCTCAGGCCGCTTCAAAATATGTGTCTCGAGTCGCATGGAGAATCCGTTCATGGACATGTTCTCTGAGGATACCAGGTTCTATCTTCACGAGTTGACCAAGTCAGACATGAAGAAATACGTCCAGGGAAGTCTGCAGTCCGTAGGAACCCAGTTAGAACGCCGGCAGCTCGCCTTATCCATCACCCAAAAGGCTGAAGGCGTATTCCTCTGGGTTGTCTTAGTTGTTCAGAAGATCCGCAAGCTATCAGATGATGGGGTTAAATTTTCCGGATTGATTGGCGAGGTTGAGTCACTCCCGATTGAACTGGACCAACTATTTCAGAGAATTCTGGATACTCTCGGATCGGAAGATCGCCGACTAGTGGGCCATACGGCGTCTCTTCTCCAATATTTGGGCATGACTCCCGCGGCCAAATCTATGCAATTATGGCTCAACTTGGGTGATTTCTACTTCCTTGAGGACTACGTGGCCGATCCACGGTTTGCCGAGGATGTACAGTTCCCACATCCGGAAACTGAGACGGTCAGAGAGAGTGAGGCTCATGCCAGGCGGCGACTGAGGGGGGCCTGCAGAGGGCTTTTGGAACCGGACAGGGCAAAAGACATTATTTTCATCCATCGCTCCGTAGGAGACTTTCTCAAACAGGACAAGGTTCGTGCTGAACTGTGCGAGAAGTCCTTTAACAACGTGGTGGCGCTGTCCCAACTAAAACTCGCGAGTATGAAACATTATTGGTGGGATGTGGAACGACCAAGTGGCAGCAAAGATGATAAAGGAAGGGAAATAGAAGGAAAAACTCTACGCCGTCACTCGCTATTGGCAGCATTCCTGGTTGAACAACGACGGAAACAGCAGCTCGATGCACCACCTTTTGTTTTTCTTACACGTCTTGATACTATTCCGCAGCTATCAGTGAGCACCATGATGGACCGTGCCTTGACATACAACAAAACCGCATTTCACATCCACCTCTCCCAGCCAGACCACGCGGAAAGCGAGTCATGCGGTAATTATGAAATCTGTCACACCTCGCGAATCCGACACCAGTCGACGTATGTCAAACCTGGGGGCATATACTGGAACGAGTTTAAGGATGAAAAATTTGATCGCAGCGACTCTTCGGTGCAATGGAGGTGGACTGGCGAGGTTGTCGATGCAATAGAGAATTACTCAATACCTGTGATTTCGCCCATGTTCAGTGAGCTATGTTTGGGGCGATTGGAGTATCCCCTTTGGAGAATCGCTCACAACCCCGAGATGCCCCTGGAATCGGATAAGCTTATCATGCTCGTGTACTGTGCCATAGGAACTAGTATCGGCAGAATTATCTGGAAACAATGGTCTACAGGTGCCGATGATGAAGGTAATTCTGAGGTGGCTTTGCAGACTGCTGGACTTTTTTTTCTTCAACATCTTTTCGAACAGAAGATCGCGTCTCCAAACTTATTGACGAATCTAGCGTTCGGTGGCGAATTCGGCTTCATTCGTATTGCTGCCAGAAGCCAGCAATTGTCTATCTGGCAGCATTTTCTATGTTGGTGGGTAACCGCGGCCGCAGCATCCGGCGATTTTATATCAGAGAAGGAAACCAGTTTTGATGGTATACCCTTGAATAACTCCAGTAAGCCAGCCGGTGTTTTTGAATCAGAAACAGATTCTGCTACAGAGAACGAGCCTTTCAACAGCACCGATGAACAAAACGCCACAAGGTTCCTACTGGAAGTCTTTATAAGAAACGGCGCAGATCTGCAGCTAGCTCTCAAAATCGAAGATTCAGGAAGGGTTCGACACGATGCGGAGGATATATTGTATTCATATGACTTGAAGATAGTCCCGGATGGTGGGGAAGCATTGGTGCTGGACGTGGTATTAGATACCCTTCATAGAGTAAACATTGGTAACTATCCGTACAGAGTACCAAGGCTAAGAAATCAAGGAGGATGGCACAAAAGAGCGTCGGAGGCATTACCGAATTCACCCATTTCTGTGAGTGATTGGATCGCTCGCTCTCGGCTACCGAATAAAGATGCCTTGTTGAAGTTGATAGATGAGAAGTTGGAGGTCGCTGAACGGGATGGTTCTGGTTCTAACCTAATCCAAGACCGTTACGGCAAACTGCCTGAGGACGCCTAGGTCAGTTGGGCACAAAGCTAGGATTTCAGGTATGGGCGTTGGGCACATATCTTCCTACACGTGGAAAAGTTAAAACTCGGAGGATCTTGGAAACTATATATAGGGAGATCACAAGATGAGGATTCGACTGTAAACGTGAGATTTTACATATTGGAATGGCCTGGGCAACCTGAGGAGAGGGTGATGCGAGGATGAGTACCGCCTGAGCAGAGCGGCGACGCTGACTAACCGTGTTGGAAGTGAATGTGAAGAAACGTCGTCTGAGACTTCAAGAAGGAAACGAGGAGAAGAGAGGGGAAGGAGAAGTAGAAAGAGATACTAGAGTAAGTGAGAACGGATTCCGACTTGCTGTGACTAGGAGATGGGTAGGTAGATAGACAGGCTATCGAGTCAAGAAAAGAGAAAGGGGAACGAACCATTTACATATATATATACCTAGATACATACATACCCATACCCATAAGATGAATGAAAGAAGTTCCTTCGCTTCGCTTAGCAGTTAATTTAGCAATTCTTTCTCTATTCTATTAGTGATTGAAAAAGAAAAAGAAAAAGGGGGAGGAGAACATCTCTTCTATATTATAACATCTCTCTATCTCAACCAATACAGTGAACTCGAAATACGCCTCCGTAAAAATCCCTCCCTGGAAAACTCCAGCCTAACTCCAATCCCGATGCCCATTCAAATACCCAACTCCCACCTATCCATCCATCTATCCATACGTGTATCTGAGACATAGCTGCATCATACCATATTCTCACTTCTTCCCAACCCAAGTCTTCCACGCCTTGAACTCCTCCCACCCCACGCTTTCTGCCGCGCCCTGGAAACGCGTCACGGTCATATCCCCCACCTCGGCCCACTTCTCCTTCTTCCCTCCCCAGCCCGCTTTGCGCATCAAGCTGACCATCGTCTCTTCTTTATCCCAGCCCTGTTCGACGGCTACGTCGGGGAGGTAACAAGCTCCGAAGCTAAATGAAAAATCCTTCATCAGTATAATAAAACATTCCTAAACCTCTTGAAAAGGTTTCTTTTGGAATCGTTTGCGCTGAACGGATCGCAAAAAAAAAAAAAAGGAACAAACAAACCGTCGATTCTTAGCATAAAAGCTAATCCTAATTCCATGCACCCCCAACTCCCAATCTAGAGCCCCCTTGCACGTCTCGAAATCCGTCAACAACGTAACACTAACCTCCAAACTCGGCAACTCCCCCTTTGTAATCGGCGAGAAGCGATGATCCTGTAGCGCAGAATGCAGGGCGTACGAAGAGAGCCCCGTAGATAGAGGTTGTGTCTCGAAAGTGCCGATGCAGCCGCGGAGATGTCTGGAATGCGAGGTGGGCGAGACGGTGTTCCACGTTACCTGTGCAAAAAAGACAAAATTGATATGTTAGAATTGAGATTGGTAAAACATATATTGGGATAGCGGAAGAGGGGAGAGACATACGAATAAAGGCGATTCCGTAATAGTACTCCTCTGCTTACTCCCGCGGGTCTGCATTCCCACCGGCACGAAACTCGGCGTACTACCGTTACTACTCGGCGTTGTAACATCACTCTCCTGACGCAACGAACTCGCTCCGCTTCCACTACCACCACTACTGCTACTCCCCGGCGTCGAGCGTCCGCTCTCAGATACTCGCTGTAGGGTCGGATTGCGGGGCGCAGCGTGTATAGATGTAGAAGGCTCTTCGGATTCCGAGGCAATAGATACGCTATCCTCTTCGAGGCCCTTGGGGTATTCGGCCCAGGAGGTTTGGACTTGGGAGAGGGTCATTGGGGTGCGCTTTTCGAGTGAGGCGGAGAGGACTTCGAAGCAGTAGAGGCAGTGTTCTACGGTTGCCATGTTTGCGGATGGTGGGGGGTTTGTTTAGGAACGGGGAGCTTTTTTTGTCTGGCGTGGAGTGTAGATGTTTAGGTAGACGAATCCGGTTTGTTGAGGAGGTAAGGAGAAGTGAGGTGAGGTGAGGTGAGAGCACGTTGTTGTAGGTGCGGGGTGTTATTCAGCTGGGCGATAAGCAAGTGGGGTCGGGGTCTATCTTGCTTACATAATCACCCTGTTGTACAACCGTTTCTCACGAATTACTTACTTACTTCACCTAGGCTACATCCATTCTCTTCCTGTGTATTTTCCATGTTTCATCAATCGTTCTCTCTGTCTCAATCACGTTTTCAATCCCCTCAACTCTCCCGTCCGAGGTCGTGCACATTACATTACATTGTATCGTCTGTCATATAGCGAAAGCAAGATCACCGTCGTTGTTTCTGCTGTTTGTTCTCTTAGCCTTGTTTGTGATTCCTGGAAATATTTCATGGCTTCTTATTATTCACTTTCTTTCCTATAGTACGTACATCTATATTCTCTTCGCACCTATTACAAACCCATACCCCGCTCTGTCACCTTCCTCTCCTTAGGCACTCGAAGAATGGAGCTGAAAGACTGCACGCAATGTAAGAACATATTTTCAATGCGCTTCGTGTATTCTCTCGCAGTCGTCGTTGGATTTGCGGCACTGCTCAATGAGCCGTTTGAAGCTGGGGAGGGAGGGGGGTGGGGTGGGGTTGGTATATGGTTCCTTGCTGTTTTCTACCTCATTTCTAAGCATCCCTCACATAACCGCCTACTTCAGCGTCTACTTCCTCCCCCCCGCCACCATCTCGTACGCAAATATGAATCCCGCTCAACCTTCATGCTCAGCTAGGTCCTGACCATCGGCTGTCTGCTCGCATGCCCAACAGTGCACAATTAACCCTCGTTCGACGCTTTCTACGATAGATGGTATGTAACACTTCGTCGTTGGTACCAGGCCCGGCTGTCGACGCTGTGAACTACTACCGATCCATCCTTTCCTATCTACACCCCGCCGCGCGCGGTACACCGCGGTACGCTTGATTGAATTTCGCACAGGTGTTTCAGGCGATTAGGTCGCTGTTAGCTCGTACAGGTTTGCGCAGACGTTGGGTACGGATGGCGTAAGGGTATGGGTTGAAGAATGTGCATGCAGTTCCACTCACTTACTTATCTGGGTATCGCGTGCGGGGTTCGTGTGTCGCGTCTGTAAACTTGGAAAGATTGGATAAATCTACTGCTTGTACTATACCGAGTAGGTCTCCTTCCCCTACCTGTGTCCCATCTATACGCATCGCATCACAGCAGCCGTTCTCCGTACAGTAGTAAAGCTGTACTGTACTGTATAGTAAGGGCAATACAATATTCGCCGATTCTGGTTGGTGGGATTAAAGTTGCCGCGCCGCCGGCGTGGCCGATCAAGAAAGAGGGAAGAGGTACGGTAGGATGGCCGAATAATGAAGCTTGTATAAAGAGGAAGGAAACAACTGAGCGGAGCAAGCGGGGTAAAGGGGGAGATAGTGAATGGACTTCTCGTGCTTTGTTGGAAAGGATAGGTGATAGGAAAGGAGCAAGCGAGCAAGCGATGGAGTCGCGAGATCTTGGAGGAACGTTTGCGGTATAGTAATTTGAGGTACGCGTGTAAAGTTTTATGGTATTTATCAATACGTACGATCTCTATTCCACCATCCTTTTCTCGCCTAAGTTTCCAGATACATGCAGGAAGGCTTGCCGTCGAGTTATTAACTCGTATAGATTAGGAGACGTCTATTACTTGAACCATTCAATACCCGATTATCACATACTATGTCTAGTATGAGAAACGCAGACGCGCTTCGGTAAGGCCATAACGCTACTGTGAATTATGAACTTAGCGTGCGTATATTTTTGGTTCAAGAGATGCATATGATCCTTCGTGGGGTTTAGCTCGAATACTTAAATATAGATATGGGGTATTATCGAGTACGGAGTAACGATAAGTTGGGTCTCACATTTTAGTTATATTGATCACGGTTATCCTATCACGTCGATATTACTTTACAGGTATCTTCTTACTTGGTCTATGCATTATGGCGACTTTGCCTATCCCTGTCCTTGATGCTTCTCTATTTACTCAGGGCACTGAGGCCCAAAAACTTCACTTTGCTAATGACTTGATGGCTGGTTTTAAACGATATGGCTTTGTCAAGTTGATCAATCATGAAATCCCTGAAGAAACGGTTGCGGAGGTTTTCAATTGGGTCTGTAGTTTTTTGTCCTGGTCAAAAAGTCATTGCTAACCCCACAAACATATAGAGCAAGAAGTTTTTCAAGCTGTCTGCAGAATCCAAAAAAGCAATTCTCCATCCTCCTGGTCCAGACCCTCAGCGTGGTTACAGTGCGCTAGGTACCGAAAAATCAGCCCCAAGACCAGATTTCAAAGATTCAAGGGTAAGTTTATATTCCGGACCATGACACACGTTTATAGCCCTACATTTAACGTCCTCATATTCTATCCGATCTGTGTTCTAATTTCATGGACAGGAAAACTTTGACCAAGGACCCGCCAGCGACCTACAATATCCGAACCGATGGCCATCCGAAGAAGAACTACCCGGATTTCGAACCTTCATGGAATCGTATTTCACCACCTGTGAAAGCATCGCGCTCTACATCATGTCCGCACTCGAGCTCGCCATGGGTCTCCCCGCAGGCTGTTTCCACGACCGCATGCTAGCTGTTCATGGGAGTGAGCTTCGCCTCAACAGATATCCCGAGATCGATATCGCGGACCTGAATAGCGGCACCGTCAGCCGCATCTGGCCTCATACCGATATAGGCATCATCACGCTGCTGTTCCAAGACGGCGTGGGCGGATTGGAAATCGAGGACCCTGATAACCTTGGGCATTTTGAACCGGTTGTTCGCCAGGGCCCGACGGAGATGGTGGTGAATATCTCTGCGACGCTGCAGCGTTGGTCCAATGATACGTTGCATGCTGGTGTGCATCAAGTTACCATCCCGCAGGGCTGGAAAGGAAAGTCTGAGGGGGTGGTGGCGGAGAGGTATTCGGTGGCTTATTTGGCGAAAGCTGATCGTAAAGTGTCGGTTGGTACTTTGCCTGAATTTGTCACGGCGGATGGGATTGCTAAATATAAACCCATTTCGGCATTGGAGTTTCAGCAAGAGCGATTGAGTACTGCATACTAGAAGTAGAAGGTTTATGAAGGTTCTATCACTCTTTGAATACAAACTTTTGATTCGAAATCTTTTGCACTAATTAGGCTAGAATGCCACTTGCCTCCAAAGACACCACAGGATCCTGCCGTGCATCTATACCCTTCATTCTCCTAATCATAATATCTTAACATCGTTTTATTAACAGCAAGCGCGACCTTTGTGTGTCCAAGTATTTCTATTTCATCTACGACAAAACTTATTCCCGGTCGAACATCTCTGCCGCCATTTCCTTTGCATTGGCACAAGGAATACAGGATCATTCTAGTATTCTTTGCTGTAAACCTGGAAGGCTAATTCCAGGCGCTTCAAAGGCCAGCCTAGATGATACTTTCCATCCGATTTCTCAAAACCAATCTTCATTGCCATGCTGACTGATCAATCTCCCACTCACCCCCAACGTCAACCCCTTAATCGTCTCTAATTGATCCCTCACACTCTCCTCCATTGTAGTGCGTCCATTAACCTTAGGATCATACTTGTGGAACAAGCGAGCCATTTCTTCAACCCCAGCTCTCTTTTCAGGAGTTACTATATATTCCCACAGAATTAGCTTTCTCCTTCCCAAATTCTTCTTTCATTTCACAGCGAGTGATTAACAAGTAAAGAGACTTACCTTCACCATCATCAGTATCCACCCACCTAGAAGTTCATAGAGTCAGTATTGCTCAATGAAAGAGGATTTTGGAGATCGGGGACCTTTCAACGTCTCAGAAATTCCGAGATATTAACTCCCGAACATGTCCAAAGAAAGAAACAAAATGCCCAGAGAAGTTGCATACCCCGGACTTAACGCCACAACAAGAACCTCTTGCTCCGCCAACTCAACCGCATACTTCGCCACCATAAGATTCAGCATCGCCTTGCTTGCACTATAACTTAACGTATCCACCACCCTCGCCTCGCGCACAAACCTAGGTTCACCCATCACGCTGCTTACATGGACGATCTTCTTCTGCCCGCCTTTGCGGATAAGAGGGAGGAAGGTATTAGTTACATTAATGGCGCCTAGGACATTAGTATCAACGCTGTTTCGAAACGACGCCGTTATCATTTCCACATTCTCTGGATCCGAGAGCGTGGTGGGGAGGAAGCCTTTAGTTTTGGATGCAAGATAGGCCCCGTTATTGATCAAGATATCTAATCCTGCTCCTCCCGCCACGGCTTCTATTCTCTTCGCGGCTTCTTGTAGTTGGGAGAGAGATGTTAGGTCGCCTTGAATGATATGTACATTATGGTTTGAGGCGGCGATAGCTGTGAGTTTGGGCGATGATGTGGTGTTACGGACGAGTGCGAAGATGATGTTGGATGGTGTTTGGGAGAGTTGATTGATAAGTTCAAGCTGGGGTTATTAGCAATTTGCAAGTGAGAAAAGAAAGAATGGAGATGTACCCCGAGACCTCGGGAGGCGCCCGTTACTGCGTAGGAGACCATTTTGGTTCGTTTTCTATTCTTTCGAAGTTTCAAAGAATAATATTTGATACGATTTGGTGTTTTCAAGATGGGTAATTTGAAGCTGATTCTGTGAATAGATAAATTTGAGATTTGATGAGCTGGGTGCGTCTGCGCCTTAGTCCCTGTCGAAGGATTGAACTTTAATAGTAGGACTTGATATTGCTCCTAAAGTGGCCCTTCCCGCCCCGAAAGGATCTTGCCATCCTTAGATCCGGGATCACCGAGATGAAGATATATATTTATAACCATGTGGTCAGAAATGAGATAAGATGCTAGATAGTCTAATAATAATAAAAATTCATATCTCTAGCTGAAACAAGTTGGAGAGTTTCGAAGGTAGATGGAGAAGCAAGGAAGTATACATATAATTTGGTATATCTGCGGCACGCGAAAAGATAAATAAATACTGAAATAAAATATCGTCTAGCGAGGACGTGTTATTGTTTGCCTCGACGGCACTAAAATAATAGCCTCTTTCTAGAGTTCCCTTTCAACTCCCTTTTCTTAGCTGCAGGAAACGTGCATATAGCAACGGTGACATCGCGCTTGCCGACCGGCTACACTGACCCTCACTTTGATCTTTAGACGCCGTTGCCTTGAGGATCTTGATTACCTACTTGTACTAGATAAGTATATACAAGCCGTAATAAAAGACAACGAATGCCTTTGCCCTTGACCAAGTTCTGAATGGCACTGAAAACCGCGATGATAGATCCTTCAATACTGCTATTCCAGAAAACCAAAGCCTGTTGGACAAGCGATGGTACCAAGTTCTCACAAAATCAGTAGACAATTATCGAGAATTCAAGGGCTGGAATCACTGCTAATAAGAAACCGAGTGACGACAGTACCTCAGAAGGTTTATATGTTTCGTGCGAGGCCCAAACAACATTACTTCAAGTGACAGGAGCTCACTAGCTAAGATACCAAGCTCTAGATATAAACTTCATCGCAGCCCCTTTTCACTGGAGAAGAAGAACAATGGATCAATGAAAAGACGCCGATGGTAGGGTAATATGAAAGGGAAAGGAAGCCAAGTCGCGCGAAAGGAAACACGACCGCCACAATCGAGCTTGAAGATAGCAGGTTGAACAAAAACCGACAGGTGAGGTGAGGTGTGGTGTTCGATACACTTTACGCCGCTCGACGCATGAAATATAAATATGAGTTGATGCATACTCGTTTCGGGTGCAAGTTTTGTCCGTGAATAACCATCGTATATTATGCTACAACAATTGTAAATGGGTAGGAGCCTAGGAGGGCATTGCGGACAAGATAGAGACTCACCACGTCATGGTTTGGATTTCCTTGACGCCGCTAGTCAGATGCGAATATTGCTGTACTCCTTTGAGGGTGTGAAACTGGAACCTAAAAATGTTGCGACATTACAAATGCCTCAGCATAGTACGAAACCGAATGCTCGGAGGAAACAGACAAAGTGGAACCTAGTAAATGAAGAATATTCGGGAAGGGAAAAGCACATGTCATATTGAAAAGATTTTATTTGTAAAGTAACACGCAGGCTCTCGCTGATTTCAAGTTTTGTCCTGAGATTTCCTCATTTATGACTTGAGTTTATTATATGTATTCTTCGAGACTCCCGAATAACCATTACTTAGATTATGTACGGCACGCTAAAGTTACAGCTCATGCCGGGTCCGCAGCGTCTCTATAAAATCTAACCTTAGTGTAGACTTATGTCGAGTTGACCCAAATATAAGCTAGTATTTTTTACCCCCTTTTTACTTTTGCTCTTACTCCACCTCTCATTTTCCTCCCCCCTAGTCTACTCTATCGGCCTCTGACGTGAGACTTAATCCAAGTTAAACATATACCCAGACTAAACTTGACTTAATTCATTTCACACGCTGCGCTGGGGGCAGTAAGCTAATACGGGTCGGGTCATCAGCTTGTAAGCTAATATCTGTATGATATTCAGTTATATGATACTCTCTAACCATTTGCCAAACTTCTAGCTCCCCGGAACTATAGCTAACACTAGCTAGTATGTACTTCGTAACTTGAAACCCCACGTCCCCGAGTATCATGCGTTGGTGATCGCAATCAATGATTATTCATCCCTTATTATTACAAGGTGGTGTCACCAGATTTGCAACTTTCCACATAAAATCAATATATGACCATAGTAATATAGGGAGGGTATCTACTAGCTAAGAAAGACCCCTAGATAGATTATTCATGCCTTAGATATGGATTAAACAATTAAAATCTCTATTTTATAGCGAAATAAGGATATTTCCAGCTACTAAAATCCATATAAGCCTGTTATAGCATATAATCTTTCAATTGCAGATTTGGTGATAACACCCTATAACTAATAGCTAACTTGCATATATTATTTTCTGCGTATAACACTTTCGTACCTCTTCGATAGTTGGGGTCAATCTCTCAGATCGCGTAAGTCAAGCGGTGTCAACACTTGCTGACTTTAAGGGAGTTAGCCGATCAGAATATCGTGATTAGTGCTAGATGGGCTAAAGATATGCATTAGTTAGGGGAAGGACATTACGAGAGCCCTTAGATAAATACACTAATAGCGGGCAAGACCGTTGACATGTCCTAGCGTATTTCTGACATGAGTGACTAGTCTGGGATGGCATTGTTGCGGGTAACTATCGAACTCTAGCAGTATTCTCTAGCCCTGGAAGCTCAGCTGTATTGCGCTCTTTCACTTACAATGTGGAGACTAAGACATCTGGTGATTTCGGGGACAATAATACTCATACGACTCGCGTCGGCAGAGCTTATCGAAACGCATACCTGTATTGGGTTAATAGATATGTACAACTGACAACTGCCGCGTCCACGTCCGCGGGATTCGAATTTTATTGACATCGGACCATGGCTCATGGGTATCCTTGGCAGGTTTATTTCTGCTTGTAAAAAGTTAAAATCCCAGCCTGATCGGACTTTAAGAACCCCACCTCTGCGAAGTTGCTAGCGTCTTGAGAATGGATGCTCTCTACGGTAGTTAAGGGGTATCTTCAATCTACAGTTAGGCTGATGAGTATTCTTCGGCACATGCCGCACATCCTTCTAGAAGGTCTGAGCGTACGAAACTGACTGAGATCATAATATGTTGGAGATCCCGAGGCTCGAGCCCGGCTGCCCGGAAAAGAATCACTTTCATACGAAGTATTTGGTCGATAATCTTGGCAATTGGTGGGCAGCGTACTCGCATTCTTTTAAGTCTGAATGTCTCACTATTTCTACTCATTTTTCTATGCTCTGCGCCATTTAATGAGCTCAGATCTGATAACTATAAGGCTCCTAAGAGGCTTGAGCTTAGAATTCTCACTCTTGAAACCTACAAATTTCGAGACCTATGCTAGGGTAAAGAGCTAGTTAGATTTATAGGATTCTATATATCTACGCTAAGTAGTGGATTTAGAGTAGGATAGTCAGACTTAAAAAATCCCAGTGGACAAATTTTAGGTTACCTGCAGTACCAGGCTAGGATTACTCGCGGACGTAGACGACTTGGAAAGGTTATTTGGTGTTACAGATTTCCTAAAGTAATTTAGAAAATGTGAATCTAGGCTAATAGGAAAGAACAATGATTGGGTTATCACATACTCATTTTTGGAGAGAATGGAGAATCGTCTTGAGCTTTCAAACCGTGCCAAGCTTCATTGTATATTCTATAGTAGTTCTAAACCTCTAGGCTTTGTTTCCCGCGCCTTGCCTTCACCGTTCTCTACCCATATGTAAAATACACTATTATACAGTCCTGGTCGTTGCCTAGGTGAAATTCTTCTCGGTCTTTTGGTCTACTTCATACTCTTGATCGATATGAGTCGTCACCATGATATTGTCACCCTTGCTACCCTTGGAGGCTCCTTGGTTCTTTAGAGGTTGCATCTCCAAACTGACTGAATCCACACTGCGCCCAAGACGTTCGAACTGCCCGTGGGTAACCAGGGTATTGGTTCCGTAGATCTCTGGGCGGAGGCTGGGCATGGCCTTCCCCTGTGTCCGTTTCCCCGTGCCTTTTCCCATGTTGCTCTGACTCTGAGGGTCAGAGTTGGTCGACTGGTGGCGGGAGAATATTTTGTTGTAAATGGGTCGCAAAACGGGGAGATTTCCACAGACAAGGGCAATAGCTAACTCGATTCCTGACCAGAGTGATCCTTGTACATCAGACCCTGTGAAGTTTAGCTGCAATACTATGTTCCAAGGCTGCTTTGAACGCATCTGGGAGGGGAGACATACATGAGGGATCTGAGTAGTTGACTTGTAATACAAGTACATTTCGATATACCGACACAAAACAAACGCTGGTATAATGTTAGCACAGGAAAAATAAAACGGAAGGAGATTCTCACAATCCACCACACAAGAATATCACTATCAATTGGAGCCTTCGAGTTAAAGAAATTTGTAGCTTCCAGAGAAATGGTACTGGCAGAGAGATAATAACGAAATCCGTAACGGTATTGATGATACCGCATGTGAACACAGCAGCGGCGAGATCGATACATTTTCCCCCTTTAATTGTTTTGTCCCAGCTGTAGGCAAAGGGCACACACTCGAAGATTTCGGCGATCATAAGCGCCATGCTGTAACAGAACACAATGACCCAGAGTACCCAGGAAAATATCTTCAGTTTGCGACTCGCGAAAAGTCGATTATAGAGGATCAAAATCGATGCTTTGATGCAAATGATGGGTGGATTATAGAAGATCTCGAGTACAATTAAACTCTTCGGTAGTGATTAGTCTTTTAATACTATAGTATAACAATGAACGAATTAAAAACTTACTTTAGTAAAGCCTTCGAGATCTTTGACAAAAACGGTATGTTTCCCATATCCGAATCTAAGGCAATTGAGTTGTAGAGCTTCGTAAACGAGAAAAAGACCCTATTAGACAATAAGCCAACAACTTATTTATGCGTCATGCAAGTACTTACCCATCCTGCCAACATGAGGTAATCTTCCCAATCGAAACTCAAAGACCTCATCTTCCTCGCTATGAGTCTCAGGCCCATCGTAACCGTCCCAACTGGCGACGTTTGGTGGTTAGCCAAGGGACATTCACAGAACGGTGGGGGAAAAGAAAGTTCCTATCCAATGACCTACTAATAATCATGACAATGGTCACCCATTTGATCATCGGCCCCCTATCATCGTGCGGGCGCGCGAGCTGCTCTTCTGTACTTGACATCTTGAAAGTTGAAACGGCGTTGTTGAAAAAAAGAGGGGCTCAGAAAGATTGTGAAGTGGAAAATAAGCAACGAATGGACGATAACAATGACTGACAACCGACAAGTCAACAACTCCGGTCGTGAGGGGATCCCGAACTTTTATCCAGCAACTCTAACTCGATGGCCAACCTTCGCCATAGATATACAAAGCAACGCTCAGGGACTGAAGGTCGGAAGAGGTATACTGCAAGAAATTAAGAAAATCTGTAAGAAAAGGTCACAGATCTACATCGTGGAACCGGGTTAAAAGCCGCCCACAGGGTAGAAATTGGCTCAATGGTACGCTGGGTTTGGGGTCCGTAACCTAGCACGTTCTATGCGTCCACTCGCTTATGGAAGGCTGTAACCTAGCATGGTAAGGTACGAGACGTCTTCCCGTTTGGTCACGTAACGGCCCTTGGTCTATAGCTGCTTTAAGTCTGGAGCTAGTGAAGTGTTAGTTAGTGGATAGCTATGGAGCATAACTTCTCTCTGCAAGCGAAGTGATTAGATGCGCCCCACCACCAACTAACTCCCCTATTGGCGGTGAGTACAAGCTCCCTCTAAGGGGTAACATTAGGGCCTTAATATGCGGGCATTCCCCTTGCCGGCACTTTAAGAGGTGGGGAAAGTGGAAGAGGCAGAAACGAAGTAAATCAGTAAATCCACTATACGCACAGACTGTCTTCCTTGTCAAAGGCCCACCGGCAACACGTACAAACACCGGCCTACCCCAGTACTGTATAACGCCTGCCGGGACTGGCCTGCCCGGTCTTCCTTTCCACCAGCCTGGCGAGCCTGGAAACAATCACTTGATGGATTTTGCAGACACAACGACCCTATTGACTTTTGCAGTCGTGTGGTTCCAATCAAATATCTTAATTTCTACTAGTGGCTTTCTGATCTAGAGTTTGAATGTTTTATAGATTAGAATCAAAAGAGTATGTATTTTCTGTATAAAATACGTGCGGTGGTCGCCGTCTACTTCAACTTCGTCTATGTTGATCGGAAGTTATTTCCAAGGTGGAGCCCACCCCCATATAAATAGTCCGGGACGGGCCCATACCTGCCGGAGGCTATCAATAGCTTCAAAACTTCGATTGGGCAAAAACTTGCACACTGCATAAGGAGTTGACCAGAATGGCAGAGATCGTCATCATTCTATACGTTATGGCGACGGGTCGCGTATGTTTAGGTTAGTGTAAGTGAAGAAATAGTCTGGAATTGCATGTGCCGTGCGAGTTTTAGTGCCTTTATTATTCCGACACATTTTGACTTTCCTCGGCCGCTGCCAGAATGGTGCCCAATGCGGTGTCAAAAGTGAGGTTTACCAGATACTTGAAGTTTTGGAGGTACTTCGGGGACTTTTCAAACAGCCTAGAAGATGCTCTAATGACTCGAGATGTCACGTGCCTTACATGTGACCTTTAGCTAGCTTCTCGCCTTTCTAATCGTGTCTCCGTACCTCATGCTCTCCACCGAAGAAAAAAGTGGCGGAATAGATGCACCAAAACTCGCTTGTCTATTCCGACACTTTTTTCTTACATGGAGAGCTCATGTTCATCGTACGGTGGTCCTAGCTCTTTACTGTATTACGGACATACTGTAACTGTACGACTTAATTGTAAATCTCTAGACTAAACCAGCAAAGTAGTCTGGGGTGTTGTCGCTCAAATTGCGTGTTTCCACAGATGTCGATACAGTTCTTAGGCGCATGGACTTTGAGTATATAGTTGGGAATGTTTATCTTCTTGCCAAGCATGAGAGACGTAACTCTCTCTGATTAGGGGTGTAATCGACGATTATAGGAGTGGTGGTTAGGCCTAGATGCCTAGTGTGAGGGGAATGCTACTGTAGTTCGAGAGGGGTCTTTAAGGCTCTGGCCGAGTCGCCGACAAGTGTCAAACTTAAGATTTGGCTTATCTTTTGAAAAATACTCCGTACTAAAGTAAAGGGCCAATTATGTATGCACGATTCCATCAATGCACGCTAAGATGTGGAGAGTATCAGAACTGAGAAAGGTGCGGGCAAGTTCTATCTACACCGCTGGAGTGGACTATGAAATGATTTCCCGTGCAAGTGTACACTGCAGGAACAGCAAGCCAAATTACTACGGGTAGCAGATGTCAGTTGACTAGGATGGAACATATGCATAGCCGAAGGATTTTCTGATGGGGAATCTCAAACTGATCAACAATGCAAGTGTGGTGCGTTCCTTAGGATGGGCAGACCACCTCCGATTCGTGGTGGATTGGTTTGGATTGTGGGGGGGGGATCGGCAGGTCTTTTGCTACGTTTGGAGTGCTTAAAGAGGGGGATTTGCTGTAAATATGGAAAGGGGAATTTTCGCACATTGTTTCTTTCCTTTAAACTTTACTTTCCACCGAATTCCATATTCAAATAACAAGATGGCCGCTACCCCTGCAACCTTGCCCGTTCTGAAGTCAATTGAAGACTTTATAGAGGGTTCTTATGATTACATTGTTGTTGGAGGTGGAAATGCTGGTTCGCTTTCTCAATACGCAAATCTTAATAAAGCTGTCACTAATACTGTCCAGGACTTACTCTTGCTGGCCGTCTATCAGAGGACCCAAGCATCAGCATTGCTGTAATCGAGGCAGGTGGCGCTAAGATTGGAGATCCTGGAGTGCTGACGCCAGGTGAGTCTCTGATGCGAATCCCCGCTAGAATATTTGCAAGGCAAAATATTCCACTAAGCTTGAGAGTTCGAGGCTTCAGAGCTCTGGCACCTCTACTCCGTAAGATTTTTGAAGACGGTACTAATCCTAATTCCCCGACTATCAGCCGCTTTCCCAAGTCTGTTCGGGAAGCCGGAATATGACTGGGATTTCCACACCTTGCCGCAGGTAAATCCCCTTGGCGTCCATTTTACGGAGTAGCACAGCTCTAATCCTAGCAGGCAGGTACCAATGGGACTAAACATAGTTGGGCGAGGGGAAAGCTCCTTGGGGGGACTAGCGCTATAAACTATATGATGTACGCACGGGGACAGGTTGAAGAGTTCAACGACTGGAACAGAATTGCAGGTGTTAAGAACTGGGGCTGGGACGGCATTAAACCATACTTTTCAAAGTGTGAGTCTTTTGACAAAAGAATATCTCCGGAAGATAAAGACAGCAAGGACTATTCCCACTTGGAAGAGCACCACAACTATGATGGTCCTATCAAGACAAGTTATGCAAGCTTCCGATCAAGTTCTGAGAGAGCTTACCATGAAGCCGCCATCAACTGTGGTTTCAAAGTCCCTGTAGATGCTTGGAGTGGTGTTAACCATGGCATTGTAAGTAGTCGTGCACATTTGCTACTTCTCTTGCTCTTATCTTGAGGCTTTTCTAACTTCGATTGTCAATAGGGCGCCAATTTATCAACCATCGACCGTAGCGGGCCCGGAACTCGAAGCTACGCAGTGACAGGCTATTTGGTTCCCAATGGCCAACGACCAAACCTCGCTGTCTTGACTGATGCTCATGTGGAGAAAGTCATCTTTGAGAAAGGCACCGATGGAACTCAAGTCGCTAAAGGGGTTGCTTTCTCCCATGGTGGAAAGTCCTACACACTACTCCACAAAGGCGCAACTATCCTCTCCGCAGGTGCAGTAATGACGCCCCAGATCCTCGAGCTTTCCGGTATTGGATCGAAGTCAGTCCTGGACAAGGCAGGTGTTGAATGCCTAATCGACAATCCAAGAGTTGGCGATGTTGAAGATCACATTATGAGTGGCATTACTTACAATCTGGTCGACGGAGAATTTTCGCTTGATCATGTCAACACTCCTGAAGTCTTTACCAAATTAGCCAAGCAATATGCAGCTGGCGAAGGCGGTCCCTTGGCTCACGGTGTTTCAAACAGCGGGTTTCTCTCTCTTTTCGATGTCAGCACCGAGGAGGAAAGAAAGAACATTTACGAACTGGTCGAAACGCACAAGAAGACACTCACAAACGACTTCGACCGCAAGCGCGAAGATATGCTCTTGGCTCGGTTGAAAGATCCCAAAGCTGCCATATTGCAATTTATTTCCCTCAACGTAAACATCGACTTTGGTGCTAGACACGACATGAGTATTTTCCTGGGACAATCTGTCGGCACAACCCGATGGTCGACATGTGTTGGTCTGCACCACTGCTTTTCTCGTGGGTCGATTCACATCACATCCTCGGACCCGAAAAGCCCTCCAGCCATCGATGCTGCAATCCTTGACCACCCTGTCGACGAGTTGCTCATGTCATTTGGCGTACGTCTCATAGATAAAATACTCAATACGTCCCCGATGAAGGAGAAGCTCGCGAGCCGTGTCCGTCCTACCCCAGAGGTTGATTTGAGCGATACCGAACAAGCTGTCAAGTATATCAAGGGCCATACAGGCACCGAATTCCACCCAATTGCAGGTGCAAGTCTGGGATTGGTGGTAGATGATGAACTGAATGTTAAGGGGGTGAAGGGTTTGAAGGTTTGCGATTCTAGTATCATTCCATTGCATATAAGTGGAAACACTCAGGGGATATGTTATGCCATGGGAGAGAAAGCTGCGGATATGCTCAAAGAGGACAGAAGAGCGGCGGCTACCACTAAGAAATTGGGAGAATTGACTTTGTAGGCTGGATCTACGGGCATGGCTTACTATTGAAATGGTCCTTCATGGAGGGGTTTTGACATGAAGATCAGCCTTTTCTTGTACGGAGCCTCATCTGCAAAAGAAAGGGGGTGAATTTGTTCCCAAGCGAAGGGGATTCGTTCATGTAGAATCCAATTCTCAGAAGTGTTTACGAATCAACCCTTGCTCTACACTATTGAATGGAGGCTGACTTAATGCCGAGTCTCGGATGAAAGGGTATGTCTGTGTCACCTAACCATGTCGCCGGGGAAGTCTTGAAGGTAAGAAAAGCAGCTGATGTGTTTGAATTCGATCATCTAATCTTCCCACGACCAGAGAAGTCGTCGTGAATATGCGGGTACCGGTATCTTGTGAGTTTCGTAACATTCCCCCGTGACAAAAACATGGCGGGTATTAACTTTTGCGGGGTGATTAATGCCGTACACCGTTGAAGGGTGTCAAAGCGATGATTGAAATAACCGTTTTTGACGTACCCGGCGCCCTAGTCTGAGTAAATATAGCTTGAAGATGTTTTACTTCGTTCCAGAAAAATCCGAAGTAAAACCCATGCATACTCTAGTAGGTACGAGTACGAAGGTACTATACTTTGTAGGTAGATATAGACTAGCTGCTGTTTGAAACTTTGTTACCAGGGGGTTTTGCAGACATTTGTCTGATTGGCTAAAGGCCTGTTACCAACAAGCCCCTGTTACCAACAAACCCTGTTGACAATGAACCCTGTTAACAATGAACCCTGTTAACAATGAGCCCACTACCAAGGTTATCCCCTGACGTGTACGTTAGTGATAAATTTTTGAGTCAGCATCTCCGTACGAGTACGGCGACGTCCGTATACGGGGGGTAGGGGGACGAGGTAAAGCTTAAGTCCCACATATGCGCTTCAAATTGAGGATTCCGAGAAGTCCGAGGTATCTATGATAACGCAATTTATTTCGCAGCATCTGTATGCAGAGGTGTAGATCTGTGATCTTCTGAATCATGGTATCTGGAACAATTATTCATAGGATCCGAATTGAAGAGGTGGAAAGACACTCTACGGTCTATCCCTTGGCCTAAGGCCTGTGCCCACTTTAAACACCCAAATTCGACTATTCGACACTAAAGAGGGTCTGACACTTTATGCTACAGTATAGTATGCTAAAATCTTATTTATGGACTGATCCTGTGCTGTAGACTATAAGTAAGGATCTGGCCTTATAGAAACAGCCGACTTCATTATGAAAATTATACAAATAAGGTAACTACATGCTATTTCCAAGGCAGTTAGAGCTAAACAGCCCCTCTAATATTCTATAGCTAGTTTTAGTACTTGAGATTTTCTATTTTCTACCCTTATTTAAACTATATCTATATCATATATAGCTATATATATAGCCTTTGTTATATTATATAGGAAATAATTTAGGTACATATGTAACATTGCAGACATAATTATCTAACATTATAAACCCGGATTCATAACATAGGGATTCTATAGCAGCCTAATTTCAGTAAAATCTTTTAGGAAGTGGGCCAATCCTGCTCCTTCTTTAAATCGTTCGGCAGTTAAGATTTTTTGAGGTGGCGGAGGTGCAGCCTCGAAGGATTATATAGTACGTCGTAGTCTCCTTTCACTCCTTGTCCCTACTTAGTGACCCACAATAAATGTTAAATCATGTACGAAGCTTGGTCTTCTTGAAAACTCCTTATACAGCCGATTCCCCTCTCCTGAATCAATGTTAAACCTCCTCAGGTCTACATGAAGTGTAGGATCATATACAACCGAAAAGCTGAATGCCGGCCTTTAAATCTTCCGTAAGCCATATCTTATATTTATAGTCAGGTTTAGGGTAAATATTAGTCTCCATATGGCCCTCAGTGTAGCGAATCACTTATTAACTCCCCATATGTTTACTGTGGCGTAAAGGATAATTAACATTTATCAAGCGTTAGGGGGAAAGGTTAACTCCTTGCACTTGCTCAATTACCTTCCAGAAACATCTGTTAGGCCCGGCAAGAGCTGCAATAATAATCACTCGAGGCTGCGCCTCCGTCTCCGTGCTTAAGAAAATTGGGCTTGAATCCAAGAAATGGGTTTCGCATTCGGAGGTTGGTTTGCCTCAGCCACGTTATCGTATCCATCGTAACTGTCAAGTGAGGGGTTTAGTCCCCTACTCCCTACGCCGCCTACGGGAGCTTCGGGTGGTAGTGGGAAGGGCAAAGGGGGAAGGGCAAAGGGCGGAAAACCGTGCTTGGACTACTTCCCGAGGCAGAGCGGGGAGGGCACGTTTATTGCATAATTGAGATTTTCGAACGTGCGACGATTTGTCTGACCTGTGGCATCATCTACCACCAGGAGGTCAATTCAGAGACTATTGATTGCTTGATGGAAAGGTAGGAGCTCTGAACCCCTATCTTTACTCCTATAATGACGAATTAATGCTCGTTTGACGCGGTAAGCTCTTCAAAGCACTTGGCCTCTTTAGTTAGCTTATTTGTTGTGGGACACAAGTTAGTTTGTCGGGATCTGGTGTAGGCCAACTAGCAATATTGCTGCATCTTGCTTAATTTTTCATGGATATTCATTATTACACTAATGCGGATATTGGGAAAGGAGATCTCCATCCGAAAACGTGGAAAACTAGGTTTATGCCATGTGGAAATTGATTTAACAACCCTGCTGACATGCTTATCATTTTGATAAGCAAGCCACTTACCGCCCCTCACCCATACAGGCCTTCGGATCTGGAATGATATATATATCAAAGGGACCTTCTCCTCAGTCCCCAAGTCATTCACTCATTCATGATTTCGATCCTCTGACCTTATACACTCTTTATTATACTAATATAATTCAAGATGGTTTCCCGAACTATCTGCAACGCCCTCCTGGCGACCACATTTGTTGGAATCCAAGCCGTAACTGCCTCTCCATTGGCAGTCGAAATTGACCTTGACCTTGGCCTCTTGGAAATCGACATTGCTATTAATACCGCCACAATTGGTACTCCTGATGTACCAGGGGAATACGATTATGTCGTTGTTGGAGGCGGTACCGCTGGTCTTGCCATAGCAGCTCGTCTCTCAGAATCGTACAACGTTGCAGTCATCGAAGCAGGAACCTACTACGAGACTATCAACAACCAGAGCACAGTTCCGGAATACTTCGAGAAATTCATCTCTATGAAACTAGACAATTCGACATGGGCTCCAACAGATTGGGGTTTCACTACCACCAACCAGACAGCTCTTGGTGGCCAGGAATACCACTACAGTAGAGCAAAGACTCTTGGTGGCTGGTTGGTTAACTCTCAATAATCTTTTGGCTAGATGCTGACTCAATCCTAGTTCAGCTTACAATGCCATGCTTTACCAACGTGGTAGTGCGGGATCTTATGATAAGTGGGCTGATATCCTTGACGATGAAGACTACAAATGGGACAACTTTGAACCATACTTCGCTAAGAGTGTCAACTTCTCAATCCAAGCCCGTCCCGACAATTCAACTATCCCTGCACAAGAAGAGGGCGCCTTCATTGCGACTGGTGGACCCCTCCACGTTGCATACCCGGAATATGCCACACCCTTTGGGTCGTGGACGTAAGTCACATCCGCCGTCTTGACTTCTATGTTTCCCGAGGTTTTCGTGAGACACTTGCTAACTCATCTCTAAAGTAAATTGGCCATGGCTGAAGCTGGACTGGAAGAGCAACTTGGATTCTCAGGCGGTGTTCTCAATGGGTCTCAATTCTGTCCCCAAACAGCCAATCCATACACTGGTGAACGTGACTCTTCCCAGACCTCTTTCTTGAACGCCGCCGTCGAGGCTGGACAGACTATCACGGTCTACAACGGCACCCTGGCCCAAAAGATCAACTTTGACTCGGACAAGAAAGCTACCAGCGTCACGGTATCTACCAGCGGCGGCTGCTCGTACGAAATCTCGGCCAAGCAAGAAATTATTGTATCCGCCGGTGCATTCCAATCCCCTCAGCTTCTGATGGTCTCCGGTGTTGGCCCAGCTGCCACCCTTGAGGAGTTCGATATTGATGTCGTTTCTGATCTCGCTGGTGTCGGACAAAACATGTGGGACCACATCTTTTACGGAATGGTCTGGCCAGTTGCGATGGAGACCCGTCAACGACTTCTTGAACCAGCGTACCTGGAAGAAGCAGTTGCCAGTTACCATGAATCGCCAACCAACATTTTGTCCTCCAACGTCTTTGATTACCTAGCGTGGGAGAAGCTTGTAAACCGCACCGGGCTCAGCGCAGCGACTGAGGCGGAGTTGGCCTATTTCCCAGCCGACTGGCCCGAACTCGAGTTCATCTCTGGATCTCTGGACAACGCGGCTCTCCCATCCACTTACAGAGATTATACTACCATGATCCCTGCCTTGGCTGCCCCGACGTCTCGCGGAAACATCACTATTTCCTCAGCATCCATGGAAGACCAACCGCTGATCAACCCTAACTGGTTTGGCACTGAAACAGATCGCGAAATGGCTGTTGCATCTCTCAAGCGTGTCCGTGAATTCATGGCCACCGATGCTGTTCAGGGAGCCCTTCTTGGTCCGGAAATCGCGCCTGGCGCTGATGTCCAAAGTGATGAGGACATCCTCGCATTCATCATGGGCTCTTTCTCCACTGTTTTCCACGCTGCTTGCACTTGTAAGTCCTTACGTCTACCTTTCTCTATTGTAGAAAACTAACATTTTCAGGCGCAATGGGACTATCATCCGACCCTATGGCCGTGCTTGACAGCAAGGCTAGAGTGTATGGTGTCTCCGGTCTCCGTGTTGTTGACTCCTCTGCCTTCCCCATCCTTCCACCAGGACACCCAATGTCGACAATTTGTAAGCACACACCCACGCCCCAATCATAATTCAAAACGTACTAATCTCTCGATTTTAGATGCCCTTGCTGAGAAGATCGCCGATGATATCAAGAACGGCAACTAAGGAGATGTACCATCTACCCAGACGACCTCCGAAGCCACTTCGCACCTACGTTTTCAACGAAGTGTGTTGGAAATTCCCTCATAATAATAGATGTTTCCTTCTCTCCAATCCTGTACAGACAGTCACCAAGATATCAACGTTGTATTCCTTTAGTTGATATATCAAGCCGTATTCACTGCTGTCAAAACTCCCATCAGCAACCCTTTGTCGATTCTTGTTCAGTGTCTAGCATAGCGACGGTATAAAAAGTATAATGTAATTCATAATCAAATAATCTTCTCAAGTTATTAACCTGTCCTACTGCCTACTCATTAAGGTATTAGACCCTTTTCTCTGCCTTTTCCGTGTGGTTTTGTAGAGATATTTTAAACTCTACTGGTCTAACAAGGTCTTGAAATTTATGAATAAATGACACTTATTAGTACAGTAGGGATCTGGTGTAATAATTTCGAACTTGCTAGTATGACTTGATCTTAGTTCTAGCCAGTATTGCTTGATTATTTTAGGTAGAGGGGGAAGACGTAAAGAGGGAACGCTTGTTTACTTAACTATGCTAAGCTAAGTCATAGGAAATATGAAGTTCTATTTTATGACCACTATATATCCTAATACTACCAACATCTCTTTTAGGCTTCAAGTTGCCTCCGTTAGGATATAGGATATAGCATAATTTACTACTAGAAGACTAAAGACTCAAGTGTAGTCTTCATCATTTATAACTTTACGGGTGCGGGTGTAATAGTTTGTCATATTTACATGCGCTGGAGTTTCTTTCGCCTTATAGAAGCAGGATGTCAATTCCCATCTTACCCAATACTGCCCTCCAATTAACAACCATATCTCCTTCTCCATTATCCCTAGCTTCTTCCTTTCGTTTTGACCATACAGCCTCAACTAACTCTCGGACATCCCCACGACTCCTTACACCCATCATATCCGCTCTATCCATCCATGCCCTGGCACTCCATTTATGTTCTTCCAGATATACTTCAACAGCAACAATGAATACTGGCCATAGTGTTATATATCTGCCTCCCATTTGCCGATACATAGCAACATAATGAAATAACGCATCGAGATGTGGAATCAATATGCGAGGTGTGGAGTCGATGATGCGTCGGTGGGAATGGACCAGAACAGCGACCTTGAAAATTTTGTGGTGCAGCTGGACTAGGCCATGGTTGGGAGTTCGCGCGCTTCAGGCAAGGTGTACATCCGGGGAGGGCTTCATTACACTGCCAGAAAATATGTCAAAAGAGACAATGAGGGGCATTACTGATGGGATGATGAGCTACCTACTTTTACTTTCCGAGAACGGCAGCTCCAGCAGCCCTGGAATAGTAAAGTGTCAGTCCATCAGGTTCGTTATTTATATATAAAATCAAATTGTAGCGAAATGTGATATGTACCGGGAGCTTACTTACCGTAAACGACTTCCCACGCCGAATCTTGCTAGCTAATGCAGAGTTATTCGAACGCTGGGCACAGGATGGGAGTCTTTCATAGTATTCCACAAACATGGTATCTGTCTGATAGAAACGAGGGGTGATTCAAGATAAGTACTAAAGCAGTGAAGTGTCAGAAGATACAATGATAAGTAAGTAGGAGGGGTTTAATAGAGAGGTATCAAATACAGAATAAGGATATGACAGCGAGAGTGTCGCCAATCCCTGCAGCCACGAGGTACTGACCAGCCAATCGAAAGAGTAGAAGACAAGAATACTGAATAGAAGCCGAAGCAGCAGCAAGAAATTAGAATGAGCATATCACAGCAAAACTAGACACTAAATATGTATTGATTTGTAAGATAAAGACTTTTTCAGCAATCGGAAATTTTTTAATCATACATTTCCACTATAAAAGAAGAGAACTTCCTCATCCCAAGTCATGACAGCTTTCACAGCCGGGAACAAACATCAATTCAACTTTCCACTTTTGCAAAATTTCGGAGTATCAAGGTCATCATGAGTATATAACTAAGTAACGATGAGCTCTAAGCCTCTGCAAAGAAGAATTTCTTCCCTTTCGGTGGTGACTTCATGACGGATGTAATAGTCAGAACGGAAGTAATATATCTCTGCACGGCTTCAGGAGAGAAGGTCTTGGACTGGACGTCTGGTCAAATGTATGTCGACACCTTTACGGTATTCTGGAAAACCAACATATGACTCCTCTCCACTCCACTCCAAGGAAATGGCTGACTCCAAACCCTCGGCTTCAGGTCCTCCCTAATAGGCCATGGTCACCCAGATGTGGAGCCCACCATTGCCGACTCCGCAGCCAACCTCGACCACTTGTACAGCGGCATGCTCTCGCCACCAGTCATCAGACTAGCCGAGACACTCACCAATATCTCGCCCACCGGCCTCGATAAAGCAATGTTCCTCAGCACCGGAGGCGAGAGCAACGAGTGCGCTATAAAGCTTGCGAAGATGTATACTGGCAAGTATGAGATTGTGGGCCGGGTGCCAGCTGGCATGGCTCGACGAGTGGTGCGAGGGGGGCACAGTATTATGCCGGGAGGAAGGGGTATGGTCCTGTGGTATGTCACGTCCTCAAGCTCACTCCAATTCCAATTCCACTTCCACCTCCACACATTTCCCCTTTCCAAATTGGAGTCGTACAACAGCTGACAGATACCAAACAGATGCCGGGAATGCACATGCTGCCATCGCCCGACTCCTACCGCTCCATATTCCGCATCTAAGACGGGACCTACGAGAGCTTACCTACGGCTGGACGCTAATTGACAAAGCATCCGCCGTGATCATGTAGCCGATCCTCAGCTCAGGCGGCATGATCCATATTCTAGCCGGGTATATGAGCGCCATGAAAGCAAGCTGTCACGCGCGCAATATGCTCCTCATCGTCGACGAAGCGCAGACAGCACTCGGTCGCGCCGGCGATCTGTTCGCGGTGCAGTACGAGGATGTCGTGCCGGATGTCTTGACGCTGAGCAAGACGCTGGGCAATGGCTTGCCGCTCAGTGCTGTGATTACGAGTCGTGAGATTGCGGATGTGGTGGGAGAGAGGGGGTTTATGTTCTATACTACGCATGCCTCCTCTGACAGCCGCTGTCGGCTCAGTCTTACAAATTGTTCCCAAGAACATCTAGCCGAGCGCTCTCGCGCTGCAGGTGCAAAACTGCGTGCTGGACTCCAACAGCTGATGGAGCGATATGGGTGTATCGGCGCCATCCGGGAAAGAGCATTGATGGCTGGAATCGAGATTGTGAAAGACTGGGAGACGAAGGAACTAGCCTTTGAATTTGAGAAGAATCTGAGTGCTAGGATGATGGAACTGGGGCTTTCGGCAACTATTTCGACGAGAACGTCTTTGGTAATATCAGGATAGCGCCTCCCCTGATAATCTCGGACGAGGAGATGGAGATTAGGTTAGCTATTTTTGAGGAGGCGTTGAGGACAACCGAGGGTTCGATGCCACTATACTGAGTGAGGGATCAAGGATGTTGGTGCAGCATCTGAATTAAGAAGCTCTGGGAAGGACATCAGGGAGTAGAAGATGGTGAATTGATCATTGTATTCTGCAAAAAGAAAACAAACTTGTGCTTCAGCGTATGTGAATAAATAATAGACAATTGTCAGAAAGTTCGTAGACGTGTTTTGCCTACGAAGCGCTGAAATTGACACGTGCGCAGCCGTTAAACGCGTTTTGCTGAGTTGAGTTTACCTAGATGGAACTGAAAATTGTCAGTATCATCTGAAATCAGAACAAATTTTGTATAATACAATGTTCAATTTTACATCCCTACTATAGAATTTACAACTCCCCATCGACATCATCCATCTCCTGCTTGCTACTCTTCCCCCTCGACTGCTCTGCCGCAATTTCATCTGCGGTCGGAGGTCCTCTTCTGACCTTGTTGGCGGCGGCTTTTTTGTCTTCCGCAGTCTCTGGGCTCCCAAGTCCGGGGGGTGGGAGCCAGGTTATGTGCCCGGTTTTGGCGGCCTCGAGACGTCTTCCCTGGCCTTCTTGACCGGCGCGTCCGAGGACACCGGCTATGACTTGTATGCAGCGTAAACTTTGACAGGATTGTTAGTATATAGGAAATGAATTATACGAGATACGAGGACGTACCTGTCATCGTTTGCCGGAATAGGATACGTGACCCAAGTAGGATCGGCGTCCGTATCTATGACTCCAATCGTAGGAATATTGTTGAGCCCACACTCATGCAACATGATATAGTTCTCCAATGGATTCATACAGACCACCAAATCCGGCTTCAACGCCTTCCAATCCCCAATTTTATCCTCAAACCCAGACGTGATGTCAACATCATCCTTATCCACAACCTTGATATCGCACCTTGCAAGAATCTGGTCCCCATTCGTGATACTCCCTGGAATCCACTTTTCAAATAAGTGACAACCCTTACTTAACCGTGCCGCCTTCACAATAGCAGGACCTTGTCCAGCCCTCGTGCCAACAAACAAGATCAGACCACCATGATAGGCTACACCTTCGACGACTTTCGCAGCACGACGTAAATGCGCGGCGGTTTCTTCAAGACTGATTATGTGAATACCCTGCCGGATACCAAAGATATATCTCTGATTTGCTGGATTCCATAAGCTGGTACTATGACCCAAGTGGCTCTGGCTGGCCATCAACAGCTCCAGCGTCACATCCGCGGGCTTCGGCGGATTGCGCACAAGCGCGTCTGGCACATATCCTTTCTCAACAGCAGAGCCTAGTTTCCCGGTGCGTTTATTGAGTCGTTGCTGGGAATCGTAGTCTGTTTTGATGCTGTCTAAGGACTCGCCGGCGTCGGAGGGCGGCACAAAAGTTTTAGTGAGGTTGAGTTGGTTGATACTGGCTTCGATAGAGTGCGTTTCTTTGAGGTGGTTATGGACTGAGTGGGATAGGGCATCGGTTTCGTGGGTGAGGGTGTCAGTGGTCATGGAGCGTAGGAAGGATCTTCGTAAAGGGGCAGCAAGGGCGCTCCGGCCTTGGGAGTATCAATTAGCAAGGGATATAATAGACATAAGGTGGAGAGTATGCTTACCATGCCGTATAGCTACATTTCGTAATATCATCGTTGTTGGGGAGCTGGCATGTCGTCCGTTCTTTGCATCAACTTTTTTGAAGCTTCCCGAGTTGATATTACGCTAGAGTACACGCTAATCCATTTTAGGGACTGGGGTACATCTTCAAAAGTATACAAGCTACACAGCGATACTGCTATCATGAGCTAATTTTATATTAAATATTGGTTTAATCGAGTGAAGTTAAATTAAAACATCAATATCAATAATGCACCACTGCAGAATGAATCAGATGCTGCAAGTATCACTGTACAGACATATATTTACAAGAACAAATGTACCAAAACACGCTTTGCAGCCACTCTATCTTCATCCCGTGGTATTATCGGCTCGTAGCACGAGTCAAAGCAAAAACGCCAACAATGACAACAGCAAGGGTCACAATCGCGCCGGGCAATAACAACTCGTTCGGAACACCAGCAATCACTTGCTCTTCCGGTGACGGTTTGGGGGCAGTCTTTCTTGATTTCGACCTAATGGGCGCTTCCTCTTCGCTCTCATCATCCTCATCAGATATAACTCTTCTTCTCTCCCGGATGGTAGATACAGTTGGTGGCGTTGGTGCTTGGGAGATGACGGGCTGGGGGTCGAGAGTAGCGGAGATCGGTGGCTTTTCAGGATCGTGGACGAACAGGTCGACCTTCTCTCGGTGCCCCTGTCTTGCGATTACAATAGCTTCTAAGAGATCTTGGTCCGTGGTGATAGACACGGTATCACCCTCATCGTCCAAATAGCTGAGAGCAAAGCCAGAGCTACCCAGCTTGCCGTCTTCAAAGGTTGCAGCGCCTCCAACAGCATCAATCTCAGATCCGAGCTTCGCGATGACAGCAGTGATCAGCTCCGCCATACCGTGCTTCGCAATGACCTGCAGTCTATGCACTCGGCCACTGGGAGCCTTAAATTTGAATGGGAACGGAATTTCCTCTGACGGGATGTCCGCTGGTCGGCTCACTACCGAGTGCTGCGGAGAATCACCTCCTACATGTGATGCAGAGTCACCTGGAGCAACACTTGCATCGAGTATCCGTTCATGACCTCGGGACATGTCGGGCGACATCATCGACCTGTGAGTCGTATGGTGGTGACTACCTTCCCCAGATATCATTGACTCCGTTTCGTTGTCCAGGGACAGCCAAAACTTGTTCCACGCGGGGCCTTCACTGTCACCTGTTGACATGGTGTTAATTTGCTCCAAAGTGGCATACGTTAGTTTGAGAACATCCACCATTCCCACAATCTCCCCCCCCTCGTTCATCACAGGAAGGTTCAAGTAATGACCATCTGCGCCCAGTCAGCTAGGGATCAATAGAAACAGTTTTTGTGACTTACCATGCATCTTTCGCAGTGCTGACTGAATGCTCATATCCATAGGGGCAAAGTCTGGGTGTGGGGTCATAACACGAACAACACTGCAATTTGCGGGATCTAATCCGGGAGCAATGACACGCAAGACAACATCTTTACTGGTAAAGATACCCGTAATGGATCCTTGATCCTGGACAAGAAGAGCAGTTGTGTGGTGCTCTTTCATCATAGCAGCGGCCTCCTTCACGGAGGTCCGTACAGTGACAGTGACTGGTGGTTTTCCGTCCAGAACAGATTCCAAAGTAGGCCCAGACATCTTGGATCGTAGAGCCTCGACGTACTGGATGATCTGCTGCGGCTGACTCGATCCCAGTTCTGATTGAACACCCTCTAAAGCGTCGTAGAGCTTCCTTGAAGAACTATAAGCCCTTTCCAGCTTTTCCATAGCATCGTAAAAGCATTTGGTGATATCAAGAATACCCGAGATATCTTGGTTCTCGTCCATGACTGGCAAATGCCGAAACCCCTTCCTGACCATCAAGTCTAATGCATCGGTTGCACTTGTATCTGTCCTGGCGCACAAAGGATTCTTGGTCATGATTTCTGAGATCATGACACTGCTGGCCTTGATTCCTGCTCCAACTACTCGAAAAGCAAGATCTTTAGCAGTAAATATACCAGCAATACGGTCATCGTCATCGGTAACTAGTACGCAGTCCTCCCTCTTTGCTGCCATCAGTTGTGCAGCCTCCGCAACCGTTGTATTGGGCTTGATTTGGAGAGCCTGGCTAGGCCTTAGGGCGAGAACCGTTCCTGGGGGAGCCTTTCTTGTCTGTCGCGCTCGACCAGTGGCGTGCTTCTTCTTGCTCAGGTCCGTCTCTATTTTCTTTCGGATGGCCTGACGACCGATTAGCAAAGTCTCGGGACATTGATAAGAAGCATTAATGATATACCTCATCTCTTTTGGTTTGCTTCTGTCTGCTGGCGCTCATCGTAGATCCTCCGGCTTCACTCGGGGGTGTAGCAGCACTGCTGGTATGGGATTCCAAAGCTGGACGAGGGATGTTGGAGGCAGGACTGTTGGTGAACGCGGGTACTGTTCCGCGGGTCTGCCCACGAGTGGGAGTACCTCTCATAGTACCACTCATAGAAGCATTAGAAGCCATGGTATGCAAAAGGGAAGTAGGAGGTATGAAGACTCGAGAGCTGGAATGCTAAGCGCTGATTGAGGTTGTCTATTTCCAGAATTCCTTGAAGGAGCAGGGAAAGAGGGAGCTTTCTCGGTTCAAGCGCGTTGATTGGGGAACGTGCTATGTTTTCTTCGGCCTGTGCCGAGCATTGTATGGTGAAAAAAGCGGATTGTGGTGTGAAAAGCCGGTTGCTGGGCGGTTGCTATGCGTCGCGAGTTGTTGACTTTTGCAGCAATCGAGCGAGCTCTATCAGATCCAGATCACCAAACTCCAAACCGCAACTTCACAATTCCACAAAACATCTCCAGCTCTACAAGAACACAAAACACATCTACTCCCCTCTTTTGGCCTTGAAAACAATTACCAAGTAACACCTTTTTGTCTTCCAAAGCCCGAAGAGGGCCCCCAACTCTCTCGACCAAAGGCTCTGCACGAGTCAATAACTGCTGAGAGAGGTTCTAAAATCTCAACGCCCGGCCTAACGGCTTGCACTGCGTGAGGTGGGTTATTATACTTCTTTGAGACAGACTTCGAAAAAGTCTATATGCGACTGTATTTGCACGACTTCCCGCAAAATGAGTTCCGATATTGTCCAAAAAGAATGTCCTACTGATACTGCGACTTTCAATCACTTTTCTTCTACTTCATCTCATAATATCTTCAGCTAACTTTCTTCCAGTCTCGGAACCATAGGTTTGCTTAATTGCAATACTTTCAAACGACGAACGACTATTCCGAACTCTTCGAGCATTCATAATGCTGTCAAACCCACTTCACACTCGACAACGACAACACCGACGACAAAATTCGACACCAACGGCATTCGAGCCAGTGAAGGCAAGCAACCTGCCTAATATCCAAAGACATGGTCATAAACGTGGCATGAGCCTGGATCAACGACGACGACAAACACCCCCGCAGGAGCGTACGGTAAGTAACACTAACCAAGGATATCAAACGACACAACAGCATATATTGCGAGAAACGCAGCAGCAGAGACTGGTACGCCCGGGCCAGCAATTCAACTTTGACAATGACGAGAACTACCTAAGTTCACCAGCCGTCACTCCACAACGACAATTATTTGATGCTGGATGTATGAATTACGGGGAACGTGGAGCCAATTCCCCGTATTCCTCCTACTCCGGACCACTCAATACGATAATAAACGTCGACCCTAGCAACTTCAATGGGACCAACGACTTCAGTCTATTCTCACCTGGAGCTTTAACTCCTTCAGCCTTTTTAGACTTTTCTACTAGCTTGGAAAATCTCAATGACACTTCCAACGGCCAAGATGAAAGCAGAAGATCTTCGAACGCGAGAAGGATAAGTGGTGGTATCGTTGGTAGAGTTGCTCAATTTGAGAACCTAGCTATGCAGTCACTACAACGACCAATTACACCACCAAACCAGAATTTATCCAGTAAGTTAAATGTTCTTCTATCGCAGATATGCATACTTATTCAATTATCCAGACTATTTTCCACCTACTCCGATGGACACACCTCATGAACGGATGATCAAGCAAGAGCAAATGAACCATAGATTTCTGGATTCTTATGATACATCTATGGAGGAGACATTAAAACCTAAAGGCAACCGAAGAGCTCGAGCCGTATTCGAGGATATGAGAAAGGAAACAGAGACAAACCCCATTCCGAGCCCGCCTCGTACTGAACCAATGCCGACAGCAAACACCTTCGACTCTGCTCCCATGCCGACTGCTAACTTCATGAGCATGTCAAATCTCAATGTGGAATTCTTGAAGAACGAACAACAGCTTGACGATATCCAATTTTCACCAACCTCCGCGGATCTGTCTCCCACTATGTCGTACCCTTCGTCTCCAGAAGTTTCTCACATGCCACTGTTACATGACCCATTTCAGAACAAACCTAGATTAGATTGCTCTTCAGTGTACCCAGAGCCGCCAGAAGCACATGGTCCTCTGGCCAGTTCCCCTGCTTCAAGTTCGCCGCATCGACGATCAGAATCCGTTTCCAGCATGAACATTGAAGAGACTATCACCGATACCGGCATAACCATCGACCACATCGCAACTTACATTCAAGGGCCAGACCCGAGGGATGGGAAATGGGTTTGTCTTTTTCCGCAATGCAAAAAGCGATTCGGCCGGAAAGAGAATATCAAGTCACATGTCCAAACTCATCTTGGAGACAGACAATTCCAATGCCCACATTGCAGAAAGTGCTTTGTTCGTCAGCACGACCTCAAACGACATGCGAAAATTCACAGCGGCGTAAAGCCATATCCCTGCCAATGTGGAAACAGTTTTGCCCGTCATGATGCTCTTACTCGCCATCGACAACGTGGGATGTGCATTGGTGCGTTCGAAGGAGTAGTCAAGAAGACTGTTAAGCGTGGAAGACCTCGCAAGAATCGCCCAGACAACGAAGAACGAGTCAAGAAATCATCTCGCACTCGAAGCAAGAACAAAGCCATGTCCTCTGCGTCATCCACCACCGAATACTCGGACAGCAACGGTGGCAACTCCCCGCGTAGTGATAATGATATTCTCGACGACAAGCCATTTTCCGATTACGAATACACTCAAAGCTCTTCAGTCATGCCAACCAGCAGTTTTGATTACTCTCAAGTACAATCCCCCGTAGGAGATTGTGTTTCCCCTCAGGCAATGCAGAACACACCTTCTCCAGCCGCATTTAGTAGCCACTCACAATTCTCCCACCGAGGCCCGATATCTGAGAATATTTCTTCGCCGCCTCATTCTCCTGCAAAGAGCATTCACAGCGTGCACAGCTATCACTCTCCCCCTGGTCTCTGCGAGTCGTCATCTTCCCCCGCTCCCAGCAACCATTATTATGACCTCGACAACGTTTCCAATCATGGTGACGGGTTGACTGACGGGATGAGTCTGGCTAACATTTCTGAGCATGACGACGAGATGTTCCTCCAGGCATTCGCAGCATCAAGTGCAAACGGGATGACACAGCTTGAGAGGGATCCAGATTTGCTGATGGGAAAGCTCGAGGATGCGTTTGGCGGTGCAGTGAATGAGGACCTCTTCAAAGATGACGGGGACCTGTTCTCCTTTGGGAGTCCCTGAATTTACGCACCTTTCTCACTCTTTCCTCTTAGGTTTCTGGGCATCTGAAACACCTGGAGAATTATCACGGCAAGGGCTAAAGGAAGGAAAATGGATGGAGTCATGTGGAGTTTTCATGGTATTGGTTTAGGCTGTATGAATATGGATTCTGGCAAAATGAACGGACCGGGATGGTATGGGCATTGTGCACGCGTTTGATTCCTCAGGCGTTGTTTATATGAGCGTTCTCTCTTAGGATGCACTGGCAGGACTGGTATCTATTATGATGATGAAGGATGTATGATGCGGGAGATGAATCTTAAGTAGTTGTCGCGAATACGAAAAGGCACCAGACGCTCTTTACCTGCGATGATTAGGCGGTCTAAGATATGCAAGTGACTTAACCTTTCTTTTCATTTCCCTTGACACGATATTCCTTGTATTCGTTTCCCGTCTGTTCTGGAGTTGGAAGACTGGCATTTGACTGGTATCCTTGCTTTGTGAATTGATCTAGGTCTAAATTCCAGAAGTCAATAGAGCCAAGTCGTGTCGTTCTTTGACAGATTCAATGTTCCATTTTGGAATAGCATCATCTCGTCCCGCCTCGCTAAACTCCTTTACCTTCCAAGGTTCTACCTATATAAAGCCATTCCATTTCCTCAATTCGCTTCATCTTCAACATCTCCCCAAAGCATCACCGAAATCTGAGAAAATACAGCACCCATTCATCAACATGTCTTCCAAACCCCTCGATAGCGCTCTGAATGTGAACCTCCGCCAACCTCACGACACTGCTCCCGGCGCATACAACACCATCGAAGCCCACGATGCAGACGGCCGAACCCTCACCATCTCCCTCCGTCGAACCATCCGCGTTCCCGACAATGGCAGTACATACAGCCTTCCACCTGATCTCGGCGCCTTCCCCATCTACAATGTCCTCGACCACCGGATCAAGCTTCCGTCTCATCTCGTTAAGAAGGGTGGCGCATTCATTCCCATCTACAGTTCGTCCTATCCATCGCACCCCAATTCTGTTCTTCGATTCAAGCAGCTAACAGGTGCAGAGCGTGAGGCAATGTGGATTCACTTCACTGCCACAAAGCCCTTCGCTGTCAAGGTTTATGTTGGGGGTGTCAATGCCATCTCGGGTGAATCGAAGGTTGTTACGGAAGTCACTGGGCAGCGCCGCAAGGAGGTAAGAAGCGATGGGAACTCTTCAAACATTTGTTCTACATAAATCAGAATATATCAAACTACTTTCCAATCGCTCATGGATTCCTGGTTTTGTTGGAAACACTGCTGACCTCCTCTTCAAAGCTATTGTCACAGAATAAATCTATTCAGGATTATGTTGTACCTCCTATGCAACAGTGGCTCGATGGAATCGCAAGCACCGATGGGAAAGTCCTACAGTTCGTTGCAGCTCCAGTCGGTAGTGGCTACAGGTAAGATTTCCTATCCCATTGACGGTTCCTCTCCTGGTGTGCTGGATTTCTTACAGCTCCTGAATTATTGCTGTCTCATCACCTTTTGTTTTGGAAGAAGTGACCCTAATCTGTTCTGTCCACAGTGTTGAAGCACAGGTCACTGGACAAGAATCCATCACCGGAATGCAGTTCGAGATTGTTCCTTCGAAATTGATCCCGCCACCACAACCCGAACGGGCCATCCTTTCCAAGCCCTTCAGAGCTCAGGTCCCAGTACCAGATATGCAAATCTTTGTGAAGACTCTCACAGGGTACATTATCACCATTACGTGTTCTCGCAACAACTATATCGATGAAATTAAGTCGCTCGTACAAGACCAAGAAGGTATTCCTACGGACCAGCAAAGACTCATATACGCGGGTAAACAGCTGGAGGACGGTGAGTGACTCTTCATATTCTATATGGCCCGATAATTTACTAACAGCACGTAGATCGGTTTCTATCGGACTATAGTATCTATCATGTAAGTATCTCTTATTCTGGACAAAAAGTGATCCCATCTTCAATATACCCAGCCGTTTGACACGGTCACAATCCACAAGAAATCCATAACAATGCTCACCTGATCACTGACCAGGCTTAGGAGGCCACGATTCGTCTTGTTCTTCGTCTTCGTGGAGGTGGGGAAGATCCTCAAAAGGTAATGGAACGGGAAACTGCAAAGGCGATGGAAATGGCAGTTGCGGCGGGCGGCTCCATCAAGCAAGTAATTGTTCAAGACCGATACTACGATGGCGATTGGGAAGCTGACAAAATGGTCATGTTTAACCTCCAACTTTTCAACGCGGCCACATTCGAGTCTCTAGGCATCCCAGTCCCTTCAACGCCAATCACGGCCAACACATATGCTCAGCACGGCTATCCATTTTTCAACCTCGAAGAAGAGTCAAGCGGCATCGCAGGTAGTTTCAAGCTCGATACCGTTGGTCAACTGGACAAGGCAGCGAATAAGAATCAAGCTTTGCATAAGGCGGAGGAAGGACTCAAGTTCCCGAATGTCAAGATAGGCGACCAGGTCTCCAGCAAGGACGACGATATTGAATTTGAAGACTCAAACGACAAGGAAGGCATCAATATAGAAGACTCTACGGATGGAGCAGAATTGTTCGATGATGACGAGGAAGAAGACGAAGATCCCGATCTCGATCTCACCCCGCAAACTTCATCTCAGAACTCTACACCAAGCCGCGTCAAACTTAATCTCGTCGACCAGAAGAGCATCTTCCTCCCCATCCGCTTGTTGAAGGTTGATTGCCAGAAGGCTGGAAACGGCGGGAAGGGCGAGAAAAAGCGCTCTTTCTATGAGAATTAGGAATGTTCTAATTGCTATGAGGATACGGAATTTGCTTGTGGAATTGGGCGTTTGGCTTCGATTACAGGGGAAATGAACAGGGGTTAGCTTAGAGGTCAGACTTCTCTGCTCCGCCTTCTCTAGTAGATATTTTATCGCAAATGAGAAATAGCTTTGCAAGTATTTTAGAAATCCAAAGATGATTGTGACTAGTAAGACTTGTAGTTTATATGGTTTGTGAGTCGCTGAATGATTATAAAGTTCTGCTAGATCAGATGGGGAGCCTCCTTCTACAGTTATCTGGAGCAAAGGAAACTTGGATTTGACGAAGTTATGAGAGCAAAGTGAGGTTATTTGGAGAATATCTCGCTTTGGGGAAGTGGGTCCGGGGAAGTGGCGCAAGTCCTATTGCGGCAAAAGACCCTCCATTTGTCGCTACCCCTTTAAGTAAAGCCTCGCTTAAAATATAGATGATTTGCAGTAGAAATAGAAGGACTGGGGTCTCGTACGTATATAGGCTTCAAGCTCTCCACATTCTTTTGAATTATCTGTAAGCTCTTTCTTCGAAGAGAATCGACATGTCTTTTGGTGCGCCAGAACTCAGCAAAAATGACAGTCTTGTCTTGTCCCAAATCTTCGACCCTCTTCTCCCTAGCTCTCTTTCCACCACGCCTCTCATCGATACCGATCTAATTACAACCCTGCCATGCATTCCACACGACCTCTTGCCCGTACTTCAATCGGTTGAGATTTCTGCCCTCGCGCCTCTCGATATTCCATCTCCATCTCTGCATCTTCTTCAACGTACCATCGATGAATTGACGGAGCTTATCGTTTTATGCCCAGATTATCCAAGTGCGTACAACAACCGGGCACAAGCGCTACGTTTGCTACACGGGGATAATATCTATAGTGCTTGCGTGAGAGGCAGCACTATGTGGCACGATCTTTGCACAGCCATTAAGCTTGCATCACCCCGTGAGCAGGGTGAGAGTGTTTGTGTACTCCAAGGGCAGATACTGGGGTCTGCGTACGCGCAGAGGGGTTATTTGACATGGAAAGCTGCGAATACCGGAGAGAAACGAGCAGAGGATGCGGAATTTCTGCTGCGAGAATTGAGCATGTCGATGAGCGGGCCGCTTGGAACTTTGATGGAGAGTGCACGGAGTGATTTAGAGATGGCGGGCAGGTATGGGTATGAGGAGGCTAGGAAACTGGCTGTGAGTGCGAATCCGTATGCAAGGCTTTGTGGAAATGTTGTGGAAGAAGCTTTGAGGGCGGAGATTAAAAAGATGAGTAGATAAACGTTCGGATGGCCGACGAAGCATGCTCTATATTGGTCATCAAAAAGGAACAGAAATAAGTAAGAACTTCATTTCTATTCTTCTCTACAGATTTCCTCGCTTGGATTGCTCCCGCTCGACAGCTTCAAAGAGAGCCTTGAAGTTTCCCGCTCCAAAACCATCGAAATTATTCCTTTGGATGATCTCTAAAAACACTGTCGGTCGGTCCATGAGAGGCTTAGTAAAAATCTGAAGGAGATATCCCCCCTCGTCAAAATCAACAAGAATCCCCAACTCCTGCAGTGCCTGTAGACTTTCATTAACCTCGACGCCTGAACTCTTCAGCCGAGTCCCGAGGTCGACATAGTATGCCGCGGGAACGGTGATGAACTGTACCCCACGCTCCTTTAAGCTTCCGACAATGCGCACAATATCTGTTGTTCGAAAGGCTAGGTGCTGGATACCGGCTCCATCAAAAAATTGCACGAACTCCTCGATTTGTGATTTTTTCTTGCCCGCAGCAGGTTCATTTATGGGCATTTTAACGACTCCGCTACCTGGGGATGCCATGACAATCGAGTTCATGGTTGAGTACTCTGTCATTAGGTTGCGGTCATCCACTGTCCAAAACCGACGAAAGCCCAGACATCGTTCATAACTGTAGCCTGGTCAGTAAGAGCCAGTAGATAGTCGGCAGGTCTCCTCACAAGTTACAAGTAGCTTCGAGGTTGCCCCAATCTTGATTGCCAACACAATGATCAATCTCTTCAAATTGAATTGTTGGGAGGAACTTCTCAATAGGATCATCCTCCGTCACGGTTTGAAAGCCAGGTAGAAACTTCCCGGAATAGCCTCGACGAGAGATAAAAGTATGTGTCGTATCTCCAAAAGCCTGGATGATAGCAGTTATTAGAATTCCATCGTCTGTTTCCACAGTTTTCGGGTCTTGAACGCTCTTTGCACCGGAAGATAAAGCCCTACTAAATAGAGCATGGACATCGTCGACCTCGAAAGCGACATCTTTGACAGCATCTCCGTGTCTTTCCAAGTGCGAGTGAATATCGCTCACGAGCTTCCTCTCAGCAGATGACACTGATGCATCATCCACAAGAGCAGAATTGCTTCGAATAGTGGACGTTAAAACGAACTTCACACGGTTGTTGCTTACAACATAGGAGGCAGTACAGCGGTAACCGGTCTCCAAGCCTTGATATGCGACTATTTTGAAGCCCATGCGGGTCACATACCACGAAGCGGCTTGTTTAGCATTGCCGACATACCAAGTTGCGTGGTCGTACCCTCGATAATTGTCCTGGTTTTCAAGTGAAGAGGCCGGCATATTTTCTAGCGTAGCTTTTGGTGCTATGAGTGATGATCGAGAGTAATATGAGCGTAATAGCCCAGGAAACTTCAATTTAGAATCAAAGGGGACACAAATACCAGTGCTCTTCTGAGAGGTAAGTGTACGTATTATCAAACCTTTTGCCTGATATGAGAACTTCTACACAGGTGCGAGATTGGTTCAAAGTAGTGAAGTTATGATACGTAGGGTGAGAACATCCCAGTCTTTTTATTTTGGAAACAGAAAACCCTCCTCTCAGATGGTAATTCAACATCCGTTATCTTAGGGCCTGCTTTCTGCCACTCCATCCAAGAATCACGACCAGGCAAAGCGAGTCTGACACTTGCAGACTGGAAAAACAAGGTTTGTGAATTATTCGCAGGCCCCAGGACATGCATCCAAGTAAAGGCATGTAGAGACTTATCAAGGAGCGAGTTTTTTAATCCTGAACCTTATTTATACAGTTAATTACCTCAAACTGCTTCTATTGCACTACTCAGAAATTGATATCCAAGGAGCATGTTCTCCTAAACTCCTCAACGCAAGGATGAAATCCTATGATACTAATAATATATGGAGCTAGCAATACGAAAAGTTCGTCGAAAACACAACCGTTACATGCTGTTAGTATAGTCAGAATGCTAGTTTCATTGGATCAATTTCAGGACTTTTACAATACCGGTAAAACCAATTGCATAATATGCATTGAAGCTGAGCACATTGCATATAATTTTAAACCAAACAAGTAAGGTTGTGACCATGACTGCTTACACCTCGGCGACACTCATCAACTTAGATTTACATCTTCAAATTTGATTGGGAGCATAGCAGATACTGTAGATACTAAACAGTGATTGCTGCAAGTCATATACATGAAGTAGCATGTGAAGGATTGCATAGCGCCGAATCTCAGGGGTGAGTTTACGGAGGTATGCAGATACAGAACGAGGTAACATCGGCAGAGCCGCCGATCAGTTTGAAAGATCGGTGGATGGCTACATACGGAGCACATTTGCGCCATAAGCGAGCGTCACTTTCCTCTTTAAGTTCCTGTAGGTATCGATCAACCATTTGCATATCTGTAGACCTTGCTGCCATACTACGGCAAATGTTCTTACCGTACGGCGTTGCGTCTGTCTCAAAGTATGCTGCTCTTGAGTGCGGCGTAGCCAAAAGTATGCTGATGGTTATAAAACAAATATCAAGCTAATAACGCTAGTCCACGAAGTAGGATGACTTTAGCAGCTTAGTGCTGATGGTTTTTTAGTAAGTTACAGGTTTTATTGGTAGTTATTTTAGCCCAAAGCTCCGTACTGAATTTTATGGTAACTTCAAATTGCATGCAGCTGTTAAGGGGGAAAGGGAAAAATCAGATGGAGGATCAAGGGCCGCCTGCGGCTTATGGGCTACTTGTCCAGGTCACCGATTTCGTCTGCACCCACTCCTCCAATCCAATATTGCCATTGAATCTACCGTAGCCACTTTCCATAACTCCACCATGCGGCAAACTGGGATCATCATGGACAGTCATCTTGTTGATGTGCACAGCCCTAGATATGTCAGCTATACAGCTTCCAGAATAACACTCACTACTTGTGGGACTGCACTTACCCAGATTGAATGCTCTTTGCAACGCGCAGGCCTCTCTCCAGGGATCGAGTAAATACTGCTGCTGAGAGACCGTACTTCGTGTCATTTGCAACCTTAATGGCCTCTTCTTCACTTCCAACCGTAATCAAAGAAACCGAAGGGCCAAATGACTCTTCATGGAACAAGTCCATGTCATTATTTACTCCTGTAACGACAATTGGGCGCATGCGAGTTGCCGACTCCTCCTTAGCATTGACATCACCTAAGAGAATCTTTGCTCCTTGCTTCACGGCATCAGAAATGAGTCTATGGTTCTTTGCGATAGCTGCCGAGGCTACCAGCACCGGAGCTGGCTTGCTAGGAGGAAAGACTTGATTAACGGTTGCGGCAAACGCCTCTGAAAAAGCCGCGGCGATGGACTCGTGGATAATGATCCTTTCTGTGGTCATGCAAATCTGGCCGCTCTATTCAAAGATTAACAGGAAAATTCGCACAGCACACCAGTATTTCATTTTCATATGACTTACGTGGAGAAAAGCCCCAATTGCGCACTGCAATGCAGCATTTTCTATGTCAGCGTCCTCGAGAACAATGGCGCCCGCCTTTCCCCCGAGCTCAAGAACACATGGCTTGATGTTTTGCCCGCACAACGTGGCAATGATTTTCCCTACGCTTGTGCTTCCTGTAAAGTTGACCTTTTTCACGGCAGGATGCTCAATCAACGCTTTCGTGGTAGAAGCAGCGTCTGGACGGGCAGAAGTCAAGAAATTGAGAGCGCCTGCAGGGAGACCAGCTTCTTGAAAGACCGAGACAATAGACCACATACAGCGAGGGGACAGCTCGGATCCTTTCAGAACGACAGTGTTGCCAGTGGCAAGGGCATAGATGATCGCTCGTACACCAAGATGGTAAGGGGCATTCCTTAAATCCAAAAATCAGTAAATTGTATGTGTGGAAAAGGCAGGGTGTAATGACCATGGAGCAAATCCAACCACAACACCGTACGGCTCTTTGTAAATGATGGCATGCGCGTTTTCGTCCCTAAGAGCCGGTACAACTGAAGTGACAGTAATAATTCGTCCGGCAACATCTCGAATCATCTCCCAGGCTGATGGTACAGTGCCATTATCAGCCCAATCCTCAAGAGAACCAGTCTCACTCCTCATATAAGTCGAGAATTCGTCCGTTCTCTTCTCGAATATTTCGGCTGCTTTAAGGAGTATATCTCGTCTCTGAGCGGCCTTTAGGCTGGACCAGGCGGGAAAAGCTGCCTGTGCAGCGTCGCAGGCCTCATTGGCTTCCTTGACTGTTGCCGTAGAGCTTTGCCAGAGAATGTTTCCTGTGGACGGGTCCTGCACGTCGAAAGTAGTTGTTGTTCGGACCTCACGTCCATTGATTATTAAAGGCACAGTATAGCCCATTATCTCGTCTGTATAGGATAAATATAACGATAGCAAGTTATTCTGTGGTGATTGTCTTCCAAGTCAACGTGAGGTTCAACGATCAAGGAGGAAATTATCAGAGCCAACCGTGGTCCGTGGATCGAGACCTTTACTGCATGTGAAATCGGGCTAGCTCAATAAAAGTTAGGGAATGGAGTGCGAGCCCTAACCTTTCATACTACCTACGTAGATTTTACTACTAACCCAACATATAGGGTGGTACTGCATCGCTTGTCCCCCCTGAACGACTTCCAGGCTAGCGCTATAACTGGTAAATCCTTTCCCCTCTAGGCTATTATTGCGCTGTTTGAACATCACAGCCCCTAGAAATCAAGAACCTAGGAGTATTTAAGATTGGAAAAAGTAGATATCAAATGTAATATACGATTATTTCTAATTCCAGGTATTATATCTTACTTCTAACCTTTGTAATAATACTCTTTTCTAAAAAGAATTATCTCTTTTTATTACTTTAAAGTTATACTAGAAGCTTTCAAGCACCACGTACTACCGAAGGACGCGTATAGTGGGCAAACATTCTCCTATAGCGGGTAAAATGGCATGTATTAATACAGTAAGGGATCCCAAGATGTTGGGGAATTTCAGTCGCCCAGGCTGGTGGAAGACGGAATGAATATCGTGCGTTCATTCGAGCAATTACGGAGTACCATGCAGAAGACTATGCGAGATAAGAGGGCTTCATAGGCAGGTGGAGCATATTCAGTCGACATAAAGAGGGGGGTGAAGGTAGAGAAAAGTCCGGGGGAGCGACAAGGTTCATGATCAACTACGGAGTACCAACATAAACATCGGGCAGGGGCTATTCACCCCTGCTCACACCCCGTTTTGGGTATATCACCCGTACGAGGTAGCTTCGTAGATTGCTGTAAGGGAAAGGCGTAGCAGAGTTGGATTTTACTATACCTTCGTACGAAATGTAGTTGGATCAAGGTTTAATAAACCGTTGGCCTTTCCCTCATCTGATGTGCGGCCTGCATGCTGACACGGAACGCATGCATCAGACTGCAAGGAAGTATTATTTCCATCGTGGACGGCGACGGCCCCGGGAGTAGGGATTCCACCCTCCGGTCAATGCGTGGGGAACTATAATAGGGGCCCATTGTTCTTTATTCCCGGCGTGGGGAAACCTAGCACGTTCAGAACCTCAGAGTCCAGACTCCAGACAGACACTTGCCACACTTACATATTCCCGACGGCGCAGTACAGAAATATTACTCATACAGAATAGCAGTTCAGCTCACGGCTAGACCTTCAATTGATATTCCAGATTGCGTACTGCCGAACCCTACCTAGGTAGCACTGACACAATCTGTGTCACACAGGCACTTATCAAAACTCCCTAAGGGATGTTCAGACTTTCTTCCATTGTAATGCTGCACGAAAGAGGCGGATATCGCTGGATCTATTACGTCTAGCAAGGGATTGGTCCTGAGGAGAGCTCGAGGTTTGAGAACAGTCCATATTCGGCTGCGACTGTTGGACTCTTCTTGCTCGTATAAACCACATCAATAATGCAGCTCCGACATACAGAATACCAGTAAAGATCTGCGTTGGCCGATAGGTATTTTGGCCACCTTTACGACGAAGTCCAAGGGCAATAAGTTCAGCAACTATTCATTTGTTACAATTCGTTGAGATTTCGAGCACTAGCGACAAAACAGAGGGGACTTGGAACGTACAAGTGCCTGGCAAAGTTTGCAGGAGCCAAAGAGTGGAGAGAATGGAAGGTAGCAGTTGAATTCCGAACATCTCTGCAGAAACCGGTGCTGTTGCCTATTCGCGTTGAGCAAAGCGTCTTGTGTTCAGTTATGGGAAGACGTACAGCCCAGTTGTTCCCCACAAAGAGTCCAGAAAATATCGCAAAGAGAACCACAACTGCGAAACCCCTTGCAGGAATCCAAATGCAAAGACAAGCCAACCCACAGGCAAGACTTGCAATAGCCGTCATGTTGATTCTCCCTACACGATCACTGAAATAACCTACACAAGGTCTTCCAACAGCCTGTGCCAGATTCAACATTGATCCAATGATCGCACCTTGTTGAGTTGTCAGTCCGATGCTAAGTGCATATGCTGGCAGAGAAAACGACAAAATCACATAACCTATAATGCTGAAAACAGACCACGCAGAAAGAGCTAAGAACTCTGCATCGCTGAATAGCTTGTAGTCAAAGACCTTCTGTACAGCACCAATCCTCTGGTTCCTATCTTTTATGAAGAAGGCACAAGTCGAGTTGATGGTAAAGGCAATGATTGCTAGAATCCTGTATGCCCATCTCAATGAGATATTGCGGATGATAGCATTTGCAGCAAGATTGTAGACTAATCCGCCGGTCCCAGCGCCTGCGGATGCGAGGCCCGCTGCCAGAGAGCGTCTCTTAGTGAACCATTGAGGAACAATACCTATGGTCCCCAGGAAAAGAAACCCCATTCCCCATCCCGAGCAAACGCCTTGGCTGAGGAACAGGTGCCATATTGATGTCGAGAAGGAAGCCCCAATCAGTGCTGAAGCTTCTAGAAAACTGCCGATAAGCAGAGTTGTCCGAGTGCCATAGAGTCGCGTGGTGTAGGTGACCAACGGGGAGACGAATAATGCTTGGGATATGGAAAGACCGTTTACTAAAGCGTAATCGATGTATGTGGCCCCAGGAAACGTATTCGATGAGAGATAGTAGGACAGAAAAATGCCATAACACTAGCTCAAAGTTAGAGTCTAAAATCGTTTCAAGACAGATGGTGGTACGCCATTGATGCCAAACGTATGCATATTCAGAAGGAAAACACAGGCAACACAGATCCAGCTGTAAAGTCCATCTTGAGACGGGTCTAACTCCACCTCATTGCTTGTCGGGACTGAGAGCTCATTGCTGCCTTTGGCAACGGGCTCCAAGTCACTTGAGGCTTCCGGTGGAATTTCTCCGCTTGGGAGTGGTTGTTGCATGATACTTTTTAAGTTCAATGAGAAACCAAAGCGACGATGTAGGGGGCCACTTGAAAATTCGCGATAGAAAGGATCTTGCCCGAGATGAAGATACAGTACAAGGAAATTTTCACTTTGCTCATCGGAAGAGAATAGTTTATTCAGGACTATGCCCGAAATGCAAAAAGCGCTCGAAGTAATTCTGCAGCCAGCTTGCCATGCCGTACCAAACCCCAGACTTTACTAATGCATGTGAAATAGTACGTACTGGGATATGGAGTACCATCGACATAATCAAGGGTGCTTAGACTGGGATTGGAAAAGTCGGTCTTATTCTTGGATCCTATTGAAGGATCAACATCACTACTTCGGGTGGCGTGCAGCCTCGCGTTATGCCCAATAAATCTTGTTTCCATGAATCCATGATGTGCATACTATAGTATGGGGTCCAATCGAGCTTTCTACGCTTATATTATAAAGTGGGCTTTTCATACTTAATAGAGCCTACACTTATACATAATATGTGTACTTCAATTTGTCAACGAGTATATTTTTACTTGAAATTTAAGTGAGTATAATCTTATAGTAAGATTCTAATAAGTTGCTAGTACGTATAGTTATGATTTCCTTTTTAAAAGGAGATATACTAATATCATTTGCCCTTTTTGCTTTACGGCCTTTTGAAAGAAATCTTAAGTAGTTAAACCTATTATGGAAACCATAAGTGTAAGTGCGAATCATACGATTCGACTAAGAAAAATTCGTTGCCCCTTGCGCAGCAGGGAAGTGGAAACTTGGAAGTGTCATCCGTTGGGGTGCCCATGTAATTCTAGGGATTGCTTTGGCAAATCAATACAACGCTACGGCATTAGAAATATGAAATTTGAGAGAGTAAATGCGGCGTAGAGAGCTCATAAGTTGATTGGCTGCGGCATTTATACCACCTCACGTCTAACGTCCCCGAAAAAAAAATAAGCATGTAGGTAAGATCTTACATAGTACGGCGGCGTCCACTTTCAGTATTTCACAGATTTTAGTTAACTTCGGACTCCATGCGTGGAATGCTTCATAGCTGCCACTTTGCGCTACTATTTTGAACAATATAAATCCTCTCAGCTGTATTTATTTGATCTGCTATTTCTACAGTTCTACTTAATGGTGTGAGCAACATTTCGATCTACCGACTTCTAGCAGCAATGACTGTCAATCTTGCAGATAATTATCAGCCTTTAATACTGAGAACGACCATTGCGATTTCGTGTCTCGCAACTGTCGCAGTTGTTCTTAGACTTATTTCTAGGAGAATCAAAGGGAACAATTATGCATTGGATGACTTGCTGGTAGTGATGGGACTGGTAAGATAAAAGAATCATTCACCAAATTTGTTCTAACATCATTCAGGTTGTATCTTGGGGTTGTCTGGGGCTCGGAATCTTCAGTAACCGCTTATTCTCCAAGAATCATATAGATTATTTCGGCTGATGGGAAACAAGTGGTAAATAACGGCGTCGGAAAACACACAGAGCTCGCTTCCAAAGAGAACTTAACAAATTTCTTGAAGGTATGCTCTTTTCAAAGCGAAACGGAGCGAATCTCTCAGTTGACTTAGTGGCACAAGGCTCTCTTTGCTTACGAAATCGTATACTTCGTCACTCTCGCATTTACGAAACTCTCGATACTTGCGTTCTATACACGGATATTCCGAACACCAAAATTCCTGATTGTCGCAAAAATCATGGTGGGTGTGGTGATAGCATGGCTCTTTGCAACAATCATGGTAGCCATCTTCTCGTGCAACCCGGTAGATGCTTTCTGGACTCGTGCTCCTGGTTCGAAATGCATTGTTTCGGAGCATTTCTATATTGGCAATGCCGTTCCCAATATTATAACAGATCTCATCATCCTTGCGCTTCCAGTCAAGATGATTTGGCAACTCCACACATCAAAGGCGGATCGAATTGCTCTTACGTTCATATTCCTGCTTGGTAGCTTGTGAGTACTACTGTGACTGTAAATGACTGACTTGATCTGGGCTGACATCAGGTTTCTAATGATAGTGTTGTTATTGCCAGTGTTATTCGTTTGTCGCAACTTCATCAAGTAAATAATCCGGATATTCTTTGTGAGTTGGCCCCAAAAGGCCCTTCCGGGTTCCACAAACCGTAGTGCAAGTTCATCTAAACTAAGTCTTTTTTAGGGGGCTTCAACCTTACAGTTATTTGGTCATCGATCGAGCCCTCAGTTGCAGTTATCAGCGCTTGTCTTCCCACTCTGCGACCTCTGGCAGAATTCATTTTACCAAGTCAATTCAGGTCTCGGAGTTTCAAGGAAGCTTCTGGTAATCGCCGAGGCACTGAGCTTATATCCAAATCTGCAATGAATCCACGACCTGACCAGATGGATCCAGCAAGGAGAGGAGAGAATGGCTACTGGGTCCACACGAATGGTGAGCCGACACAACTCACGTCAGTTGGTGCTGATCGTGCAAGTAGAGGCCATTTGATGGATTATGAAAATGGATCTTCTAAATCGCAAAACATTCGTGTGAATACCGACATCAAGGTTTCTACCTCGTCAATAGTCTAGAGCAAAAGACTGATGCTGTTCTTGTTTTCTATGCGTTGTAAAATTGCTCGATGTACTATAGTTAGGTTAACTAGATAAAATGTATAATAGAGACTCACGTATCTAAGATTAATTTCAATACACTGCCTAATATACAAGTTCAAAATATTAAAGCCTTTATACTATAAAAGACTGGACCACCGCATAACACCCTTCACTTAGATTCTTTACTTCACCTTCAAAGCAATAGGATCTCTGCCCTTGTAAAGTCTGCAGTATTTGATAGATGTTAATCGCCCCTAGAGTCGCGATATAAGAGGCCAGCAAAAGTGCCGAACGTCGGGGATCTTTTATTAATAGAAAACAGATAGTTTATGCTACCACTTGCATTGTGATATCTGCATCTGAGCGGCGAGCGTAGCTGCAGGCTTCACCAAACATCCCTTTCTAGAAAGAAAGCCGCGAGACTCCCCTTGCCGAGGAGTAGTAGGGTAGCATCAGGCCGGGAATAATACAGTTTCATAGTCTGACACTAGTTCGCTCATTACCAAACTTTGAAAAGCTTAACATTGTAGATAAGAGTGAGGAGTAGTATATGTTCTTTAGGTATCAAAAGCAGCTAGGTAAGTAAAAGCCAAATAGGGTAGTGGAGCTTGGTGGCCAGGGTCTAGGGAGGGTGTGGGTGTTTCAACTTTTTGCACCCAACTATAGAAGACTTTCGCATCCTACCCCGCCTGATGAAGACTGAAAAGTAACGAGGGTTTGCCAATGCTCCTTTGCGTCTTTCGGTTTCTTTTATCAAGTGACTAAGCATGCTTCCAAAAGATATGACTAGAATCGCTGAGTTGGCATCAATTATCTCGGAACAGACGAGAAACATCGACCAGTATTTGAATTCCAATGGCATCCCAACTCCGTCGTTTGACCTCGATAGAGCGTTGGAGCCCGAGTTCCCGGAACAAATCATCGCTGCTAGAGATGTGGTCCTCGATGCTAACATGGAGCTCAGCGAGCTGCTTCTAGGCCCTAGGCAAACCTTTGTTGAATATCAGGTTTGACTCCCTCTGCAGGCCTCAAGGAATGGAATATTACTTAATGAACAAAATCTAACAGATGTCTAGTACAACTACTTCGTTAGCATGCGGGCGTTGTACCGATATAAAGTAGCTAGCGCTTTTCCCGTTGGAGAAGAGGCAACTTTCGCTGAAGTTGCAAAGAATTGCAAGTGTAGCCAGGATAACATTGCTCGTATCCTCCGACATGCTATCACGAATCGAATATTTAAAGAGGTCAGGAAAGGTGTTATTGCGCATACAGCTACGTCGAGAATTCTAGCCGAAGATCCTTTATTCCAAGATTATATTGGCATGAGATGCGAAGAAATGTGGCCTGCAGAATTACACGTATGTTATATTTCCACCCACTAACTATTTAGGATAGGAAGCTGACCCGAATAGACACTGCCTGCAATAATGAAATGGCCCGATTCACAAGATCCAGCGGAAACGGTGAGTTCTGACTCAAAATGCGACCAGCATTGAGAGGCTTGAACTAAGCTAACTCCTGAGCTAGGGATTCTCTCTAGCAAATAATAGCCTAGATACGATGTATAACATAATGGCGAAGGACCCGACAAGGGCAAAGCGCTTCTCTGGTGGGATGGCCTTCCGCCTCACCGGCCCTACCTTGAAACTCAGTTTTCTCGTTGACCACGGGCCGTGGGGGAGTCTTCCTGCCGGAGGAACAGTCGTGGATATTGGAGGATCTCACGGCCAGGCCGTGCTTGCCATCGCGAAGAAATTCCCATCCCTCCATTTCGTGGTACAGGATCTTCCCTCAACAATCGCTGCCCGTCGACCCATTCCTGAAGGATCCACCACCGCTGATATATCCTTTTTGGCCCACGACTTCTTCACGCCACAACCAGTGGTGAATGCCGAAGTTTATCTCTTTCGCTGGATCTTTCATAACTGGCCTGATAAATATTGTCTGCTTATCTTGGAAAATCTAGTGCCGGCGCTTAAGCCGGGGGCACGCATTATTATCAACGAGATATGTTTGCCGGAACCTAACACCATGTCTACCCGGCAGGAAAGGAGGCTTCGGTTTGTAATTCCCAGTTCTATTTTAACTCCCTTTTAGCTAATAATGATTTTCGCAGGAGTATGGATATAGGCATGTTGACGTTGCAAAACGCTCGGGAACGGAGTAGGGATGATTGGATCAGCCTGTTTAAGCGCGCCGACGAGAGATACAACTTCGTGGGTGTTACTGAACCTAAAGGGTCGGATCTTGCTATTATAGAGTTTGCTTGGCAAGTGGATATAGATTAGTGGGATAGAAAGATGGATAGATGATACTAGTCGGCGCAGAATCAATAGTAACGACGGAACATCTCATATTTGTTCGATCCTCGATACGCTTTTTTGGTGATTGTTTTTTCCTTTCCCTTTAAGTAAGCAGTATATGATACATCGCATCGATGAATGCACCTTTTCTTATTTCCAATCAATAATGAACAAATCAAAATTTGATATAACGGACTCCCAGCAATGAAAACAGCGGCTGCAGAAGATAAAAAGCTTCATAGATAGCATAGTATGATAGCGCGGCAAGTTAGTTAACACCTTACTCTGAAAAGACACAAATACGAATATTATAACGTGACCTTAACACCAATGACTAAGCAGCGATAAGGCCTACTTTATCGTCGTCGCAACCTTAGCTAGAACCTCTTCTACACGTAGAAATGCAACCACGTAACCACGATTCCAGGCCAGCACTACTGCACCTTGTGAAACCAACAATTGCAAAATAGTCGCCATTTCAACCGTACATCAGATCATAGATACGCAGGATTACCCCCGGTCCGGAATACTCGGGACTGGAAAGAGCATCGGTCTCGGGAAGTCGGCGAAGGATGCGGCGAGGACACGGTAAGTTTAAGCATATTGCTCACTTATCTCATCCATGATCCTACAGTACCTATACGTTCATACATCGTATCTGGTATTCTATTGAACCGGAGGGGGAGAGGAGAGAGGTGGTGAAGGTGGTTATGAGAGCCCCAGTCGTAGTAGTAGCAGCATGTTTTGAGATACGAGGTTTTCGGGGCAAATGGAGAGGGGGATCTGAAGGTTAAATATATGAGACCATACTTCGTAACTTCGTACATCGGCAAGCCGGAATGAGGCTGATGGCTGACGGGTGGCTGGCTTATGCCTTGGCTTACTTCAGGGCAATAAACGCTGGAGTGAACCAATCAAATAAAGGCTATAACATTCTGGTAATACAAAATACTCCGGTACTCCGTACTCCGTAGATTGATATCCTCATACTATGATCTGTAAAAAGGCAAGACGGGGAGCGGAATACTTGCTAATTGTCGGAGCAGAACCCCTCCAACAATCCGGGACGAAACGTGGCCCTAGTAGTCGCGCGCCTGAATCCTGACTTGTAGTTGGATAAAGTTACGACCATTTATGTCTTTCGTACCTTAATAGGGGGGTGATCGTCCAACCCCACCCACTTCGATTACGGAGTACCAGGGGAATGGTTGAAGCGCCAAGAAAACCTTTTTTGATACATTTGTACCGAGTATACGGAGGTATGTCGTTCATCTTTTCTACTTGTCCATATCTAACCCTACTATGATTACATAACCACCCTAGCGTCCGTGTCGAGCGACGTAATTTGTGTACGCGCGGCCTATTATATACTACGAAGTATGATAAAGGCATTTCTGGCGGCGGAAAGCCACACAAGCCCCGTGAAATGGTATATTGTGGGAAGATGTCGTTAGCGTCTTGGCATCATTTACACTATGCAAAGGTTGGGCCATTTCAGCCGTACCCGTATAATTAACTTTCCGTTGCAGGGGGACATCACCAACACACCAGCCTGTCCTGTTCTGTAATGGACAAATCTAAACGTGGATGAAGGCAAGGTACTTATTGGCTGAGAGCTTCTTTTCTATTAGTATCTATGCCTTATTCAGATATTGAATTGCTGGGAAGCTTTTTATATACTAGAAGAAGACTATTTAGCCTAGCCGAAGTCTACGCTCCGTATATCAATCTATTTCATTAGAACATGCAGACTTGGCAACAATAGCACTAAATAGACGCCTGTTAGTTTTCATCAGGCGTAAGGCTGCCCTAGTCTGCCCTCCCTTTTTTCGAAAACACTCGCGTTCATTCCTTAAATCATTTATCCCTTCGCTCACCGTCAGCAGCGAACGTGACGCAATGGCTGTCGGTAGCCTTAAGAGACCAAATGTCCTTTGGGCTGTCTCTCTTTTTCTTCTCTTCTTTATTTGGTTTCTCTGGGGCTTAAAAGCACATTTCGGTGGTACTTCCGGGGAGTGGTACAGTTCGATAAAAAATGGGGTAGACCACATAAAAACGCACGTCAGTAACAGCACAGAAGAAGTGTATAGTGGACCGAACGATGGCTCCGACGACATCACGAATACTGGAGATCGTCCCCTAATCCTTTACGCATATCACGAAACCGAGAATGCGCGGAGAAACCTCGAGTTCTTCATAGCACATGGCCTACACCATGCTGCGGACTTTATCTTCGTCATGAACGGCAAGACGGATGCCACGAATCTCCTGCCACAACTTCCCAACATTAAATACATACAACGAGGGAACGACTGCTATGATATGGGCGCTTTTGCGGAGGTTTTGGTGAAGGATGATCTGTACAAGAAATACAGCAGATTCATCACGATGAATGCGAGCATTCGAGGGCCTTTTCTTCCCTACTGGGCGACAGGATGCTGGAGTGATATGTTTTTGAGCAAAGTCACCGACGAAGTCAAGGTACGTAGTCCTCGCCCCCATACTCCCGTATATCAATCTGACTGTTGCGATCAAGCTGGTTGGTATCACGATGAATTGTCGCCCTCTGCCCCACGTCCAATCGATGATATGGGCCACCGACCGTATCGGCATTGAAACCCTCTTATTCCCGACCGAATCCCAAGTCAAACGCCTCAAAGAAACACTGCCGACATTCTCCCCAAACGAACCCGTACTCCCGCTCCAACATGCTGGCATCAATTGGTGTCCTCACGAATACTGGGCTGCTACATCGGTCGAAGTACACGCCACGCCACTGATAGAGGCAGCCGGTTACAAAGTCGACGCGATGATGGCGGCGTTCCACCAAAAAGCAGGATATGAAGAAAGTTGTGCGGATCCTAAATTCGCGCAGGATCCGCTTTATGATGGGCAATACTTTGGTACAACTTTGCATCCGTTTGATACAGTTTATGCGAAAGCAAATCGGGGGACAAATGCTTTGATTTTGGAGAGGCTCACGGATTGGACGGATAAAGGTAATTATAGCAGTTATGAACACTGTCATTGATGTTGGAGTTTGGAAGAGCTGGCGTTGGAGTTGTGTATCTACGGTAGAATAGATGGCTCAAAATATTAGCCAAATGAAGATTTGTACAGTAACATGGTTTTGGAAGTCGAGTGCAGCGCCAGCGCCATAGCTTATCGTAGCTGATAAGGAATTAAAAATGCCAAGAAGAACCGGTACAGGGTAAGTAAAACATAGACAGGGATTGCTAAACGGGAGACATGAGTTACATGAGACCCTGACTCCATGAGGCAACTTTACCCCCTTTCTGTCTCAAGTCTGTCACTCCTCACTATCTAGCAAAGATATATAGAACCCTAAACATACCTTTTTTTTTTTAAAGTCTGACACTGGAGACTATTTAGCATGGCAAGCATAGATCCCGCGTATATGATTAGTTCTTTACCCTAGTGTAAACCCGCAGAACAATAAGAAAAGCTAATAGCTGAAGCAATCTTAAGCTTTCCAAGCGGCGGGGAGTATAAAGTTGTGGCGTAAAAATAGTCTCCACTATCAGACTTCCAAAAAAAAAAAAGCGAGGCTAACTAGTCTATAACCGTAATATGAAGCCTCCTCTCCCCTTGCTTCACGGGAGTAAAATTAGATTTTTAAGTGATATAATTATGCGGAGTAAAATACAGTGGGCTCGGGAGTGTCAAAAAAAGACACGGGTCGGGGATCCCTAAAAGACGCGTCCTCGGAGACGCCACGCAATGAAAGTTTCACTCAAAAACGTGATTTGACCCCTATCCCATCGAATTTATTGGAAGTAATTATAGATATTGCAAAGGTTCTAGACCATGATGTTTATTGCTTAAGTAGGTACTTCTTCTCGAGTCTAATAGCCCCTTTATGAATCCACTAATTAGTATAGATAGCTAGAATCCGATAGATCTACGTAGCTCCTTACCCTGGTATAGATCTTTAAAACCATAGAATAAACCAATCTTAACGTGAGTTTAGACCTCTTAGGAGCTCTATAATACTTAGATCTAAGTTCTCTGAGTAATGCAGAGTATATAATTGTAGGTATCATTCAGGTCAGGCTATTAGACTTAAGATAAACGCGAGGATAGTTTACTGTATAAAAGACATTTTGAAGAAGTACGCAAGGACCAGAAGTTCTTGAAAAGCCACTTGTAGGGATTTCATCCTGTGATTCGTGGCCCCACACTTACCGGGTCCCGCTAAGCTTCTCTGCCCACGCGTCTGCTCGCTTGTGGAAAGGGGCCAGGCCACGCCACATGTGATGATATAGCTGAACACAAGTTCAAATCTATACCTGGGCTATCAGTCTAGGACCGAGGAACGCAGAGACGTAATCTGCATCTAAGCACATTAGATGATGTGAAGGAGCAAGCGGGATACTGAGGAGGTAATTAACACGATGATAGAAACGTAAAATGAAGAGACATTGAAAGCTCGAAAGATATGGAAGAAAACTAAGACTTTAGAGAAATGTAACTTCAAAAGGACATCTGCGAGAATCTGAAACTTGTAGGTTGATCTTGGAATGTTCTCAGACGTCTTTAAAGCTGTTATAATCACATCACTACCCTACTTCACCCACCGCTCCCAACAACGCCTCTCGCAATTCTCCAAATCGTGCCCCAACTCTCCACAACCGGCCAAATCACACAGATGATCATACTACACCAAACCCACATGAAACTCACCACGCACCACCCCACGAACATCTTCCTGGGGAAAATCCACTCGCCCCCAAAAAGCAGGAACGGCACAAACAGAATCGCGACGACGAGGAATAGGCTATTGAATCCTACGGCAAGACGCGTGGCGCGTTTTACTTCAGCTGGATCCATGGGCTCGATGTGTGACGCCTCGAGGAAATCAACAACCTCATTGCCTGTTTTGACGAGCGTGTCTGGGAGCACGTCACTTGGCGGCTCAATTGCCTGAATCTCCTTATCAGCGCCCGCCTCTGCATTTTCCTTTTCCCCCACAGGCAACACAGGCGTCGCCGTTCCCGTCCCCGACACACCATTGATCTTATTCGCGCGCGCAACATGTTCCTCGTCCACACATTCGAACTTCCAGGGGACGCAAAAGCTCAAGAGCACAGCTGTCACGAGCCCTGTGCCCCAACTCGTGACATTTCCTGCTACGGCGTTCGTGGCATCGCCTGTTGTTTCCACGTTGATGACTCCGGAGCGTAGATGCGTGACGACGAACCAGGCGATGAGGCCAGAGAAAAAGCCGATCCAGGGAGAAAGAAGCACGGCTATCGTGGACATGCGACTCCAAAGCAGGATGAACCCGACGGGCATGCTGGCACCGCCTACAATGATGCCGAGGACGGTGAGGAGCCAAGTTAGGTTGATAGAGGCTGCGTTGAGGATGCAGCAGAAACTGGTATATATACATTAGTATAAAGAGAAAGTGGAAAGCGGAAAGTAGACATACGCCGCAAGGACAAGAGCATAGAGAATGATGCCGTAATGGGAGACTCGTACGAGCTCACTAGAGGTAGCTCTCGGCTTGATATATGTTTTATACACGTCGAAAGTGAGGAGAGAAGAGACGGCTATCAATTCCGCGCTCGTACTAGACGTAACGGCCATAAACAGTAACAACAGCATCAACCCAGCTCCCCCTTTCCCCAGCAAGGCAATGGCTGTTGCGGGCGAGCTCAACCCCGCGCCAACCTGTGCGGGGCTGAGAGCGTTCGGGTACGTGGGAAAACTGTCTGCAGAGGTGAGCGCAGCGCAGCCCAATCCCATGGCTGTAGCGAAACCGAACGGGATCCCATACCATGCTATGCCACCGAAGATATATGCCTTGACGCTTGTCTCTGGGCGCGAGGCGATGGCGCGCTGCCAGTATGCTTGATCGAGCCACACAGTACTAAAGCCTGCTACAAAAAGATCAACCGCAAACACCAGGCCGCCATTGCTCTTGAAAGTAAGATAGCTTCCTTCATGGTTGCCATCTATGGGCATATTGGCCGACGCCTTGATCAGTAGATCGTAGAACCTGGACGGAGATCCAACGCTGGGATTCGTCGAGTAGATGCTGAACCCGAAAACAAAAATCGATATGAAGAGAATGACTGTATGCGTGTAATCTGCAATAAAAGTGCTCCGCAACCCACCTACAATCACATACGCCGCGACGACCAACGGGATGAGAAAACACGCCGCGTACACATTAACTCCACTCAACGCTCCTACAACCTGACTACCCCCAAGGACGAGACATGCTCCGACGAGCATGTTCGTGGCCCAGCCGTAGAATAGGTATGTGAGATGTGCGATCTTGCCATGGCGGGCAAGAACGATTTCAGGAAAGGTGTGAGCGCCGGGAGCAGAAGACTTGATCTTTATTGCAATCAATGCAAAGAGGAGGATCTGCCAGGTCCCCATGGCGCCGTACCACATGGGCCCACTGATGCCATAGGTATAGGCGAATGTTGAGGAAGTGAGGAGCGTCGCGGACCAGGTCCAGGAAGAGACAATGCCAGCAGCAATGAGACCTGGCTTGACGGACCGCGAGGCAGTGTTGAACTCTTCGGCTTGGTGCGTGGAATAGCTCGTGTAGCAATTTTGCAGGTAGGTTATTGCTAGCCTGCGTGCAGGTAAGCTGCTGGCTGGCAGATATGAAAGAAACCGAGGGATGATTACATGAGTAGAGCAAAGAAAGCCCCGATACCCACAACTATGCCATAGCCAACACCGTTGGAGAGAACCAGAACTCCATCTGTCGCCATTGTTCAGAGCAGAATGAGTGCCTTGTACAAGTTTCTTGAAAAGTAGGCTCCACAGAGACCGTTAGACAATATGCTGTGCACAGCTTTGGAATGCTGTACGCTGTACTTCAGCTTCGTCTTTCTACAACGGACAGTTTCTAGGGATGTGTAGTAAAGAGGGGAAATACAAGAGAAAATCATTAGATAAACCAAGATAGCACATCCCAGACGAATCTGTTTTACCCCAGCACTGGCAGAGCCAGAGGCAGCCTGCGGGGGACATGAAGATAGGGAAACGACTGATAATAAACAATACCACCGAGTAATACAGGGAAACCCGATGGGTCGCTGCATCCCCTTGTATCACCCGACAAGGTTACTGACCGGTAGTCCAATAGAAGAGTACAATTGCAGATCTCACGGCCAAGTACAATTGGGTGTCAAAAGTGGGATGCAGTATGCTGTTGAAGCGACAGCGAACTCTAAATATTTGAACAAATGGTGAAAAGTAAGTATATGCACTCCGTTATAAACCCAGGGGTATCTCGTAGCCAAACATAAATCCGTAACTCCATACACCCAAACCTGCTTCCCATCAACTCATTATCCCCGCGACAATAAGCATAAGGCTTCCATAGATCCCTGCACACATCAGACCCTCACTCCTCAACACCATACCCATATCAGCAACACCTCCTTGAATTGTAGCTCCCAATACGCCACCAGCAGCAATACTCGTTACCGCTATCCTGCCGATAAAGTTGGGGATGACGGTAAAGGCCAATATAGGAATCAGAATGGCGGCTGCGAGTGCAGCCGCATAAGCAAGCATAGTCGATTGTAGCTCTGCATGTGAATTGAATTCAGAGACTTCCGAGACCTCAGAGCGTTCTGAGGTCTTCGATGGAGATACAAGGCTTGAAGGTGGGTAAGAAGAGGTAGCGGATTCAGAGGTTGAATAGAAGGATGAAGACGGAGGGATATGATCGGAAGAAATCGATACGAGATCATCGGCTGGATCTAGAAAATGGGTTTCCACCTCAGCAATGGGGTGCGCGGTTTGCAGGTAATCGCGGTAGGTTGATATATCATCTGGGTCAGGAGATGAAAGAGATTGCGTTGTGTTGAATGAAGCAAGTGCCTGATCTAGGAATGATGTTAGCAGAGAATCAAGGATGTACATGGGTGGGGCGTACTGTATTGAGCAAGCTTGTATCCAATCCTCCCCAAAATGTCTGTTTTATGCCACTGCAATTCCCCGCCAGCCGCCGCGGCAGCTCTTCTTGAAGCGGGCATGATTTGTCTCTCTGTCCTGCGCGTTTGGGTGTCGGCAGTATCCAGACGGTGCAGCTGCTCCTCCAACTCGCTAATCTCGTCTTGTAAGTGTAATAGCAGGCGATGATTCAACGCTTCGAATTTCCTGTACATGGGCTTGATTTTCTTTCCATCCGTATGGGACGACAGCTGGGACGCAAGAAGTTCGTATCCAGTGACTGGTAACTTCTCTGCTCTTGGAAGTGGTCGATGTTGGCCTTGGTACTGGTACCTGGAGCTTAGAGCATTTGATGGTACATGAGGAAGGTTTGCCGGCCCTCGTTGCATGTTGGGTGTCCCGAACGAATGCACTGCACCATGCAGATTCTGCCTCTGATGGGCAGCCGCGATTTGCGCCGCAACCTTGGCTGACGTCTCATCGGCAGGAGGAGTCTCCTGCTCGTCTCTAGCATCTTCATCTTCTTCGTCTTCTTCGCCGTGGACGCTTCTTTCGGGACTTGTGCTTCGGTCCGTGTCATTGCCATGATCGGCCTCAGCTGGGGGTTCAGAGAAGTTGTCCTCGCCATGAAAACTGCTGGATACTGACGAAGACGTGCTGGCATCTTGTGACATGTGTCGTGGAAGTGAGGATCCTACGTAATCGTCTTTGAAATGCCCTGGAGGAGCCCACCGAGGGGTAGCATCGGCGTCATCTTCCTCCTCGATTTCCGTTCGGTCCTGGTCCTCCCCTTCACCGTCTTTGGCGTCCTCCCTCGAGGGTTCCTCCTCCAAGAAGGCGAATACATCTGGGGCATCAGGAACCGCAGGAGACATGGGTGCTTCTGGTGTCTCTTCCTCTGATATCTCTGGTTTCTTGACTAGGCTTGACCGTTTTGAAATCGAGGCCTGCGTGATGGTAGAATTGCTCCCGCTTGATCCGCCCGACTTATTTGTAGACGTAGTGAGGAAGGTGGATGTTGATAGAGTTGACGGTGAAGTCAGTCTAGACCGTGCTGCCAGTATTGCCCTGTGATCTTGGATTGGTTCCTCCTCTTCAGATGAAGATGAGCTTGGGCTCCTATCGCGATCTCGACTGGAATGCGATTTCCGATGGCGGGGTCGTGAGCCATCAGGGCCACTATCTCTCGTACTGCTCCTCCTCCTGACACTGATATTCTTCGGTTTCGGTTTCGGGTCGTGTTTGCTGGCACCTGAAGAGGACTTGTGCAATCTTTTAGTTCTCTCCCTCTCTTTCCCAGTGTTGGCTTTTGTCGGAGACATCATTGAGTCGTGGGAGGAGCGGTATTGGTGGTGCAGGGTCTCGCTCGTAGGCTCGGCGTCTCTTCTCCTTGGTTTTAATGCCGCCCCCTTTAATTCATCCTCCTCCGACGAGTGCTCTTGGATAGGCGCAACTGTTGGAGCCCTGTAGTTTGAAGACATTTCGCACAAATGGCTATCGTACCAGGGCCAGTCAGCCTAACGTCATTCCCATAGCGATAACATTTCGGGCATAAATGGACTCGATGGGATGTCTGGCAGGGAAGTACCTTGGGGCTCTCAACTTAACAGTCTGTGGATATCGGTGTGGTGAGTGGTTTCCAGGCTAATGCGCAGCGAGCATGTCCTGTTAAAAGGGAATTTGGAGAGAGAATGAAGGCGACGACAAACATGATGAATGTATAGGTACTCTTGCAGTACTCGGTGTATGGAGGGGGATGGGATGGGCTGGAATGTGACACTCCCCCTTCCCCCTCCCCTATCCCTCCATCCCGCTTGCCTCCTTCATCTGTGACTCGCATTCCTTCGGTCGCCGTTCCAGTTGTGTTTCGCCCTATTTCAGGCTACGGGAACGGGTGTTGGGGGAGTGGTGAGCCAGTAAAAGACGCTGATTTTCCAGTGGTCGGCCAGTAAAAGACGCTGGATTTCTAGTGATTACGGAGGTAACGGCCGGGGGCGAGAGAGCTGGGCTGGGGGCAGGGGTCGTGGGGCAATGTTTACAGTAGCAGGGGGGCATCTTCAGCAAACGCTAAAACACCAAAGAAAGCACGAAATGAGTACAGAACAAGTTATTTGAGATGAAAAACAACGCGTGATGAGTACCGTATCTTGTATTGACTCAAGTACAGCAACAAGAGAACAAATTCTCCTGATGTTCTCTCTACTTGGCCATACCATACCCTCCGTACCATCCATACACAGCTTCAGCCAGCTTCAGCTTCACTCTACCGACGTGCCTTCTTCCTACTCGACAAGTCACGACCAAGTTGCCTCCAGCGCAATCCCTAACAACCAATACGTACCCAACACATACTCCAGCGCCCCCCTTCGCGAGAGAATTCTGATCTGCAAAACGCTGTCATCGTCTGCGCATCTCCTGCACGCTGCCTCGAATTGGGAATAGAGTCAGTAGCCATTGCGACCTCACAATCAATCAATCAATCAATCACTCTGCCTGGTCTATATGCATGCGCCCAACTATCGCAGCCATTATTCGACCTTCTGTTTACACACAAACCTATCCAATTGTTGTCATAATACACTGTTATATTATAACCTCGCCAATTGCCTTTGCATAAGGTAGTTAATTACATTACGCGTGTTCTGTCCGTGTCTGTCCAATGGCGCGAATTGCCCCCCGCGTTCTTCGCAGCTACCTGTTTGGCGGCCAAGTCCCAGCAAGAGGATGTCTTCGTCGCAGTCCGGTCAGGTCTCCAGCTCTACAGAGATATCACGGCACGCAAGCTCCTCTCGCCGAAACAAATTCTGCTCCCTCCATCTCGATCCCGTTCCGCAAACAACTCAAGGATGAGGCAAAGAGGCGCAAGGTCGAGGGTTTTGGAAAAAAGGCAAAGAAGGATAACCAGAAGTTGGAGGACTGGGAGTTGACCGTAGGCATTGAGATACACGCCCAACTGAATACAGCCCGAAAACTCTTCTCGTCTGCCGCGTCTACTATTAACGATGTACCCAATACTCATGTTGCGCTCTTCGATGTCGCTATGCCAGGCTCGCAGCCTGCTTTCCAAAAAGAAACCCTGATACCCGCCCTCCGAGCAGCTCTGGCTCTCAACTGCACTATCCAGAAGACGAGCAAATTCGATCGCAAACACTACATGCATTGGGATCAACCCTCCGGGTACCAGATTACACAATACTACGAGCCCTTTGCGAAGGACGGACACATCACACTATATGCACATGATGGCATTGCAAAGGAGGATGGAGACCGGATAGACATTGGCATCAAGCAGATACAGATGGAGCAGGATACGGCCAAGACCATTTCACAGCCTGGAGACATACATCTGTTGGATTTCAACCGGGTTGGCCTACCGTTGATCGAAATCATCACCCTGCCACAGATCCATCACCCGAGTACCGCAGCTGCAATGGTTAGGAAGATCCAGATCATTCTCAACTCGGTAGATGCGTGTGTTCTTGGGTTGCAATCTGGTGGACTACGTGCCGACGTCAACGTGTCTGTGCGAAGAAGGGATGGCGAAGAGGGTGAGAATGAATACTCCGGAGTCAAGGGATTGGGCAAGAGAACGGAGATAAAGAATTTGAGCAGCTTCAAGGCCGTCGAAGATGCCATCATTGCTGAACGCGATCGCCAAATCGGAGTTCTTGACGCTGGGGGTAAGATTGAAGGGGAGACTCGAGGCTGGACCATTGGGAGCACGGAGACAAGAAGACTTCGAGGGAAAGAAGGGGAAGTTGATTACAGGTACATGCCTGATCCAGATCTCGGCCCAGTCATCATCGGACAAGATCTTATTGACCACTTGCACGAGTCCCTCGGTGTTCTCCCGGACCATGAAATCAACATCCTGGTGGACGACTATGGTCTGACGACAAAGGATGCGATGTCTCTAGTCTCACTGAACGAAGGGGGCCGTCACGAATATTTCCGTAACGTAGTGGACGAGCTCCAGCGTTTGGCCCCAAAACAGGATCTCAAGGAAGCCGGCAGACTTGCTGGCAATTGGGTCTTACATGAAATGGGAGGTTTGAGTAACGTTGAGGTCGACGAGGAGGACCCATTGCGAATGACCAGCGATGGAGACTGCATAATTCCCTCTACGGAACTAGCTCAGCTCGTCCACTACCTCGACACTTCCAAAATCACTGGCAAATCTGCAAAGAAAGTCCTCTCCGAACTCTTTTCGTCTGGCAGGTCGAAATCAACCAAAGACCTGATCGATGAAGCGGGCTTATGGTTCACTCCGCTTTCTGTTGCAGAGTATGAGGAGCTGGCCAGAAGTATCCTGGACATGAAGGTTGTGGAACAGATTTTGGCTGGCAAGGACGGGAAGATCAACTTCTTGGTTGGACAAATGATGAGGAAAGATGGAGATGGCAGGGTGGACCCCCAAAAGGCTACGGTGGTATTGAAGAAGCTGATTGAAGAGTTCAGAGAGTGACGATGCAGAATACAACCCTATCTTCTTACCCTTGCAGTTTTCGACAAGTGTCTATCTTGTCTTACGCTGCGCAGTCGTTCTTCCTCAAAGTCATCCGCTGTTTGCAATCAGGTAGGCGTGTTTTGTTCTAGGCCCTACCTCTCCTCGAGTCCTGCTTACGGCAGAAATTTTTCTTAATTCTTATGTAAGTGGAACGAATATCACATCAGCTCAACGCATCCTTTGTTTGCAGTTGTACAAGCGTTGCTGTTGCATCTGTATCTCACCGCCGCGCCCACTATTGACGGTAGCTTCTCTCATCCTTCCCTTTGCGTTTGAGAAGGTATTCCGTCTAGGTAACTGATTATGCAAAGCATATCGCTTGTCAATCCGTACATAATTTCAGATAAATATCAAAGTATCAGTAAATGTAGTATTTGCAGCCTCGCACAATGGGCAAGGGTCATTATTGCGTTGAAACTGCATTGGCGCCATTATCATTCATAGTCGGCTATCCTTCCTTCTCCACCGAAGGGAGTGAAGAAGGATAGCGACTACTATTAGGGGAATTTCCTCTCTCAATGCTTATGTAAGTCACTACGGCCAACACTCACCCTCACAATCTTCGCATGTACTTGCATTAGGTGCGGACAGGTCAGAGGTCCGGGGTCTTCCCGGGGCCCCATTCATGGTTCATGATAGAGTTTTCAGCGGGAGCTTATCGCGAAACCTGCAGCTAGAGAGAGATACGTCCCACTTTTTCTCTTGCGGCCTCAACAGATAGATAAAAGATTTCTTGTCGAAATTATTATATTGGAAGAATCACTTTCAAATTATAAACACAAGCAGGAATCAACATCATGGCTTTACGGTTACCACCTAGATATGTCCTGGCGAGTATACTATGCTCCTTTGGAGGTTTCCTTTTTGGGTATGCACACTCTTCGAGTGGATGAGTTCTCACTGACAGAATTACAGGATGGATACAGGTATCATTGGACCCGTCACCGTCATGAAAGAGTTTACATCGCAGTTTGGAACGCACTCACCTACAATTCATGGCCTCATCGTCTCAGCAATCTTGATCCCAGCCGCTCTATCGTCATTCTTCGCCGGCAAAGTAGCTGATGTCCTGGGACGTCCCATCGCTATTTCTATAGGTGCTTTTGTATTTGGCCTCGGAGCAGCGCTCGAGTGTGGCGCTGTTCAAATCTCCATGTTTGTTGTAGGACGAATTGTCGAGGGACTTGGAGAGGGCTTGTATCTTGGGACTCTGGTCGTGTAAGCTGAACATTGGCAGTCAAGAGAGAGCACAACTAACAAGAATATCAGGTATATATGTGAAATTTCCCCACCATCCCAAAGAGGGCCCCTGACATCAGCCCCCCAACTCTTCATCACCTTCGGCGTCATGACAGGTTTCTTCACTTGCTACGGAAGCAACAATGTCGAGTCTTCTTTTGCATGGAGAGCACCTTTTCTCATCTTAGCTTGCCTGTCGTTCGTTTTTTCTGCTGTGAGCTTCGTATGGCTTGTCGCTTCTCCGCGCTGGCTCACACTGCACGGCCGTCACGAAGAGGCACTTGCCATGTGGGAACATCTAGGTGTCGACCTCGCCGATCGGGAGAAAGTTGAGGACAACCCGACTCCCCTCGTAACCCCTTTCCAGAGTACGGAATCTCTTGTCAAACATAAACATAGCTTTGCCGATGTGTTCAAAAAGGATGTACGGAAGCGAACGTTCTTGGCTGTGTTTTTGATGGGTATGCAGCAATTGAGTGGTATTGATGGTGTGCTATATGTGAGTAGACGAAAGACAATGGAGGAATATAGCTAACAGACAAAAAGTATGCACCTCTGCTTTTCCAACAAGCAGGTCTCGCTTCATCCCAGGCATCCTTCCTCGCCTCCGGCGTATCAGCAATCCTCATCTTCACATCCACCATCCCCGGCCTCATCTTCTCCGACCGCTGGGGCCGTCGCACATCCATCATATTCGGCGGCCTAGGCTTAACGATCTGTATGTTCATCATCGGCTCCCTCTACGCGTCCTCCTCCGTGCACTCGCACGCCGGTGCCGGCCGCTGGGTCGTCATCGTCTGCATCTACATCTTCGCCGTCATATTCTCCATCAGCTGGGCCGTAGCCGTCAAAGTGTACGCGGCGGAAATCCAGCCCCAGCGCACGCGCGCGTCCGCTACCAGTCTAGCGCACGGCAGCAACTGGATCACCAACTTCCTCGTCGCGCTCACGACGCCGATCTTGCTGGCAAAAAGCAGTTATGCGGCGTATTTTCTGTGGGGGGATGCACGTTGTGCACGGTTGTCGTTTGTGCGCTTTGGATGCCGGAGACGAGGGGGAGGGATTTGGGGGAGATTGAGCAGGCGTTCAATGAGAAGAAGATCTCGAGGGTTATTAGTAGGATTTCGCAAAGTGCTGCTTGAGCTTAATCACGTCCATGACTGGCTCAAGATCGATGCGAGCAATTATGAATGCGTCTCGCATGTTCGGAATGATGCAACCGAAACTGTCGAGTATGAGGAGAAGATGCCTCTGCTCCTATGGAAGTGGATAGTCCGCGGACGGCACCAATAGTCCGGTGGAACTCGGTTGTCAAGATCTCGTCACCGAGCCCAACACGCCATTACAGCCCCAACGCTGATATACCAATGTCTCTTTCATCAAAAGTCTGACCAGACTAGGATTCCAGCCGAAAGCAGGATTGATTCAAATTGTGTTCCTTTAGAGGATTATACGTATGAGCGGTTCTTAGCTGTGAAAGGTTTCTTACAGACCTGCCGTGAATAGAAAGCTGCATAGTCCTTTTACCTTACCACGTTACCTTTTTCACGAAAAATAAAGGGGGTTCTTTCAATTATATCATATCATATATATCCTAGATTCTACTCCATGCATTACCTGAGCCTCGTCCAAGTGGCGCTTGAGAAAAGAAATCGCTTTTGTCAACTCTAGTATATGCGCTGTCTGTTCGTGTAAGCGCTGGGGGGTTAGGGGGGTTTGCGGAAAATGACTGTTTACTGCACTGCACTGCAACGTCGAACCAGCTTAGTCTTTTCGATTTGGAAATCTTGAAGTTGTCTTCTACAGCGAGAAAACACTGCCCTGCCGTAGAAGGCATTCGCTATGGCGGGTTTCAAGCACGGGCGGAAGCTGTTCAAAGCTTGGGCCAGAGCTGTGGTAATGTGTGCAAAGTACTCGAGGACATTTTTGGCGTTAGTTACGTCTGCTTCGCTTCTTAGAGAGGTATAAATTCCTTCTTTTAACATTTCAGGAGTTGCTGGATGCGGATAGATTTCCAGAGCTGATGATGAAGTTGTAGGAGCCAACTACATTGGCCATGCAGCTTTCAGCAAATGCGACTTTTTTGTCTGCCGAGCCACGGAAAGTTGGAAATTCTTCTGGATTATGTTTCCCGCCAAATTCGAACTGAGGAATCAGTACACGGGTGCTGCTGGGTGGGAGGCTCGGTGAGGGCTTCGACGTCCAAGTTGGTTGGGAGGGCAGTTTTGAGGACTTTTTCTCTGCTGTCAACGCTTATTGAAGCAGTGTTCACTTTTTTCCAAGATTTGACGATGAGAGATATCTGGAATGGTATTTGCGATGTTTTGGAAGCCGTATTCGTGGCATTTCCCCGCTTGGCATGGTCATGGAGTGCGGCATTTGGGAAAGGCTCTTATAATATAATGCAGGTGTTGCTTGGTGGTATTGGAGAGCTCATCTGGTACACGGGATATGGAGTGGGATGGTCAGCCTTGTATTTGCCGAGACAGGTGTGGAAGATCCTGGAGGGTATTTGGGCGAGTCTTTCTAAAGTTACACATGAGGTGAAAGTGTGGGTGAATCCAAAGGCTGGTTGATTTTACCTGAATACGAATATCACAACCCATGGACCTCTTTCAACACGGTTCGTTGGGACTGCGCCTTTCAATGGATCTGGAGATTGGCAGGATACTGTGCTGTTTTTATCAGTGGCAGGCAGTGGTTGACCGTGTAATCCAGCTGGCCATATGGAAAGAAGATGGTAATGTTTCCGTAGACACTTCCAAACGCTTCCTGCTACGGCCTTGCTTGTAATAATGGGAATACATGTACGTAGTGAGAGATTGCACGGCCTGGGCTTCATTGCCCCCATTCATGATGACCCCGTCTCTGCCGCGCCCGGGGTTGTCTTTACACCCGGATTCGACGTCGGTACGTTTCCGGGGTATATAACTTCGGTGGATTTCGTTCTCGGAAATAATCAAGGTACTCCGCACCCCACAGACTCACTCTCTTGGAAAGGCAGCCAACTTTTTCCCCGCCTGTTAGTCCTTTTTATCTCTAGTTTGTCCCGCGGATTTAACGGATTATCCGATTTAACAGTCAATTAATTCAAAGTCAGCCTTTTCTTACTTCTGAAAAATGTAGCGCATACTTCTACCTCATGCTGAAGCGAAGGGTTGGATACCAAAGTCCTCCGAGGTTTTCATAACAAATATGTCTCGACGAGTGGTATTCAGAAGCCAAATAAAACAATGTACATTGCTGTATCGCAGACATAATGTTCGGTACGCGAAAGACTTCTGTTTTTCTGGCCTCCGCAGCTTGGCCACACAGACAGTGAGCGAGCTCTTAGAAACTGATATTATTACGACAAGCTAACATTAGTTCAGACGGTGTCCTTTCAAGAAAGCTACGATGCTGTAATTGTTGGCTCGGGTTGCTCTGGTCTCACAGCAGCTGCTGTGATTGCCAAGAAGGGACTCAAGGTTCTCGTCGTAGAGAAGACGGGGTATTTTGGAGGGACTACAGCCTACTCTGGAGGCGGAGCCTGGATCCCAAATAACAAGCACCAAGCCGCTTTGAAAGTGCAGGACTCGAGAGAAAAGAGCGAATTATATCTACGAAAGGTTCTCGGCGATTTATATGACCCGGTATCGATGAACGCGTTTCTTGAGAGTGGACCGCAGATGGTGGATTGGATGGAGAAAAACACCACAGTCAAGTTCAAACCCGTACCGCTGCCAGATTACCACATTACGAAGGAAGGCGCTGCGGTTGGGCGCACGATTCTCACAGAGGAGTTTAATGGTAGACTACTAGGCAAACAGGTCAAAGACATTCGGTATCCAATTCAAGGTTACTCGGCATTTGGTACAATGCAGGCAGATGCAGGAGATTTAGGTAAGCTATCAAGTCCGTTTAGCAGTCTTGGAAACCTTGCATTTTCTGCTGGAAGAGTTGCTCGCTATGTCCTCGATTTGGTCATTTATGGGAAAGGAGCGTATTTAGCAAATGGCAATGCTCTCGTTGGCCGCCTAGTCTATTCCTGTCTCCAAGAGAACGTTACAATGTGGAAGAACACACCTGCTATCCGCGCCATCACTGAAGGAAACCGCGTGATTGGCCTTGTAGTATCGAGAGACGGCCAGGAGATTACCATTGGAGCCACGCGGGGCGTGATTCTTGCAAGTGGTGGATTTGGGAGATCCGAGGAGGCAAAAAAATATGTCCCACATGACTGGTGCGCTCAACCAAGAGGTAACGTTGGCGATGGCAAGAGAATGGCTATTCAGAGTGGTGGTGTGCTTGCGGAACCAAACCACGACAATGCTATATTCGCGCCCATTTCTTTACTGAAAGTGAAAAACGGTCCAGTTCGCCGCTATCCTCATTTTGCTCTGGATAGATCGAAACCCGGCTCGATCATCGTGGGGGAGAACGGCCGCCGCTTCGCAAACGAGTCAGAACCATACCAGGAATTCGTCGGTGCAATGCACAAGAAAAAGATTAGCAAGGCTTATTTCATTGCTGACCGGAAGTTTCTGCGGAAGTATGGCATGGGAATGGCTCTCCCAGCCCCATATCCGATCTTCCGTCTGCTTCAGCAAGGCTATCTCATCGAAGCACCGACAATCGCAACACTAGCTAAGAAGATCGGAGTAGCTGCAGAGATGCTACAGGAGACAGTGAAGACGTGTAACCAGAATGCGGAAACGGGGATTGATGCAGAGTTCCACCGCGGTGAGAACATATACGACAATTTCTACGGCGATGCATCGGTGACCCCCAATCCGAACCTCGGCCGGTGTTCCGATGGCCCCTTCTATGCGCTACCCCTATATCCTGGCAATGTGAGTATAACTTTTGGCTTGAAAACCGACAGAGATGCAAGAGTTGTCGATAAGGATGGGAAGCCTGTGTCTGGATTGTTGGCCGTTGGATGCGACCAGAACTCTGTAATGCGAGGTGCGTATCCTGGAGGGGGTTCTAGTATTGGGCCAAGCATGACATTTGGTTACCGAGCAGGGAATTATATTGTAAATAACTAGATGTGGGATTGTAGAATAAAACGTAGTGGGCTAACCGGTGGAATTTCTGACTTGTATATATGCACTTTTTGAGGCGTATAGTTTTACCAAGGTGGTAGCTGCCAACTATGATTTACTTCATTCTTTAAGGTAACGAATTATTCGGCAGATATTGTGTGTTGATCTTGGGTTAGTATCCGCAGAGCGAATTTGGAGGCTCTAAATTAAGTGTAATCTTCTAGCAAGCTGGCAAAAATTAACACTATAAAGTCACGTATATATATCATGTTGCCAATATATTAGAAGGTGGAAATTGATCATAATGCATTACATAGACTAGTATAAGTAGCACCTCGGTCGAATAGTGATCTAATATTATTTCTGTCTATGGAGAGCATCGTATGGCTATGCTAGAAATCTGAGAATTTACGCAGACACCTGCTAATAATCCAGAAAGTGGATGATTTACGCTGCTAAGCCATTACACTGCATAATCCACATGCTTCACAGTAATGTTTTCCTTCTCGGCACTTGTATCCGAGATTTCGTTCATTTCCATTGCAATTTTGTCGCCGAAGACGCCGTTGACTTCCTCGAGGGTCAAACCCTTGGTCTGAAATATTTTAGTTATTGCAATGTAAATAAGAGGTAAAACTGGATATAAACATACCTCCGGGAAAAAGAAGTAGACAATAGGGAAGAAAAACAGATTGCATCCAACGAATATAAAGCTGAACCTCCATGTAATGGCTTCTAGTGCTAGCGGCGCTGTCTGGCTGAACATCACAGTCAACCCATTAGCAACGAAAAGGCCGATGGACATCCCGTTGGCGCGTATTTTGGTAGGAAGCACCTCAGCTGCGTACGCGTATGGGGACGCATTGAAGGTTAGACCGAAAAAGAAGATGAAGATCATAACCATTGCGACGCCAGCTTTTCCCCAGCCTGCATTCTGAATGTTAGGGGTATTTCTACTAATAGAACGGACTTGATTTCTTACTACTGCTGCCGGTCTCTCCAAACTTTGCTGAAAACCCAGCAAACAATCCGAGACAGACTGAGAGGGTGATAAGTCCGGAAAGGAAAAGGATGCGTCTACCAACGCGATCGATGAGGAGCAGGTTCCCAATTCCACCAATAACTAGGCAGATTTGAAATATACCGGCCATCAACAAGGTGTTTCGCAGTGTGAACCCAAGGCCAGCATATAGTGTCGACTATTGACGTGTGTTAGGATAGTATTGAGACATCAAACTTGACACATCTCACCTGATAAGCTTGAAT